GTTCACGAACTGGCTTTGTTTGGATTTGGAGACAAGTTTATTTCAAAATGACTAGAGTCTAGTTTGATATACCATGAATAATAAAATAAAAGTATAGAACAGAAAATTATTCTTTTAAAACTTTCACAAGCTAATTTGGAATTTTCACATATATTATTTTATGAAAGATTATTGATTACCAAGACTTTACTGCTTCAAAATGACTAAGTAGTATCCTCAATGTAGGTCCTAAAATAGAATGATGACAATAGGATGTGAAGAGAAAATTTATCAGATATCAGAACGTCTCAGTAGTTTTAAAATAAATTATCTAACCCACGATGAATCACTCACAGCAAATGTCAATATAATATATTAATTCGTCACGTGCTATAATTAAATAAATGGTTTTTTATAATTGACACTACTAATTTAAATATATTATAAATAATTAATTAAAATAACGCAACACTAAGGTCACTTTTTTTTGTTAACTAATGTCAGAGTTTTATTTTGTCAACCAAAATGTCACATTTTGACATACAATAACCATTATAAGGCCTGACACTATAGAAAATTGACACAGGGCCCATTTTTCATATGAGAAGTTCGTCCATAAAGGGACCAAGAGGCCATCTTTATTCAATTGGATTGGAAACCAGTTGCCCACAAACAATTCGGCCTTAGTACCATTTTTTTATTATTGCTTCTAGAATTTAACTTTTAGGAGTATGTTTAGAATATGTTAGAAATTGAATTCTGAAAATCATTTATAAATTATTTGTAGAATTTGATTTTGGAAGATAGAAAATTATTTTTGAAAATTAAATTGTGGAAGTAATTTGTAAATAATTTTTGAAAAATAATTTTCAAAATATAAAACAATTTTAAAATTTATTTTTTAAAAGTAACTTTCAAAATTTAATCTGCCAAAGCTAAAACCAATTCTAAAAGTTACATTTTAAAAATAACAATGAAAAAGAAGTGACGCGAATAACCATAAAGAAAGGTGATGTAAAAAATAATGTTAAAGAGCTGACTAGTTTGACTTGGATAAAGCATGACGCAGGTGGGCTAGTGGTGGTGAGAATCCGAGTAGAAATCCAAAGCCATTACTTTTTTTTTATATTTGAAATATATAGATATATTTATAAACAAATAGCAACCAAAAAATAAAATAAAATTGTTACATAAACAATGTCACATGCTGGATCAACTGTTTAAATATCAGAAATGTGTTTCATTTTATATGATGCACTACCAAAATCCTAGTGGAGAATGTTCCGAAAAATCTTCTATTGGAGAGCCTCTCACTATTACATATAAATAATAGATGCCATTCCTTTGATGCATACCCTTTTCTTTCTTTGTATACCACACTTTCCAATAATAAAGCTCATTTTTTATCATCGGGACTCATGCCGTAGGACCTAACTTTTTTTTTTTTAGGTAATAAACTTAATTAAATAAGGTATGTTTGAATTTAAAAAAAATATTATTAGATTTGGTAGAGTAATTTATTTAAGATTCATAAACTTTATAATAATATATTAAATAATTTTATATAAAAATTATATTGTGTTTGTTGTATGGTTAATAATTTATTTATTTAAACTAAATGTGTGGTTTAAAAATGATAAATAGGAATATGTAATTTTATTATAAATATTTAATATGTTAAACTATTTTTTATAATTTATTTAAATATAAACCTTATGAATTTTATAGAGACTACCTTTTTATAAATAGGCTTAATAGTTTATTAAAAATTTTAATAAGAAGTGGGTCATTAAAAAAATTAATAGATTAAATCAAGCTTTTAAAAGGTCAAGATAAACTTAATAAAAAAAAAAACTATGATAGATAATAAATCAAACTCATACTTCAAAATTATTAAATAGGTTAAACCTAATTATACAAAATTTAACTTAGTCAGACCTATTTTTATCTTTATCTACAGTCATTGGCTTGGATTACAAGATGAGTCATTTAGCCAAAACTACTATATTTTAATTTTTTATCTCATTATTATAATATGATCATCTCATGTTATGTGTCTGAGATCAAAAAAAATTTTAACTTAATTCTCAATATAATAAATAATAATTAAATTCTATAATTAAGAATAAATGTTTAATTATTGAGAATAGTAGAGATCAATAAGTTTATGACTGAGTATTTCTTTTTCCTGTGAGAAAGAATCAATAAGAAAATAAAATATAAAGAAAAACTTTTCTTATCATAATTCTAATATATGTTTTATCCTAATGAGACAATAATTACTTTAAAGTATTTAGAAGTAAGAACCTCTCAAGTTAGTAATGAATAAGTCAAACTTATCTCTTATGATTTAATTCAATAACAATAACAAAAAGAAATTATATTTATTAATAATAAAATTATCACAAATAAGTTGAATAATAATATAATTAAAAATTAAATTAAATAACATTATTAATATTTTAGTATTGAATTAATTTGAAATCAAATTAAAATTATAAAAAAATGATTTATATGTCAGGATCTTCGTGGATTGCACATATGGGAGACACGAAAAGTGGATGGCCCAGTATGGTAAGGTATACAAGGATGCTGTTGAGAAGGAAAAACGATTCCAAATATTCAAGAAAAATATTGAATTCATTGAGTCATTTAATGCTGTTGAGGACAAACCTTTCAACCTTAGCGTTAACAAATTTGCTGACCTACATAATGAAGAATTTAAGGTCTTACTAACTGATGGTCACAATAAGGCACATAGGTTGGTGACAATTGACAACCCCAGCAACCAACATCGTTTAGGTATGACAGTGTAACGAAGATTCCTGCTTGCATGGACTGGAGGAAAAGAGGTGCTGTTACTCCAATCAAGGACCAAAGCCTATGTCGTAAGATTCAGTTTCCGTGTTCATTACTTTAAATTTAATCCATATTTCTTTCAAAACGAATAATCCTCAAATTTTTTTATTTGTTAAATAAAAATAAATATTAAGTCTTTTTTATATTGTCAAGATAATAAGTACATTTTTTTTCATTTAATACTTATTTTAGTAGGAGAAATATATATATATATATATATATATATATATATATTATATATAATCTTTAAAAATTATGCTGATGATATGAACTTTATCTTGGTTGTGAAAACAGTTAGTTATTGGACATTTTCAACCGTGGCATCAATCGAGGGTGTCTACCATTTAACTTAGCAAGAAGTAGTAGATTGTGTTAAAGGTGAGAGTGAAGGATGCAAAAGTGGCTATGCGAAATACGCCTTTGAATTTATTTCAAAGAAAGAAGGAATAACAAGTGAAGCATACTATCCTTACAAAAGAGTTGATAGAACTTGTAAGGTTAAGAAGGAAACTCATGCAGTAGCTTGTATTAAAGGGTATGAGAGAGTTGCCACTAATGGTGAGAAGGCACTCCTAAAAGCGATGGCGAATCAACCTGTGTCAGCTTATATTGATGCTGATGGACCTGCTTTTCAATTTTACTCAAGTGGGATTTTCACAGGAAAATGTGGAACTGATCAAAACCATGCTATTACAATAGTTGGTTATGGTAAAGTTCATGATGCTGCTAAGTATTGGCTGAGAAAGGATACATTAGAGTGAAGCGAGATATACGTGCCAAGGAAGGTTTACGCTTAGTTTATGCATGCACTTGGGTTGTTCTAGTGAACTGGGTGTATTTGAACTTACATGCATTATTTAAATTTTAAATTTCAACCATATAATGAAAATAAGCTATTACTAATACGTATACGTACTCTAATATCTTTATTGCTTTTTAAATTTAATTGGAATTATACACTAACAGGGTAAAATTATTTTATGGTGTTATTAAATCACAAATTATCTAATCATAAAAAAATATTTTTACAATAATTATTTAAAATAATTTTTAATTAATTAACAGTGTAATAATATAAAAAATAAACACTTACTTCTCCTAGCCTATACTCTTGCTTTTCGAGCTCTACCTTCCCATGATTAGCTATTTGCATCTCATACATTATTGATTTTGCATTTAAATTTAATATTAAGGGATTTTGGGTTTTGATCCTTCTTACCAGTTTTGTAAAATAATTGTGTTTAAGGTTTTCACATTCTTGTCTCCTTTTTCAATTTTCGGCAAGGATGTTGCTATATCCATACTTATACTTATGAAGATTTAATAAAACTCGCCATAACTTCATTTGAGTATTCATTCCATCTATGTGTGAACTAAATGAACTGACTAAAAGCTCGTTATGTAAATGATCAAGTTAAATTTGAGTCAAGTATAGTTTAACGTATTTAATTCATGAACTTGATCGTTATATAAGATCGATGATTATTATGTAAATTGTCTTATCTTAACTTTTGGTTCATGTAATTGGATTCCACAGTATTATTTTGACGTATGAAATTAAAATTGTTTCGTTTTTAATTTTAAGTGAACTTTAATTTCATTTTGATACTTTCCATTAAGACGGATGAAATTATGTCAATATTGAACAAATCAATTTGATCCATATAATAGTAGAACGGTAACAATAATGAGTTTAATGGTAGAATTAGTTTTAACAACAGTAGTAGTAATGTAACCAAGATATTTTCTTAATATTATTTTAATTATTAATTAAAATTTATTATAAATTATAAAAGAATGAGTGAAAAAATTAAATTAAAAAATTCTTGTAAGTTTTAATAGAATTTAATTAATAAAAAATTAAAAATTATGTTGTAATATATGATGAATATTTTTTAAATAACAGTAAAAATAATAAAAAAAGATGTTAGTAATAACAATGATGAGGTAAGAAAAAAAATTGTGTTTTGATATCTTATTAAAAGAATAACAAGAAAGGAGGTAAAATTACCTTGTGAGATAAAAACAAAATTCATAAAAATGTAAATAGGTAGAAAGATATCCAACGTGTGCACGAGATGACACGTGCCATTCTCAAGTAAAACACACGTTACCTCGTTTTCCTCACTCTCTTAGATTCATCTCAGCTTCGTACAGATTCTATCGACGTCATTGGTTGTAACATTGCCACGTCATCGACACCCCCTTGATACGTTCTGACCCAAAATTTCTTCCTCCTCAAAAATTTCATTCACACCATTTTCGTTTCACAAGATTATCAACAATTCTTTTCTTTTTTATTTTATTTTTTATGTCATTTCACTTCTCATTTCAACACTTGAACTTAACCAAAGAAGCTTTTTTTTCATTGAAATGGCACAGTTACTGTCTTCAGTGTACATAGAACCTCTCAAAGTTCACAACCCATCATTGAATTTGTGTTCCTCATGCTCATGGAGGATGCTGCCAAAGACTGCAACAACTCCTTTGAACTTTGTCGCACATAATGGCAAACGAAGAGGGTGTGGCAGGGTGAGAGTTGCTACTAATGACTCATTTTCAACGACCGAGACCGTTGCTGATGATTACTATGCAGTTTTGGGCCTGGTAATGCATCAAACTATGGTTTTTCCTCTGTTTACTTCCTCCTCAAAATATTCAAACATGGGAAGAAAATAAATGGAACTCTATATTGACTATGGCTAATATAATATTAAATTGGTTGTTCATTTTTTTTTGTACTGTTTGATTGTTTTCAAATGGGTAGCATAATGTTTTGCGGAGGGTCTTTCACATTTTAATATGTAGTATTTGCTGGGATATATAATATATTATCATGTTGTTTCTAATGAAGGGTTGCTCCTTTATACCAGCTTCCAGATGCCACACCAGCGCAGATCAAGAAGGCCTACTACAATTGCATGAAAGCTTGCCACCCTGACTTCAGTGGCAATGACCCTGAGACAACCAATTTCTGCACATTCGTCAATGAAATCTATGAGGTGAGTTCAAGTTTAGATATCTTAAATTTTGAAGGTAGAGAAAAACGTTAAAATTTTGTTGTTGTTTATATAGTAAATTGACTATTGCGGTGCAGGTGCTTAGTGATCCCATTCAGCGCATGGTTTATGATGAAATTCATGGATATTCTTTGACTTCAATCAACCCTTTCCTGGATGAGTCTAGCCCAAAGGATCATGTCTTTGTTGATGAATTCAGTTGCATAGGTACTTTCACTTGCTCTTACAATCTTATATGTTATCTTGATGAGGTTATATTTCTAATGAAATCTATGGTTCTTATTATATTCTTGTCAAGTACTTTTGGTGAGACAAACACTAACATCTAAAATTTCCAATCCTATGTGCTATTTAATTGATATGCTTCATATCTTGATAGGCCTAGATGATGCTTCATTTTATTTGTTAGATCTCAATGACATATCTAGAAAACTATGCAAGTTCAACTAGAACAATTCCAAGGCATATTATGTGATTATACTTCAAATCCTTGAACAGGCTGCAAAAATTGTGCCAATGTAGCCTGTGATGTGTTTGCAATAGAGGAAGAATTTGGAAGAGCCAGAGTGTACAGCCAATGCGGGAAGCCTGAACTAGTTCAACAGGCCATTGATAGTTGGTATATCTATGAGCATGACCCTAATCCTATTTTGTATCCATAGTTTCCGTTGATATAATTAATTTTAGTCATATTAGAATTTTGATAAAACCCACTTTCCACTCTTTCTTATTTTGTCTGACCATGACCATGTTTTGCTTCACTTTTGGCCACCATTCTGTATTCCTGATCTACTTCTATTGGTGATGGCATTGCCTTAAATTCCACTGTTGTTTTATAAAATTTCTTTTTTCCATTTATTACTTATGATTATGATTAAATTGTTCTTAGGTCTTTGGCCAGGAAAGCTTTTGTTATGGGCTGCGTTACATAAACATATTGGTTATTGATTATCCTAGTGTGTTATGGGCAACTATAATCAATTGAATTTTCATGGATCATGCTGGCTCGTATTTATGTTATTCGTACACCCTTTGCCAGCTGCATAGAAATGTCTCATATCAAACATGTGTTAAGTCAAATCATTTTAATTACAAATTCAGAACCCACCTGAATTATCCTTTTTCAGCTATTATATTATGGTAGGCAATTTTTGAAGCCTTTTAACTTCTAGCATGCTGAGTCATATTTTGAGATGGGAGTCAAATATCTAGAAACCAAAAAATCTTTTAAAAAAACGAAAACTCTTGAGGATAAAATATAACAAGGGCCTTTACACCTGCCCTAGGCATGTTGGTTTATCATAGATTAACAAAGGACTAAAGCCTTCTTTCTTAACTTCAATATACTATTAAAGTTTCCATTGATGTTGTTGGACACTTCGAGTTTTCTGAACCTTTATGACAAAGGCATTTTTTGTGAAGTAACTTGTCTAATGGATATTTCAGAAACTAATTTGACAACAACTTTTGCATTTTAGCCCTGTTGACTGCATTCATTGGACATCAGCCGCACAACTATCATTACTTGAAGATGAAATGCGCCGCGTCGAAAGAGTCAATGTAAGGCCATAGTCACAAAGTTTATTTCTTCCAGATCCTTTTTTTTTATAATCTCTATTCCTAAGATAATGCGATCGCTTCATATTTTCTCTCTTCGTTAGATGGCTACTCATATATGAGAAACAGTTTTGACAGAGCAGCATATGTTTTTCAATTTTCAAACTAGAATATTTTTTTTATGGTTTCTGATCATTTTTAGTATGGCCTCAATGTAACTGCATATGAATTTGAAGTTTGTCTCGTTTTTTTTGTAATGAAAATTTAGATAATCAATGGGTTAAAGTGAGGTGACTTTTTTTCTCCAAACGGTATACATTACAATCCTATCACAAAATCTAAATGGATTCAGGACATGCGAATACTCACGATCAAGCTAAGATTTTTGTATAGCTGCAATATATCTACTGAGCATCTTAATTTGAGCAGGTTGCTATAATGCTTTCGGGAATGGGATCAGCATCAACTGATGTTTTCAAAATGGTAAGAACAACTCAGACTTCTCAGTTATTTAAATGTTCAAAGTTTTTCTTCCAATTTTGTAACTACATTTGTGAATATTTTGGGGGTTGATGAGTCTTTCTTAGCATGAAATATGGTTAAAATCATCATATTCTGCATTCCCTGCAACATGGCTGAAAGACCTTCAATTTGGAATTTTCTCCTTTCCGACCCTTGAAACAGTGATTAAAAGTTCATGATAACATGGATTAAGAAAGCATTTTTTCAACACATTTCATACTAGCACTTTGTTGTTCCATCTAGTATTTTTCATGCCTAAGTTTAAAGTTTGTTGCAAAGAAAATCTTTTAATCAGTTTGCCTTAAATTTTAGTCTTTTACCATATAAGTACTATTCATGTACTGTCCCCTCTAACATGATTTAACCATGTAAATAATGACAGGCAAGTTCCCGTTGGGAAAAGAGGCAGGCAAAAGTCTTGGTAACAACAACTCCTTTAATCTCATTCACCTTTTTTAATTTTTCATGCTTTAGTTGAGGTATCACTTGTCTGCATGCTGTTAATCTTTTGCAAATTGTCATGATTTGTTCTACTAATCTTTGGATATGTATATGGTTAAGGAATTAAAATTAGCGCAAACTATCATTTTGATCACTAAAAGATTGGGTTCACATAGTTGCCCTGAAAGATTGGGGACATTTAGTTCTGAATGATGTCATTTTCTTCTTTCAGGACTAAATTTATGTCAATAATTTTTCAGATACTAAATTGGCGTCAACCCAATCTTTCATGGACCAAAATGTTAGTTTACTCTTAAATTACAAAGTTCAAAATTTGCACTAGTTTCCATTCTAAAAATATTTAAGGTTTCTCATTGGTTCTTCATTTTGATGGATTCATGGTAATTACTCGTAGTTTACATGTAAAACAATGGTTCAGAAAATTATTATCTGAAAAGACATTTGTTAGATTTGATATATCTGTAGAATAATGTGAAGATTTGGAAGTCATTTTTGTCCACAAGTAACACAGTTTTAAATCTAGAATTCCTATTCTTTTAAGAAAAACGGGACTATCAGTAGTTTAAGATAATGCAAAATATGCTGAATAGCACAGAACTCGTTTTGCAAATTCTTAGTTTTTAGGTTTAGACCAAGCTGCTTAAACACGGACGAAGCAAATACTAAATTTTATATTAAAGAGGGATGTCTCAGATCAATGTGAAGCATTGTATGACAAAAAATTTCACACCAACTTCGGTGTCTCTTTCTTGGGTATAAAATTTTGTGATTGTTCATTGCTATGATAATTCACAGTATCAAACATGTTACGCACATGACCAAACATTGATAAGTATCTTGCAGGAACAAGCAAAATTGAGAACGATGAAGAAGAAAGGTTCTGGTAAAGCAGATATGTTCTGGAACAATCTTTGGGGAAAACCAAAAGACTTCCAAAGTTCAGGTATTGAATGTGAAAATACTAGAAGTTTCTACAGTTTTAATTCTTGGAAATAATAATCTTAATCTGCCAAGATTTTTCATTTTCAATTGTATTGTTTTAGAACTTTATGTCAGCAATTCTTTCTAACAGAATATTTAAATTTCTAACCTCTAAGTAGCTATTAAGAAATTTTGACTCCCTATATATGCTTCAATAGGCCTGCTTATCTGGTTGTGGTAATTACTTTTATACTAAAGGTTAGGTTATAATGTTTATGCCAATTATAGTCTTTCAAATGATAATCATATGCAGAGGAGGAAGTCAAAGAAAGAGCGCAAAGAGCTGCTGCTGCTGCTAGAAGATGGAGAGAATACTCAAGAAGGGGTGTTGATAAGCCCCCCACATTTAAACTTCCAGAGGTGGCTTCCAACAAGGACAAGTGACAAGTTATATTACCTATAGTCCTATACCTTCTATAGCTATAAGATCCACTCCCATGTAATTAATCCATCCATAGCATGTCATTCAGTCTCATAAGTCTAATTCTTATTAACAATCCATAATTGTATATGCTGAAATACTAATGAGGTAAAATAACAATGATTTATAGTATTTACAGAAATAAATAAAAAAAAGCTAGTTCAATGAGGGTTTACTATTTTCTTTTCTTGTTTTTGCACAAGTCTACATTCCAACAATACCATGCTTGTCAAGGACCAAAAGGATGTGCTCCTGCCATTTTTTGTTATTTTTGGCCTACAAAATAACAAGAAATGCTGCATTGAAATCATCGGCATTTGCATTGGAGCTGTTGTTAACATCATTATTTGCAGCCATCACTGTTGTTGATGGTAATATTGTGGTCTATACTCCTAAAGATTGTCGGTTAAATGAGCAACTAAGTACACAAACGCAAACTTGAGACCTGAACAGGACATTATCTTTAAGGATTATTTCATTTTAACAGGTATCTCAGAAAACCCACCAAGATTTAATAGGCTCATCTAAGATTAGTCTTAGGAAACAAAACAATAATGAGTTTCATTTGATCAACCCAAATAATCAAATTAAGAAGAAAAGATAGTGTGTAGTAGTCTTAAGTAAAATCAGCTGGTGAGCAGTGGTTTTTTTATAAGGTGACAGGTCAATGTTAATGATAAGCCTAATTGACCGACTTAGCAGTTTGATTAAGTCTCTAACACATATCAAGGGATTGACTTTATCAAAATTCGTACGAGACTAATACTAAATCAAAAAAAATATTTTAGAGCAATGGTGGGACATATTTCCTTTCATATGGGTTTTTGAAATATTTTAACAAGAAGTTTCTTCACCATGCATGCAAGCTAAAGCAGTGTATGTTGTGTGGTAGAAAAATAGCCTTCAATATCCCACATAGAAAACGTTGAATTCTCTTAATCCTCAATATTCTAAGCATGGAAAATTCTTGGGTGCACCTAAATGGTCTATGAGCAGTATAAAATGGAGTAAATCCTAGTTTAGCATATTTTTTTAACTTAAGTTTTATTTTAGTCATTAACTAAGTTTTATTTTAGTTCCTTAAAAAGTTTGTGTGAATCTTAAGAGAATATTTATTAAAATTTACATTTAATCGAAGTATCTTCTATTTTAAATAATCTTAAAGATAAGGACGATTTTGGAGTAATCGAAGTATCTTCCATTTTAAGTAATCTTCTATGGTAGAATCTTGAATCACGATATTAGAATATTCTTTGATAAGTGTCATAGCATACGCATTATCTCTATCCAAAAATTGCAAATGGTTTCGATATTCAAAGTAAATTCATTCATGTCAATCCAATATATAAGTAGCAATACCAGCAACGGAACAAAAAATCATTCGAGACGATGACAATCTTTTATTACACGTGCTCAATCCTCATATAAGACAACCCAAAATATGAATCATAAGAATTACCTTAATTTATTCATTAATGATGATCCTTCAAGGCATTTGGACCGGTCTATTAGCCGACACACATTAGAACTACTAGACAGACCACAGTATTCTAGGAATACTCGAAAGAATATCCTCAGCTATCAAACATGATGATGTTTCATGGTGGATTTTTTATGTGTGAAGCTTCTACCAGATACACTGTTTGCAGAATAAACATTGGACTATTAGGCTGTTGTTCATTGTCAATTTCTATTAGAGAACTCTATTAAGTTAATATGGGCGCTTAAGGTAGGTCATCATGTTAGACTTTAGAGTCTTTGGTCAAAGATTTGACATACGTACACACATCCTGTGCACCATATCAAAAAATATGAAATTTCACTTGAACTTCTCATTGACCTTGGTGTAATATGCCAAAATTATTTTTAAAAAATTGAGAAATTCCAAAGCAACCATTTGCTTTTATTATAAGAATGTAGCTAACTCATTTGGTATGATCGAACAACTTTGACTTAAACACCTTGAATTTGATTTTTACTGATTATTCACCATTGGTAAACCCTCTCTAATTACTACTCTAGGAGTGTAAAAATTCTCCATTGGTAAATCCTCTCTAATTTTATTTTTCTTTTATTACATGAAAAATATTTAAAATAATTAAACAAAAAAAAACATAATATTCACCCTAATTCACCCAAAATAGGAAGGTTTTTAATTTAGTGGGCCCCACATCTTTTTAAATTTTTCTCCCTATTTTCCTCATCATGCAATGCAAGCACACAAATTTCCATCCTTCTCCCCTAATTTCATCCCTCTTAATTCCTTTACCCTTAAATACACCAAAGCAAACATAAAAGAAAAATCAAATATATACTATTTAATCAACCACTCATTAGTAGTATGCAGTAATCTTAAATGTGTAACCAAAAAATAGTGTCTTTCTTTAACAAAATATCAAAATGAAAAGAAAAAAAAATCTAAAAAAATGGAGTATTGCCTCATACGCGAGTGGATGACAAGTGGTCTATCTTAACTTCCCTTTATTCCTTTTCATCTTTGATTTGAGGTGCGGTTCACATTGGATTTAAACTTTTGCTCATACAACACAATGCTGAAAGAGACAACCTTCACTAGAGAGAAAATCATTATTCGTGACTCAGCTTCTTTCTTCTCTCTGTGTCCCTCTCACTTGAGGGCCACCATTCACTAAACAACATTACTTATGTCACTTGAGTTGGTATAACTCCGTGTCAACTAAATCAATAACTGCCCAATATTCAGCCTATTGTATTGCATATTTTGTATTGTTCAATTATTGAGAGCAGAGAAGACAAATTAATCAAAAATGTGTCTTCATGCTGCAGCTTCTCAACGCACTTGGAATAAATTAATCAAGATTCTTTAAAGAAAGAAACTAATTAACCTACGAAAATTTCAAAATCAACCAATACCAGAAGGCCCAGAACACACACCAAGGCTTACACTATTGTCCAAAAGCTCTTTTTTTCATATTGGTTTTGTTGTTTGAATAATTAAAATGACACAATATAAATTATTTTTTATTTTTTATCTTTTATCTTTTATCTTTTATCTTTTATATGTACATATACCTCAAAAAGACACAACAGAGTAAAAGAGCAACTCCAAAGTTGTTTAAACTTCAAATCTGTTTTCATATATTACATTTTGCAGGGAGATTGAGAGTGTGTGTGGAAAAAAATATTGAGTACAAGAAAAACTTGTAATATATGTACATTTATTCTCATATCTAGAATCTAATAATTACAATTACTGATTTGCTGAAGACTTGGAACAAGTTTGCACTTAGAACTGCCACAAGAAGGAGAAAACTTTATAACCTTTTGATTTATATTTTTTATTTTTGGTATTTGTTATCGTACAATTGATGCAACTGTGTGAGCCCAGAACCTAAGATTGTGTTTCATGTCAATCTCATTACCCCTAGCAGGCATCCTCCAATTAAGCAATGGATTTCTCATCCTCCTTTGGTCCAAAACTTCCCAAGCCTCAGACAAATAAGGCTTATCAGACACCATACTTTGCTCACCCTGCCCTTCATCTTCTTTTCCAAGTCTTTGCAACCCAGGTATCAAAGAAACCAATCTTGAATCTTTGTCTTCCTCAGAAAACACAAAACCCAAATCCATAAACCCTTTTAGCTCCTTAAACTCAAGCTCAGATAAGCTCCTGCTGGTTCTCTCTTTCTTGTGTGTTCTTCTTCCATGACCATACCCCTTTTGTTTTTTCTTGATGTTTGTATCTTCCTCTTCATGCTTTTCACTGGTCCTCATAGAGAATTCTCTGATTTCCCTCCCTGATGGGATTGTCCTCAGCTTTTGTGGTGTAAGAACAGAATTTGGTGATGGTGAATCACACAAAACACATGTTGTGAAGGGTAAGTTCTGGTCACTGTAGGACCTAACTTCAAGACTTGGAACTAGTTGAATCTTTGTATCAAGAGGAAGCACTTCCTCCTCCTTGGTTTGAGAGATTGAATTTGGATTAGAAGGGGTTTTGTTGGTGAGAATTGTGGTCTCAAACCAGTAAGAATCTAGCAATCTCAAAACTTGTTCTGCAGCCATTACTATGTTACAAAATGAATGGCTTGAATTGATGTTGGATCCTACAAAGATATGAGAAGGTTAGAGATAAGAATAAGTGTCAATGGGTTATTTATATGGAGAGTGGCATTACTTAATTGCCACTGGCTCTATTCTTTTGTTTTATTCCCCATTTTATTCGAATATGCACTTTGGGAAATTTCAAGAACCTTTCTTTTCTTCTTTTGATTTGTCGGATTATGTGATTTTCGATAAAATTAATATCTCAACTTAGGATTGTGGAATTCATTGTGTTTTTTTTTTCTTCTTTCGTTGTTATGGTGAATCTGATAAGACTGAAGATTTTGGCTTGGAGAATTAAATGTTAGTAGTTTGTAGAAAAGAAAATTGATTAAGAATTCAATCTGTGTTGTTTGAACAGTTTGAGTGCCAATTAAGGTGCTGTTGAAGAAATTGTTGATATTTAATAATATAAATGCGGTGATTTATTTTTTTTTTGCATTTATTAACTTTAAACAAGTAGGTTTCTTCTATTTTTTTTATTTATTAAATGTATTAAGAAAATAATAAATATTATTAATACATGCTAAAGCATTCATAATTAAAGATTAAATAATATAGATTTTGTATCTAGCAAAAAAAATAGATTTTATAAATGTATACATCGTGTGAATAAAGAATTTAGTTTGACTACAATGCTAAATAAAAAAATTATATCAAAATTTGAACTTATAGCATCAATAAAGCTAACCTGAATTAAATGGCCGATAAAATAGTAAGTTATAAAATATTTATTTGATCAGATATTTATTAATGGTTAATCTTATAATAAGGATTTCAAAACATTTGATACCGTATATAATAATAATAATAAAAGGCATGGTTATTAAACCTTTTGGGCCGATTGGTTTGATTGGTGAACCGATTAGCCAATCAGATTGGATAAATTAGAACCTCTATGGCCCAATGCGAATGCGATGGGTTTATTTGAAACATGGTTATTAAATATATTTTATGTTTCTAAATAATAAATACCACACACATACTTACAAAGTATTAGATTAATATAAAAATATTTGATATTTGATTTATATATATTAAAAATAATGTAATATATATTTTGATAATATATTAAAAATAATTATACTTTTATAATATTTGACATATTATTCTCAATATAAAAAGTAATACAGGTTAAGTTTGATTTAATTCCTTCTTTCTCTTTTTTATCTGTATATGAATGGTGGACTGATCAACAATTAACATTGTAATTAGTTAAGAGAAATTTATTTTTAAAATTAATTTTTTCTCTTCTTTCTCTTTAATTTTTTAAGCAAAAGAAAAAGTCAAAATTTCAAGATGAATACACTGCCAACAGGTGTGAAAAAGCTCTTTTTTTTTTATTATTATTATTATTATTATTATATACGGTATCAGATCTTTTGAAATCCTTATTATAAGATTAATTATTAATAAACATTTTCAATTATTTACGAAATTACACATTATTTGCCTCAATACGTTCTTTCTTTCTTCATTGGAGTTGGTTTCTTCAACTTTCGATTTAGTTTCTCCAGTCGATGCAATCACTCACCGTCGTCTTCGTGAGCTTCTCTGCTTAGGTACCCTAGGCTTCCATTTTATCTCAATCAGAATTCAATATTTCCTCTATTGAATTTGGCTTTGAATTCGATTGCAGAAACTTTTCAGATTAGCTACATCTTTCGCTCTTAATCTCTCCTCCTCTAATCTTCTTCTTCCTCATCAACCGCCCAGGTTTTAATTTCTTTTCTTACTTTTCTATTTGCTTAAACATTTCTCCAGTAGTGGTAGATCTCTAATCTTACGATCTTTATTGAGAATGTTAGTTGAAAGATGTTAGCAGTATATGATACAAAACAATTGTGCGTTTTATGTCTTTCCTGTATGGTACAGACAGACTCAATTGCACAATATTATGGTTTTGAGAGGGGGTAAGTAGTTAAAGTTACCTATAATGGTGAAATAACCGAGATGCATGTCACATATCGATGCTTCTGGTGATCGTTTCTTGTCCTCTTATATTTTGTTTGTTGAATTCGTAGTACTCTGTTGTTGGACCACGCTTAAGAGGTTTTTTATGGTGCAAATTGTAAGTCCTTGATGATTAATCCTAATGGTTTGAACTCTAAATTTGGTGGTGTGATTTGTTTTTCTTAAACCCTCAAAGAAAATATGTGTATATTTAAAATCAAAGTTATAATTGATATTAAACTATAATATTTGATTTGATATCTGACAAGAAAATTTATAAATTGATTACTCCTCTCTCTTTCTCTGGGATAACCACAGTAAGAAAATAAAAGAGGATTTTTATTTAGATAAAAATTTAAAGTGGTTAAAAGAATGGCATAATGTGCAACTATATGAAAAAATAACAGTAAATAAATCATTTTAAAATGCAGAATAATTTTATCCTTTCATTTCCATATCTCATTATCTCTCTTAATGAAAAGAGAACTATACTGTTAAGATGTAGAGAATCCAATTTAATTTCATTTTGATTTAAAAAGTGGTTTACACCCCGGAAAGTTGCAAACTAGTGGAATTATATCAGGGTAGGGACATAGAAAATATTTAGTTTTTTGTCTTCACTCTCATCCCATTCCCTTTCATATACTGTCATATAAAGAACACACGCTTATACTCACTAAAATATTGACTGAAGTAAGCGCTTGTGAATCAAGATTTTCAGTCAAATTCTAAAATACAAATTATAAGGGTGCATTCGATCCTCTGTAATAAATAATTTGTATCTTTTTCATTTCCTTGGCTTTTTTAGTTTATATCATTATCCAATTCCATCTATTTTAATTTTCAATATTACGTTAAATTATTATTACTGTTAGTTATCTTAACAGTTTAAAGAAAAGTTTGACTGAGAATAATAATTTTATTCAATTCATTTTCAGATTGTTTCTTAAAAATTAACCGTTTTAATATCAATTCTGAAATCAGTAATTATCTGAAAATTAAACGTACTTAGGCTTAATCAATCACATCACAACACTCTAAAAAATAGTTATATATCATCGCATCACATTTGTGATTTGCATTATCATTTTGGACACAGATTTTGCCGTTTTAACATAGCTTTGAAGTATTTTTAATCCTAAACTTACACATATTTATTTCCTTATTAATGAATTAATTATATTATAAATAAATTTAATGAAATGGATAAATATAAATATGCAATGAATTACTCCCTTGATATCTTTTATAAATATAATTTTTATAATAAACAAAAGTATAAAAAAAGGCATAAACATGTTCAAAAATAGATATTTTTATTTTTATAATTAAAATAAAAACATTCAGGTATATTTTTCTTAAAAGAGAGAAGAATATAATAATTATGTATAAAAAAACTATAATGATTATGTTTGAGAAAAAAGACTCATGCTTTACTCTTTTGTAGTATATTTCACTTTTCTCTTCTCCGGTGATTTTCCACTTCTCAAAACTATGAAATGCCATTTTTCCCCTGTCCGCGTGGTGGGTGCAACACAGTGACGCACCAGCGTACTTGAAGTACGTGTTAGGTTATCGGCACGTGCAAAGCGCGTGGTCAATGCTCTCCCCGGGTGTTGCCAGAGGTCGGCTCGCTCGGCTAGCGAGCCTTATCCAATTTCTTATAAAATTTCTGATAATCTCACCTACACCCACCCTTTCCCTCTCTCACAGTCATCCCCATTGGCTATCCCGCACCAAGCCAATCATTTGCAATTACCGTTTTGTTTCCTGCCTTGACCACACACGTGCGAAAACGACCTCCCATTGGTCGACGATGCAAGAGCGCAATAGCCTGGGGCACCGTACGGAACTGTAGATAAGAGGCCACGATTAACTTGTGCTTGAAAAAATTAAAAAAGAGAGAGAGAGAAATAAATTTAAAAATTTTGGAAATATTTTTTGTTCACCTCAATTCGTATGAATATGTATTAATTAATAATCAAAATTGGAAATAATATATTAATTCTGTGAATCTACGTTTTATATTTCACAATAGCGTTTTCCTGATTATTCATTTTTATTTTGTTGTGTGAGAAGAGGAAGAAGAGGAATACGGAGAAGAAAGACGAAAGGGTAGAGAAAGATAAAGAGGGGAAGATCTTGTAAATAAGGAAACCCTAGTTTTTCCTTTTTTGGGTTATTTTTCAAATTTTTCCTATTAATTTTCAGCTACAACCTGCTACTGTTACCAATAAGGAATCTCTTGTCATTGCTTCAATCGAACGAGGTCTGTTTTCAATTTCCCATTTCTCAATTTCCTGTGCCCTTTTCTGTTTTGGTTTCAAGAAGGGGCAAAAGAAAGAGGTGTTCTTTTTTTTGTTTTTTTTGTTTTTATGTGTTTGTTTTATAATCGGGTTTATCGTCATCGATCCTGTTGTGATGGAAAATCGCTCGAGTTTTGTTGGAATAATGCTTTTTTGTGACCCCTTGTAAAGGGTGTTTGTTCCTGTGGTCAATGTGATGTAACCTATGGTGGAGGTCAAGAATTTGGGGCTTTTGCATAGTATCTAAGATTGGAATATGTCTTGTCGAATTACCATGTGCTTGAGTGTGTGATGTGTCTGCATTTTGGTAAAGTGGTAATTGTTTGCCACCAGGAAAGTATGTACCGTTATACAGTGTGCTTGGTTTTCACTTCATGAATCTACTTCTCACGTGTTGATGTTTGAGAATGTGTGTGTGTGTTTGTAGGTTTGGAGTTAGGTTGCTATGTTTCTCTTCAATGATTAACGGGATTGTGTTTGCTGTTCTATTTGTCAATTTTGCAGAGTGAACGAGTTTTGTGGGATTGTGTAATTTTAGGAAGACGCAAAGATGATGTCCAGGTCGTATACAAATCTTTTAGATTTGGCTTCCGGGAATTTCCCAGCAATGGGGAGGGAAACTAGGGAACGGAGGCGGTTGCCAAGGGTTATGAGTGTTCCGGGGATTGTCACTGAGCTAGATGATGATCAGGCAGTTAGTGTTTCATCTGATAATCCGTCAACTGTTTCTACCGATCGGATGATTATTGTAGCAAACCAGCTACCGGTGAAAGCAAAGCGAAAAGAGGACAATAAAGGGTGGAGTTTCAGTTGGAATGAGGATTCATTGCTTTTACAGCTGAAGGACGGATTTCCTGAGGATATGGAAGTTCTTTATGTTGGGTCGTTACGTGTTGACATTGATCCAGCGGAACAAGATGACGTTTCACTACATTTGTTGGATAAATTTAAATGTGTCCCGACTTTTCTGCCCGCTGACGTTTTGTCAAAATTTTATGATGGTTTCTGTAAAAGGCAGTTATGGCCACTTTTTCATTACATGTTACCGTTTTCAACAGACAAAAGCCACCGATTTGATCGCACTTTGTGGGAAGCCTACGTGTTGGCAAATAAGCTATTTTTTCAAAAGGTAGTTGAAATAATAAACCCAGAGGATGACTACATTTGGATTCATGATTATCATTTGATGGTGCTGCCAACTTTTTTAAGAAGGCGTTTTAACAGGGTCAAGATGGGATTTTTTCTGCATAGCCCCTTTCCATCATCAGAGATATATAGGACTCTTCCGGTCAGGGAAGAGATACTGAAAGCTTTACTAAACTCTGATATCATTGGATTCCATACCTTTGACTATGCCCGCCATTTCCTTTCCTGTTGCAGTCGTATGTTGGGTCTGGAGTATCAGTCAAAGAGGGGCTATTTAGGATTGGAGTATTATGGAAGGACTATCAGTATTAAGATTATGCCTGTTGGGATTCACATGGGTCGGATTGAATCAGTTATGAGAATGGCAGATGAGGAGTGTAAGGTAAGGGAGCTCAAACAGCAATTTGAAGGAAAAACCATCTTGCTTGGTATTGATGATATGGACATTTTTAAAGGCATAAATTTGAAGATTTTGGCTATGGAGCAGATGCTCAGACAACATCCCAAATGGCAAGGAAGAGCTGTTCTGGTCCAGATAGTTAATCCTGCAAGAGGTAAAGGGATACATATAGAGGAGATACACACTGAAATACAAGAAAGCTGCAGCAGGATCAACAGAGTGTTTGGGCGACCTGGTTACGAACCAATTGTTTTTATTGATAGATCGGTTCCTTTTGCTGAAAAAGTTGCCTATTACAGCATTGCTGAGTGTGTTATTGTCACAGCTGTAAGGGATGGGATGAACCTGACTCCTTATGAGTATATCGCTTGTAGACAGGGAATATCTAGTTCTGAATCATGTTCCAACGTCAGTGACCCAAAGAAGAGTATGCTAGTAATATCAGAATTTATTGGCTGTTCTCCATCACTTAGTGGGGCTATCCGTATAAATCCATGGAATGTTGAAACAACTGCAGAGGCAATGAATGAGGCCATCTCAATGAGTGATGGAGAGAAACAGCTGCGGCATGAGAAGCATTACCGATATGTCAGCACTCATGATGTGGCTTACTGGTCACATAGTTTCTTGCAAGACATGGAGAGGGCTTGCTCAGACCTTTTAAGGAAAAGATGTTGGGGAATAGGTCTTAGCTTTGGATTTAGAGTTGTGGCACTTGACCCTAATTTTAAAAAGCTGTCGATTGATGCTATGGTCTCAGCTTACAAGAGGTCAAAGAGTAGGGCCATATTGTTGGACTACGATGGTACTGTGATGCCACAAAACTCCATTAATAAGAGTCCAAGCAAGGAGGTCTTGTCTATTTTGGACACACTCTGTGCAGACACCAAAAATGCAGTTTTCATTGTTAGTGGACGGGGAAGGGAGAGCTTAACTGAGTGGTTTGCTCCCTGCAAAAAGCTTGGAATTGCTGCAGAACATGGGTACTTCTTGAGGTCTGATCTCTCTCTCTAACCTGTCATCTATTTTTTTGCTTTGCTTAATATTAATTGTTCTATGATTACTTACTGTATGTGACATATGAAACATATCATTAGGTGGGGGATGAAAGTGCTTTTCCAGTCTAATATGATAGTATTAATATATTAATTTTGAAATCCGTTAATCTATAGTTTTGCAAATGCTGCTAGTGAATCATCCTACTCTATAGTTTAAACTAGTGTTGAGAACACTGACATTGGCTTCCAGCAAAAGAAATTCCTGTTGAGTGGTATTTTATTTCTAAATATGTTTTCCGCCACCTCCCGTATGAATGTGCCATGTAAATCAAATCTAGAAGCTGCATTTGTACTTTACTATCACATAGTTTCTCAAATATTCTTTTTCTTGATCTTAAGTCCTTAACAATTTGTCTCATGTTCTGTGATTTGATAATGTGGCAACTTTTTAGAAGTTTTGACCCTTTTTCAGATGGTCCCAGAATGGAGAGTGGAAAATATGTGGTAAGTGCTTCGAATTTGGATGGATGCAGATTGCTGAACCTGTAATGAAACTATATACAGAGGCTACTGATGGTTCCAGCATTGAAAGAAAAGAGAGTGCTTTGGTCTGGCAATACCGTGATGCTGACCTTGGTTTTGGATCTTCTCAGGCTAAGGAAATGTTAGATCATCTAGAAAGTGTTTTGGCCAATGAGCCTGTTGCAGTGAAGAGTGGCCAATTCATTGTTGAAGTAAAGCCACAGGTATATATAATTTCTCTGAATGATTTGCCTGTGAAAAAAATGGGCCTTTTCATTTTACTATTGATTAATGTCAAAGCCACAGGTATACATTTTTTGTTGTGTGCTGCATCATATCTGTTCCTTCTGCTTTCATATTTTTCAGGTGACAAATATATAGCTATAGATAGCATATAGTAAACCTGCTATATTATTTCTTAATAAAAATAGAGGGCTTGCGTGAGCTGCAGAGAGCTCATTAACACTTCATTGTAATGTTACTTCTGCCATTAATTTGTTCAAAAAATTGTGGTGAACCATTGAAAATGTTTTGATGTCAAACTCTAGGTACGATGGAACTTTTTGTACCAAAAAAGAAAAAGTGAAAGATATGAATTTGCAAGTTCAATTGACGCTGTTGAATGAGTTTTAATGGTCAAAGTTTTCAATTCAATATTGAATTCATACCGCCAGCATTGCAGCTGGTTATTTAATTTTGGCTTGAAGCCTGAACTTTTTAATTGATATATGCCAAATAATTGTGCTGCACCACCCTTAGGGGAAAGAACTGAATCATCTGATTCCATTTGCAATGTGTCTTGCAGGATGTGAGCAAAGGCTTAGTGGCTGAAAGGATATTTTCGTCAATGGCTGAGAAGGGTAAACAGGCTGACTTTGTTCTCTGTGTTGGTGATGACAGATCTGATGAGGACATGTTTGAAATAGTTAGTAATGCAATCTCAAGGAATATTCTTGCCACCAATGCTTCTGTATTTGCGTGCACGGTTGGACAAAAACCAAGCAAAGCAAAGTATTATCTGGATGATACAACTGAAGTAATAAGCATGCTAGAATCTTTGGCCGAAGAATCTGATTCCTCACCCTGCATAGATGAAACTGAGGATTCCTCTTGGAAGGCAAATGTGAGTTGAGGTTTCACCTCATTTAGATTATTTTTTTCTTTTTTAATTGGAATGTAATATTCGTGGTGACATTTGGGGCGTTTGCAGAGTATGCTTTTTTCTTTTTTTTCTTTTTTTTCTTTTTCTTCCTTCAATTATATATTACATATATTTTTGGGAGAATCCCGTCATTATTTTCTGTTCTTGCCATTGATAATTTTACTATTTTGGTTCCGGGAGAGCAGATAAAGATGTTAATTTGGTTTTTTATTCCTATGACAAACGAAGAAAAGAATGAAAGCTCTTGCTTGCTTGGCTTTGGCAACCATTCCAAAAGTTTATGTTGTTGATAGGATATGGAAAAACTAGATTTTGAATTCTGGACAAAATAATTTACTAAGAGAAATGCACTAGAGCTACAACCAAAATTCCAAAAGTGAAGTATAATAACGTGAAATATGCACATGAATTGTAATTTATCTTAATATTACTTTATGTTGAATTTACGACGGTCATAGATTAATTTTTATTTCAATACTATTTGAGTTTCTGTTTTGAATTTATGTTTATAATTTAATGTATATTCTTATTATATACATACTAAAATTTGTTTTGGAAGTCCATCTTCTCCACCCATAAGCGTTGGGAGGGAACTGAGAATGATCGCTGGTTATAACGTGGGACTCCACTCCCATTGGTCTGTTCATGCTGATGTTGGAAGATTCTGAGTCATCATTTTTTTAAAAGGCGGTGCCTTCTTCTGCCTAGAGCTTCTACGGTGGTCCGTTAACAGCTGTTTACACAATAATTTTTACAAGAAATGGCATAATTGATCTCTCATGGTACAGCAATGAAATCCAGTTGGGTGTCCAAAAAGAGCTTTTGTGTATACATCTCATCTTGAAATTTTGACTTTTTCTTTTGGTTAAAAAATTAAAGAGAAAGAAGAGAGAAAAAATAATTTTAAAAATACACATTAAATTATAGAAGTGTTCAAGAACCAATCTAAACTTATCTAAATCGTTAAGTTGAATTGATAAATTAAAAATTGAATAAATCGTTAGCAAAAAAAAGTTGAAAATAACAAGTTAAACCTTTTTTATGTAATTTGGTTTAATATTAATTTTCATGTTTAAAACTAAACTTGAACCAAAGTTAGCCATATATATATACTAAATTTATACTAACTTTTTAATTCTATCATTTTATGTACCAAAAAAATTATTCTTTTGTTTTTTAGTGAATACAAGAGTTCACTAAAGTCAAAGCATACCTTAAAGGATAAAAAGTGTTTATAAAGGTACTTACAAATCATTTATCAACTAGGTTCTCTCATCGATAATGGAATTTAAAATTGCATTTTTGTAAAATACAAATCTAATCCTTATCAATGGAACCAACCTTTGTGGCAAAATAAATAAATTATTCTACTATTTTATAAACCATAACTTATAATATATTTTATTGAATGTATTTGGATTTGATTTTTTTAAGCGAGTTATTTTGACTTTTGATTTAATTTAGACTAAGTTGTAAATTTTTTTTATTAAATTATATTTATAACAAGTTCTTTCTATGTTTACTATGTTTTTTTTACATGCATAAAATTTCAGTTTATAAAACAATATTATCCCTTAACAAAAATTGAAATAATCAATCATATCTAAACAACAAATAATTAGTTTAAATTAATTATTTTTTATGACATTCTCAAACTGGTTTAAGTCAAACGTCTTTATCAGATTCTCTCTTTGTATATTATAAAATAAATCATTAAAATTATTCTAGACATTTTATGTGTATATTTTCTTTTTCTTATCACATAAAATAAAAAGTACTTTTTTCTCTGACCAAATAAATATAAAACAATTCCCTTTTTCATCGTATTTTTTGTATTCCATTTTATTTCACTCATTTTCTTCATACAAGGAGTAAGTAATATCAGGCATAACTTTTCAAAAAATTTCGATAAATCTTGACAAGGGTAGTGTTTGCTCACAGGATTATCACACATCTCAAGGAAAGCACATTGGGATAGATTTCCGATCGGCCAATGACCAATTGTCATATTGGATCGTTGTCACTGATAGCTATTTTTTAGTATTAAATTATATTATCTTGCTAGATTTCTCTAGCACTTTAGCCCTTTTAAGATTTCTTATTAATACATTACACCCCATGTTTACAATTTTCTTAAAAAGTTTACCTTATTTTGTTCGTTGGTTTTCTCACTCACACAGCAGCTTTGCAATAACTCATGAGTGTAGGAAGATACTCACTCAACCTATGGAACTCAAATGCAATCTGCAAATTTAGACCCCCATAAAAAAAGAGTATAAATATTGATTAAAAAAGTACAACCTATAATCATACAAGGTTGTTGAATGATGGTAAGATATAAGAATTTTGATGGGTCCTTTGGCAAATATTACCAGAATGATTCTACCCAGCAAGTTTTATAATCTGTTTTAATCCCACATCCCATGTCTAATAAAGTGTGTTTTCCAAAAATATCTTCATTTAAAGATTATTTTCAGACATGTTTAAAGCTACCAATTCATTTTTAGGGACAGAATGATTGATTTAACAAACATGGGTGATGGTGAGTAGTTAAAGTGGATAGTAAAAAAGAACAATTTACATTTTATAATATTTTTTATAATTACACATTCTTTGGAATAAGAATTTTAATATTACAAATTTGACAACATGAACATAATTTCATATTTTTTGGTTTTAAAATTTATCCCTCATTTATAACAAAAAAAGGCAATAAAAATAAATATAAAGATTCTTATATTTATTCATCTAGTAACACGACTAATATTTTTATGAGCCAGAATTTATTAATTTTTTAACGTGTCTTCAAAGATAAATAATAATATTTTTCTCAAAAAAATAAATGATAAAAATTTATATATAATAAATTTATATTAACAATAATAAAATATTATAATATTTAATACATTAATAACATTGAATATTATAATTGTAATAAAATTTTAGAATTTATTATACTTTTAGACAAATACTAAAATAACTGAATTTTATTAAGCTGAATAGAAAGGGTACTCAAATTCAACCCATGTTAATAACTAATCGATTTTTCAACTCAATAAATTTAGTTCACTAATAAATGCAATTATTTACTTGGCGGGTCGTCTATTGAAAAGTTCATGAATAATTTTATTTTTTATTTTATTGTTAGAAGATAAATAAAGTTTAATTACTTAACATTTATTTATAAACTGTGAGTACTAATTAAAAAAAGCATAAAAGCATTCTTAAATAAAAGTGTGTTAAGATTTTTTAATTGTATCAAGTAGTTTTTTTTGTCATATGTTGTATTTATTTATTTTATTCAAATTAATATAGTATTTATTATTAATAATTATAGAATTTCAATTTTTTAAAATTTTTTAACTCTAAACATTGTCATGTATTTTTTAATTATTTATTAAAAATTTAAGTTAATAACATCTATTCAATATATGAAGAATTACTAATATATTGAGTTCGATATTAAATAAAAGGATAAATATATAATATGTATGAAAAAATGTTGAAACTAATAAATTTTATTATAAATTATGTTTTAGTATAAATTATAAATCATAACTTAAAATAGATTATATTTTTAAAAAGTATAAATATATTTAATAAAATATATTATAGGTTTGTATTTAATAAGAGTGAAAAAATTAATATAAAGTTAATATATTCATGATTTAGTTTGACTTTAAATATAAAAACTGAAAATTAAATTCAACCAATGTAAGAAAATTTATTTATTTTAATTTATTTAGTTTTTTAAAATTAATTTAGCAATTTAAAATAAAATAGATTCTTGAGCAGATTTAATACATATGCAATTACTTAATCATCTTTTATAAAAAAAAATTATTAACTATATTTAATCATTTTGGAGAATCTTGATGGAGTAAATTAAGAAGAAAAAAAAAGAGTGAAAAGGATATGGTTGAATGTAACGGGGTCAAATTATAATTATATAAAACACAGGAACTCAATAAAAGAAAGAAAAAGTAGCAATTAAGTCGCATAAGTGGTGGGACCCATCAGCTTTCAATATAAATTAACTGAAGACATGACATATACCGTTTTCTCTGCTTTCTCTGTGTCATCAGACTCTGTATCCTCTGTTTTCGAGTCACTGAGTCATGGCGATTCGCAGCTCGCTCAACGGACCATCTCTTCGCCGGAGCTCCGTCGCCGGAGCTAGATTCATGTCGTCGTGGTTCCGCACCATCGAGCCGGCTCCTAAGGACCCGATCCTCGGAGTCACCGAAGCTTTCCTCGCCGATCAGAGTCCAAACAAAGTCAATGTCGGAGTGGTGAGTTCTCTCTCCATTTCTGATCAATTTTCCTGATTTTATCTTATTCACGGAAATTGAACCAAAATCAAATCTATTGAAATATTATGTCTAGATTTTATCTTTGTAAATAATCTTAATCGTTAAATAAAGAATTATTATATAACTCTTTATATTTTTAGGATAATAAATATATTTTTATTTAATATAATAAAAGGAAGATTGTTAAGAGAATTTGTAGAAATATGTATGCTAAAGCTCGGGAAAGTGAAAGGATCCAATCCAATCACCTAAGCAGCACTACTGTTCTATTCGTCATTGACAGCAAATAGTAGTTCATTGTTCTCTCTTTATTTTGAATGATTTTCGATAATTTTTTTGGTCAGATTTCTGATTCGTGGATTTTGTAAGCAACAGCAAATAAAAGACTGAAATTTTGAAAATCTGTTTACACGCCACAGAAACAGGATTTTTGTGATTTTGTGAAATTTATGAATTATTTTGAGTGGATCGCTGTGTAATTTAATTTATTTATTTACAAAAGGGTGCGTATCGCGATGACAACGGAAAGCCTGTGGTTTTGGAATGTGTTAGAGAAGCAGAAAGGAGGATTGCAGGAAGCGAGTTCATGTGAGTGAAATATCTTTTTTTTTTTTTTTTTTTACTATTATTATTATTTGACTAATACAAACAAGGGATTCAAAACCAAAAAGTATTAAATAAAAAGTAATTATTTTAGGTGTGCATTAAATGTTAATTTTCATTAAATATTTTTTATTATTTAATTAAATGTCCGTGATGGCATGATGCAGTAAGTAAGTTAGCATCACCTTATTTTATCGTAGAAGAATGTTAACAAGTGATTTTAAGACCCTGATTAAAAAATTAAAATAAAAAAATCTTATAAGTAAATGTTTAATACATATTCACTATAATTTTTGACATATTCTTACGTAATGTTTAGTAATTTTTTTATTTATTAAGCTTTTAACTAATGTCTTTTTTTATGCTCGATATGAGAATGCAACTCATAATTCGTTCCTTGTGCCGATTAATGGTGGCCGCGTAAGGTTCATCCACTAGCTGTTTTTGCTTTTTGGGTGTGAATGGACTGCGTAAGACACTTTTGGGAATATGATGCTACCTAGCTCTTGCTGCGTCCTTTGGGAACTACTTTCCTTTTTCTCTTTTGTTAGGGAATTACGATTCCTTGCACTTTATGATTAGTTTCTTTAGTTGTTTTAGGATGATGTAGGGAATACCGCTTTACTGCATTAGCTTTTCTGGTGTGAAAACTGAAATCTTTTTTAAATCCAATCCCGAATTTTTCATCCTCATTTTTAAGGGCATACCAAACTGACTAAAGAATATGCTTTTGTATAGGTTTGAGTCATCGAATTTATTATGATAAATTTAAGTATACTAATTGATATAACTGGTTTTGCAAAATGTGGGACTAGTTGAAAATTTTCAAATTTATGACGTCTAAAATTTAAATTTGTGAAGTTCTAATGCCACATAGCACGATCCTTTCTCCTTTCACGATATGTAGATTTGATGATAAAAACCCTTGACTTTGCCTTTCTCTTTTGATTGAATGCGGCATCAGCTGTGCCAGTCAAGATATTTCTGAAAGTCAGAAACTAAGTAGAATTGTAGCACACACGATCAAAGTTGTTGTTAAAGTGGTAGTTGACGAGGATGATAAAAATTCCTGTTTGTCAAGGAGAAGGAAAAAATAAAAAAGAAAAAAGAAATTGATGTAGTAGTCCACTTTTCTTCTTCTGCTAACCAGACATGTAAACCAAGTTTTGTTGAATTAGCTAATTGCCTCTGTTTTTAAAATCGTTTTGAAAATGAAATAAACAATCAATAAAAGTTGAGTTCTCTGGATTCATTGAAATATATGTTCCATCAGATTCAGATTTGCTTTCCAAGACAAGCTTCTAAGTATATCAGCTAGTAATTTTCTCCAGAAACACCTCTTTTTTTTTTCTTTTTTTTTTTTTTTGCCATGTATTCATTACACCACCCAACAATAAAATAAGGGTCTTTCTGTTCATATAATTTCTGCTTTTCTGATGAAGCAAATGTTTGACCAGGGAGTATCTACCTATTGGTGGAAGCATAAAAATGGTAGAAGAATCCCTGAAGCTGGCATATGGAGAAAATTCCGAGTTCATCAAGGATAAAAGAATTGCGGCAGTGCAGGCTTTATCTGGGACAGGTGCATGTCGACTTTTTGCTGCGTTTCAACAGCGTTTTCATCCCAACACCCAGATCTATATACCAGTGCCTACTTGGGCCAAGTACGTATTTAGGAATTAGGACAATTCTCCCTTTAAATATTAATATTTCTATTGACTTTATGAGCTTTTAGATTTTGATATTTATAGTTATAAATTATCTGTTTGTCCCACATCTTGCTTATATATTTTTTTCTAACTTGAAAAATTACAGTCACCATAATATTTGGAGAGACGCTGGAGTGCCAATGAAGACATTCCGTTACTATCACCCCGAGTCTAGAGGATTGGATTTTGCAGGCGTGATGGATGACATAAAGGTATACTTCTCTTGTAAGAAATGTCATCAACACATTCTCAAATTATTAACTAAAATTTATTATAAATTATATGAGTCATGCTCTTAAATTTTATGATTCTCAATCATATTTTTATAGTTTTTAGTAAATTTTAACTAATAATTAGAAGTATGTTAAGAAGAGTGTTAGAGAATATATTTTTAGCACTCCTCTTCCTGTCCTTATTAACCCAATGATTCTTCTTCTTCTTCTTTTTTTATGTCAGCTTTGCTAGTATTCTTACTACTTATATTAATTATTTCTTATACAGAATGCCCCAGATGGTTCCTTCTTTCTGCTTCATGCTTGTGCCCATAATCCTACTGGTGCAGATCCTTCAGAAGAACAATGGAGAGAGATCTCTACCCTAATAAAGGTAACAATTTATGGAATGATACATAAAATCACTGAATTTTGCTGTTCTTTGTTTTAGTTTTTGACTCTTATTGTTCGTTGTTATGATTGTTTTCAGGCTAAAGGTCATTTCCCTTTCTTTGACATGGCATATCAAGGTTTTGCAAGTGGTGATCCAGAGAGAGATGCAAAAGCCATCAGGATATTTCTTGAAGATGGTCATTTAATTGGACTTGCTCAATCATATGCAAAAAATATGGGACTGTATGGCCAGCGAGCAGGATGCCTAAGGTCATTTTTTATTTATCTTTTGAATACAGAAATCTCTTAATAATCTTGCTTTCGTAAGTAGTCTATTTTACAATATAACTCCAGAGCATAATGCTATGAATAGGTTCTTCAGTGGCATTTATTGGGGTTGTGGAGTGACATATGTTGAACCTTGATGATTCTCTTAATACATTGGATGTAGACAACCTGCGTGTCAGCTAAAATATGGTGCTGATTGTATTATCAAGTTAAAACTATATGCTATTTCGCTCTCCAATTTTAGTTCCTGAAGTTAAATTGATTTTGAGACCTCAGCTCCGAAAAGTCTATATATATGGAGGGGATAAGAGTGCAGGGGATTTGAAATATTAGAATATCAAGATTTATGTAAGAATATTAGCATTTTAGAATACATATAGTCATTTATGTTGATTAGATTAGAACAATCAATTACTGATTGATGGATAGAGATAGTTTTTGATCAGCTGAGATTACTCTCTAATTAATTGTAAATAATAAAAAATAAATACTAGAGCATGACACAATATCTCTCAATAATTGTATCTCTTGATAAAATTAAAATAACGGCAATTAATTAAAACACAAGGTGAACTGACAGTAATTACTTTAAATGCTTTGAGGAATGAATCTTAGATTTTCATTCTAATTCTAATAATCTGTGTATAAACATAGGATATTCGTAAGTTTAAACATTGAGCTGCTTTACAGAACTTCTGGTCTGGCTTGGCTGCGAAATGTGAATTATATTCAGCAGAGAAAAGTTTTCATAATTTTAAGTTTCCTGCAGCGTGCTTTGTGAAGATGAGAAACAAGCTGTGGCTGTAAAAAGCCAGTTGCAGCTGATTGCTAGACCCATGTACAGTAACCCACCTCTCCATGGAGCACTTATAGTTTCAACTGTCCTTGGTGATCCAGAGTTGAAGAAGTTATGGCTTAAAGAAGTCAAGGTAAAGCGCCATTTTTGCTTTTTTCCCTTTCCCCCGTAAAAGCACCATATATGATGCTGCAGTATGTTATTTTTTCTGTATGGAGAAGTATGATATATCAATAATATCACATATATGTTACCTTTTTGGAGTGTCATTGACTGAGCATAACATTCATGAGGCAATGGTGCCATGCCACGATAGGAAGAAAGTTAGAAAGCAGGAAATTTCAGCATGCAGGCAGTCGTCAGTTTGCTGCCTTTGGGAATTTTTGCCTTCTGTTGCACTCTTAAATACAGATTTCATGTTGGTTTTGAAACTCAGAAATTTGTAAAATACTTTACGTTGAATATTACTTTTTTGGGGATGGTTGCCTTCCATTTTGGGTACTTCAGAAGCTGGCTTAGTGCATGCGCTTTTCTAGTCAAATTTATTGTGTCACATCGTGCAAACATAATTAGTAGAAGTATTGTTATTTCACAAGGTTTTTCAGATTATGTTATTTTTGTCAAATATGCCATTTTTTTTCTGTCACTGTTACTAAGTTTTGTTAATATATTCCAAATTGTAATGTAAAAACAATATTATCAATTTTTAATAAACGGTCAGTACAAAATTAGACACAAAAATAAAGTCGGGGTAATAGATTGAAATTGGACTACCATATATTGTATCTTTACAGGTTATGGCAGACCGCATCATCGGAATGCGGACAACACTTCGAGAGAACTTAGAGAAGAGAGGGTCTCCTTTGCCATGGCAGCACATAACCAATCAGGTTCAGTTGAATATGCATAATGCACAACTGTTGCAACCACTTTTTACTTTCTTTTTCTTTGCTTATTTTAGTTGCTTGAAGTTTTCTTTATCCTTCACTTTTTGTTACATTGGAGTGTAATAAACTTGGTAAGGAAAAGGGATACAGTCTAGCGAAGGATTTAGGATTGAACTTCCAACATCATCATCGACTCAACTTCATCTTGGTTAGCTTGTTACTTCTCTCAGAGGTTTTTTTTACTTATGCAGATCGGTATGTTCTGCTACAGTGGAATGACACCAGAACAGGTTGATCGTTTGACAAACGAGTTTCATATTTACATGACTCGCAACGGTCGTATCAGGTAATACACCTAATCTTCTTTCTACTACTATTTTCATGTATTGGAAAGTATGTTAAAAATCTGTAAACATGAATGTAAATATGAATTTAATATAAAAGTTATAACTACTAACGTTGAAATAAACGTAGATCATGACCATTCAAATGCAAACCTAAACATTCTATTCTTTACACTTTTGATTTCCTGAGATGTAGCAATGGGTAGTTTACTGTTATTTATATATGTGTGTGTGATTATTACAGTATGGCTGGTCTTAATACGGGCAACGTTGGATATGTGGCCGATGCTATCCATGAGGTTACAAAATCAGCCTAGATTATTCAATTATACAAGAGAACAAATTTTTGCCCTTGGGAATGACAAACCCATCAGAAATAGTCTTGTCCAGGGGAGCACAATAAAATTTGGACACATTTCATCATCGTACTCATTTTCATCACCTTGTTTCAACTGTGGTTAGAGGGTAATATTCAGGGTTTTCCCATGCATATTGAAGACCCCTATGACATTAGATCCATTTTTGTAGTCCTCTTTGTAGGCACTTTGCGATGCATCTCCTCACCTTTTATTTTTTTAAGCAAAATAATTTGAAAAGTGGATTGAATAAGAGGGGTTTATTTATAATGAAACAGCTAGTAGTAGGTTCACTTTTACTATACTGTCAGGCATTATTCTTGTCATTGAACATTTGCCATTGTTGATTCTATAGGGATCTTCAGAAGCTTGATTTTTCAATACCTCTATAAGCTCGATTTATGACATGCATATTTGGTTCAACTTATTTTGGAAAAATAATCGTTTATTTCCTATAACTTTCTGGGAGAGTAAAAAATAAATGATTATTTCTCTAGAATTAAGCTAAATCAAACATGTAGGCTAATTTACTGGACCTGAGTTTGTTTAGATGTCATCCATGCCTATAATTTAGCCTACATTGCTGGAATTACCTTGTGCAAGCAAATGATCAAATCAATATCAATATATGGATACATTGCCGACATTGTAAGACCTAAATCGTGTAAATCTACGCCTTGCAATTTTGAAAGAGAGATTGAATGAAAATAAAATTTTATAATTGTCTCCAATCTATACTGAGGAAAATTGACTTGAGTCCAATGCTTGTAATCATTCTGTATGAAATTTAATAGTCAAATCAGTATTTGCATATCCTAATATTATAGTTACCTTTTGTAAATGATGCTTTTGTTTTGGTGATTGTATGTTCAAAGATTTTATTTGATTTTTGAATTAATTTGACTTTGGTTGAAAATTTGATATATGTGAACCATTTTTACAAATGAATAATGATGAAAATTACCCCTTTCATAATTGCTGATAGGTCAATTTGGAAATTATGGAGTTTTTAATCAATTTAGGATCTCACTTTTGGACGTTTTGTATTGCTAACAAATTAGGAATCTCATTTTGCAACCTGAACCATTAAGTAATTGAGGAAATTACTCACTACGATTGATTTCTTTACTAAAGTAGACTTGTTCTCCAGAAAATATCAGTGGTGGTTTTTATTTTCCAAACACCAATTTAGGAATGGTAGTTGATAGACTGTCGGATCTTTTAAACACATTGATTAGATTTTGATTTGTTACTATATATATATATATAGTAACATTGTCATTGTGTTTATCGTTATAGTTTCATTTTATACAATTTAGTCCTTAAATATGTTAATTTTTCAGTCTTTCTCTAATAAAAATTGAAGTAAAATGAAAGCAAAATTAATATATTCGACACCCAAATTGTAAACAACAAAAGTTTTAGGACCAACTACTTCCCTAAATGACTAAATGCATGCAGGGTAACACATTGAAGGGTCAAATTGTATAAAACAAAACTTTTAGGAAAAAAAAAATAAAGTATCACTTCTGAAAACCAATTTATATATTTACCGGAAAATAGATCAAGTAAAACTATTAAAGTTCGAGGAATATGAATGTAATTTTTCATGATACTATTGTTTCTTTATTAGTGTGAACAATGTAATGATTGGTTCATTCTTTTGAGGACAAAGCTTTTGAAATAAGAAGATACACAACACAATCACTCTCAGATTATTATTATCGTAGTCATTTGCATAAATTTTTTTTTTTTCGGCTACAATTTGTTATTAAATGAGATTCTCTTCTTTTCCTCTTTTTCAGTACAAGACCTGTTTCATCAATGTTCTTAAAATCGAACTCAATAAAGCAAGGTGCTGATGCATGATTCCTTGAGTCGATTGTTATTGAATTGTAGTAAAACCAGTCATAATTAAATTCATATTTTTATTATATAACTTTATGAGTACTAAAATTTTTCATTGATATTTTTATGAGTCTTAAACCATTTCAACTGATTCCTAACCGATTTTACCTGGTTTTGAAACTTGCCCAATTATTTTAATTAATGGAACGAGACCCTTGAACCAATTCACCAATATTCCATTGAGCGGCTGTCTGGTGCGCTCTTTTCAACATGATGTGTCAACAATTATTACAAGCCGTTTTTTTAAGATTTTGGAATGCAATCTAATATATAGCAACTGTGTCCTCTCAGCATATCATACCAACAAGACAATAACAGTAAGCACACTCTCAGAACCCAGTGCAAACCCTATCATCAGCATAAAGAAATTTTTTATTTCTTTTTGAACTTTTGGATTGAATCCTTTCCTCTTGTCCAGAACGTAGTGACACTTTTCAGAGAACATCCTGATGCACACTGATCGGGTCGCATGTAACAAGAAATCTTTGCCAAAAGGGAGGAAGGGGTTACTAGAGTATAAAGCAATTGAAGAAAATTTTAGTTTTGAATTAAGAGATTGTCATAACCACATTAGAAACAACATCATCAATATGATCACGAAAAAAGCAAGCCAAACTACTACAGGGGCCCCTCAATTTCAGGTGGGCTCCTCTACCTACGTAGACATGATTGCTATCATTTTATACTCCTAGATTTCTGAAATCTGACCAAAACAATATACAGATGTGGGGATAAGTATGCTTCAACTAGAATGAAATATTAGACAGAATCACCAACTTTAACGTTATGCCGAGCAGCCAGCACATGTATACATCTTCACAGGGGGTGGAAAAACTGCAGATTAGGCCGGAACCCCCAGTTATATAGGCCACAAACAGCCCGTCTGTTACTTCACAAAGATCACTATACCGGTTGACTTGTTTCATTATCCCTTTACATTTATGTACCGGCAGAATGAGAGAAGCTGAAACCAGTCTGCCGCCTAATATGCTCCGGGATGAGCCTATTGATCAGTTCAGGTGATGCTCCAGCTAACTGTAGTCAAAGTTTTCATTACATAATCATTATGATCTTCTTTTGGTTGTTAGATACTGTTGGCAATTTAAATATATGAGAAATTGCTAATTGGATTCCCTTGTGTTTTTAGATGTCACATTCAATAAAAGATATCAATCAGAAACATACTTCCTGTTTAAAGTTGAAAAGTGGGGGCAGTGGACGTCCATTAGGTAGACGGGCATTTGGCTCACGAAGCTCATCAAAGAAAGGATGTGCACATGCTTCCAGCTGAAATAATTAAAAGCCATTAGTGAAAAATTATGCCAATTGAGTTAACTAAATCCAAAACATGCCCTAAGGCAAACAGATCTAATAGCAACAAGGTTAAAATGAACAAACTACTTGTGCACCTTTGCCTTCCTTTTAAAGGGAAGCAGTGAAGGGGTGTTATCAAGGTTTATCCTACTCACCGCAGTGCAGCGAAGACTAGGTGAATATTGGAGAAGCCTTGATGCTAGGTCAATTGCTTCAGGAGGCATTCGCTTGTGGAAAACCTGCACCATAAATCATCAAAATAAATGCATCATTCTTCAGCCAATGATAAATAACCTACATCAACCAATGCTATCAAGCTCATAATTTACAAAACAAAAAAATGGAAAAGAACCCTAAAAAAACATAGTAACTCGTAAAGCAACTTATTGAATTTGAAAACTATATTTAATTTTTTTAATCCACATTTTGAAGTCCAATTACAATTCAGCAATAGTTGCACATAAAAAGGATGATGGATGAGAAATGCCTTTACCTTGTGCCAGGGATGAGCTTTAATCTGAGGGAATCTAAAATTTGTATAATTCGGATTCATGCAACGTATTTCCTCTCGAGTTGGAGTACCAAGAACCTACAAGAAGACACTTAAATAATGATCTCTGTAAATATTTTCTGCAATACATGGAGACACTAATATAGAAAAGACATCACCTTGATAATTTCCACAAGTTGTTCCACCTGATTTTCTCCAGGAAATAATGGCTAAACAAACATTTCAAGATATGCTAAGTCAGTATGAAATCTCATGAAGGAGGTGAAAATACATCTCAAGTATGAGCAACAATAATGCATAGGTTGCCAGAAAGTTTAACCTGTCCTAGAAGAAGTTCAGCAAGGACACAACCAGCAGACCAGATATCAATAGAAGTTGTGTATTCTGTTGCACCAAATATTAGTTCTGGAGCCCGATAATAACGTGAACATATGTATGAAATGTTTGATTCACCCCGGACCTGATATAGTTTTTTTTGTAGAAAAAGAGTATCATAATTACATTCTAGCAAGTTGTGTACCTGAGAAGCTTCACAAACTTGATAATTGTAACAAAAATCGACATGTTATGCCAATCAATAACTTCATTTCCATTTATTTTTCATAGAAAATGAAAAAAGTGGGTCGGAGTCAAGATTCTTAGCATCATTAACATTTTAATTACTATTTACTGTAATAAAACCATCACATATGACAACAAAAGCAACCAAGCCTTATCCCACTAGGTAAGGTTGGTTGCATGGATCACACAAGCATTGAGCTCAGTCAACAATAAAACCATCACATAAACAGATTAATAGTGCGTTTGTGAAACGAGCTCATTATAGCTTTAGCATAGCTAAGTTCAGTGTTCACTGGGCAGCATATGATTTTAGCAGTCCTCCATCATCATGGTGGCATAGTCCATGAAGCAATAATATATACAAGAACAATGCAGACCAACATACCAGAACTTTGGCACTCCCAAAATCACAAAGCTTAACTTGGTGGGTAAGAGGATGAACCTGCAGTTATATATGTGAAAGATTTAGATTAATGAATACAACTCAAAGAGGAAAAACATTGAAAGAATAACATACCAAAAGATTTTGAGGTTTCACATCTCTATGGCAAACTCCCAGAACGGTATGGATATATGCTAATCCCCTAAAGATCTAAACATCACATCCAAACTCAATTGTTATTAAGTTTTAAATCAGCAGAGCTGAGGACAGCACATCAACTAAATTGCAAAACATAGAATAGTTCATACTTGATAAGTATACAGTTTCACATAGATGAGAGGCATTCTCTGGTTTATAGTATTGTAGTGCTTTATAACTCGGTCCATTGTCTCAGGGACATATTCCATCACCAAGTTCAGAAAAAGTTCATCTCTGCTTGTTGTAGAGAAGAAACAATGCTTCAGGGAAATCACATTTGGGTGATCCATCAAGCGCATTAACTGCAGCTCACGATTTTTGTACCGCCTGTCTTGCAAGACCTTTTTAATAGCCACTGCCTCCCCAGTCTCCAAGCATTTTGCCTATGTTTTAGGAAAAAGGGTAACTGAGAGAAGAGAAAGCTTATTAAGAATAGTTATCACCTTAGTCATTCATGCATACCTGGAAAACAACTCCAAATGATCCAGTGCCTACAACACGTTCTGCCATGTAACTGATAGTCTGTAAATTTATTAAACCATTATAATTATTCTTCAGAATTATACATCTTCTAAGACCTAAAAGAATAGTTGGGTGAATAAAAAATTATCAGATGAGGTAGGCACTGGGAGAAAAGCCAACCTCTGATTGACAACAAGATTTATACTTTAGGAAACCGTTAAATATAATGGATAATTTATTATTTTTTAATTCCCAACCCCAACTGTAGTTCCAATCTATCCCCAGAAGGAAGTGAATAGTTATCTATCTAAACACAATCATTAATTACATGCTAATGAATTTTTACTAAAAACTGTAAGTTGAGAAGGAAAGGGGGTTAGAACACATCCACACCTGTTTTGGTTCACCATTTTTGCCTCCAATTGTGGTGGAAATTATGTGGCCAGTGACTGCATCATTCCCTTCAATTACCGTAGCTGACATTTCCTGCAACTTATAGCAAGAAATAGATATTTAATGCAGTAAATCAATTTTCTTAATGCAAAACTTGAATGTTAGATTTTTATTGGTACAATATCAATCATAACTTGATTTTTAACAAATTGTTAAATTTAGCTTTATAGAACTTATCATCAATAATTCGGTTGAAGAACATTCACATCATAAGGCAATATTGCCTATCAAGTATCATGAGCATACAGTGGCAGACATACTGTTGAACATCATATCATATGCACAACAATGTTAATTTGAGAAGCTGTGAAAATAAGAAAGAAAGGGTAGTATCTCATGAGTTATGACCGTCCATTGCTTAAAGCATGAGTTATATGAGAAGAATATTGCACAGCAATGAAGCATAAGCACCAGGGTGTTACCAAAAGTAATCAAGCAAAGATCAGAATGTGAAGTTGAAGAAAGGCAAAGTGTAAAGAGCTCAAAGAGTGTTCAAGCAGCTAAAGTTAAATCAGGTTATCGCAGTTCACAAGAAAGCACAAAAAAGCTTTAATATAACTTAAGACACCATAGAGAGAGAATCCAAGGACTTTCATTCCCCGAAGCAAACTAGAACAGTTTGGAATTTTAAACAACAATCCACCACAACAGAAGGAAAGGGAACTCATAAATCACAACCCAAAAAAAATGGAAGAACTACAGCATTTTAACAGAAGAATCCATTCACAGAAACTTAAACGACAGCGACACAGTACACGGGGATGCAATATTTAACAAGGAACTCAAGATCTAAACAAAAATTGCACCCCAATAAAGACCAGATAATAATACAGAGTTGACATAGCTAAAGACATTTAACAGTATATTAAACATGACATTAAAAAAGAGATAATTGCCATGTACAGCAAACCTATTAATTGTTATCAACGGGAAAATTTCAGAAAGTGAATTCCGATAGTGAAACTTCGAAATTCAGATACCCACTATCCCAGAGTCTAAGACAACTTGACAAAGGAACTTGTTGCTCGGGCACCTAAGTACACCTAATTAGAATCTCTCTTTGCATCAAAGGGAACAAAAATTGACGAACAGAACTCCACATTTTCACTTCCTTTAATTCCTTTGCGTTTCTTCAACACCAAAAACACGAAAAACCTTGCTGGCTTCAATTTTTTCAGCATTAAGGTCCGTACCGTAAAAGCATCAACCAAACTACTCCTAAAACATAAAACTTAATTTCTTCCTATTTTTGGAATAACTTAGCGAAAATAAGCATCGCTATTCGAGGAAAAAAAAAAAAACCACTCCATTCAGTGGCGTCGCCGGAGATTTCTCGAGCGAGTTATGAAAAACCGGTAGATCGCTCGAAATTCCCCCGACGCCAAAGCTTCCGAGGTGGATCGACGACGATCGTAGCTCCGGAAAGTCGGAACCACTCGGAAGGAAAAACAAAGCGGGAAAGAAGCGTTCGTGATGAGTACAATGAGCGAGTGGTTCAGCAGAAGTACCTTGTCAGTCTCCACATCGGAGCTCCGGCGAGCCACTTCAGGTTGCGCCTGAAACTGTGGCGGTTGAGATGGTTGCGTAAGCGGCGCCAGCGGTGGTTGGTGGTGGTGCCCCAAGGGCATGGAGGCCATGCGATGTGAGAAACACTCTTCTTCTTTTCTCTCTCTGTTACCTTTCTTCGTTTTTCTTCTCTCTCTCTTGCTACGTCTACTTTGTTCAGGAGAGAGAAAGAGAGTAAACTCACGCGAGTTTTGGAGTGTGGATACACGCGTGAATCCAGACCGTACGTATGATGAAATGTGATGATCATGATGACAGGGACCTGCGATCTAGTGTGGTGAGGTGCAGGGGAACCGAAGCTCCTTCGATGCGTTGCATGCACCTGCAAGTCGTAATGGTTACAGATGCCATGCTTATTCACCATTATTACAATTAAATTAACCACAGAAATTAAAACGGAAGGTATATATCATATACTGTGTATTTATTATAATGTTCATTTCATATTCAATAAAATAATATATGTATTTAATATCCGATGACATTAATTTTTTATTTAATAATTAATATATTATTAAGAATAAAAATTTATTTATATATTGTCGCGACGGTTTACGCAGTTAAGTTTCAACTGCTTGAAAACCTTTTCTTATTTTAAAAAAATAACTAAAACACCTCAATTGACCTATTTTTGTATAACACGGTTTTTTAAGTCAAAAAAATTAAAATTAAATTTTTTTAAAAATATAGAGATGAAATTTTAAAAACATTTTATAAAAACTAAATTTCATATATTTAAGAGATTAAAAATATATTCAATTAAAATTGATTCTTTGACAAAAAAAAAAGTGTATGACAAACGTTGTCCTGCGTTAATTTATGACCTGGTTGATCAATGGTCTACTTAAGAAAAGCAAAAAAATTATTAGTTTGATATATTCAAATTTTAACCAGCCTTACCATATGCGTAGACAAATGGAATATAAGCATAATTAAAAATTATAATAAAAGCTTTTTGTAAAAAATTGCAAATTCATAAGAATGAAAATATATTGTATATTTTATCAAAAGAAAAAACATTATGGTATTAATGTTGAGAAAGAGTTGTTTTAAGTCATAAATGAAATAGAAAGAAGCTTTGAATAAATGAACTTTAACCCAACATATTGGTAGCTTTGGATGCGAGAAAGAATCATAATTCATAATGTAGACGTTATCATGAAAGTATATGCTTTTCCCTTCTTTTAGTGGCTGCAATAAGAATTTCCTCTAAAGAGAAAAAGCACTTAAACTTAAATTATATTAAAGTCAACAAAGTACGAATTGAAAGTTGACCAAACCTAATAATACCTTATAACTTGACTCTTGTGATCGTATGCACATTACAAAAATAAGATGAAGTGAAGCTTATGACGATGACATTGGAATGAATTAATATCTCTCTTGATAATACATCACTATAACAGCTGATGGGTCCTCTTGTTATTATCACCAGCTCACAAAATCACAAACATGAAATAAATGGCATATAGATGCATGCATGATCAATTCACAACCCTACAATTCTTTCTGATCTCCCCACTGGTCCCAGTGAGAGGACTGATATTGCCCAACTTCACCATAGCAGCAGCAAAATCACTGAAAAAAGCAGCATTATTGCTACTATAAGACCTAACCAAAGCATCTTGTGACCCACCATTGAAAAGCACTTGATCAGAGTGGAAAAGACCACGGCGAGCCACAAGGTCATTGTAGTAATTATTGTCAAAACGGGTTGGAGTGCGGGCATCAAGAGGAGCCAAGTTGAAGTTTCCACCAGAAGCAGGGCAATTAGCCTTTCTTGTAGTGGCAAAATTGGAATCAATGTTTGTTTCGTTGTATATGCGAGTCCTGAAAAATTGACACTGTGCTTGCCCTATTGTGTGGCCACCAGATAGCACGGTCATCTCACGTGCACTTAGACCCTTTGCTGCAAACATTGATATCAGAGTGGGGAGGTCTGAGAATGGTGAAGGGATTTGGCTGTTTGCTGCACTTTGGCTTGCTGTTCTTGCATCTCTTCTACCCAGAGGGACTGCCCATGAGGGTCCTCCTAGCTACAAAATTATGATCAATCATAAGTTGTTAGAGCCATAAAGTAGTCAAAAGATGACATAATTAATGGTGCTACTCATGTTTAATTTGTTTGTTTTCTTAAATATGTTTTTACTTTTTCTTCTTTTTAAATTTTGATTTTTATACTTTTGTAAATTCTTTTGTTTTAAGTCCTCTTTTCTTAACGTGACTCTACAAAAATTGAGACGTGATAGTTTTTTATACTTGATCATGTCATTTTTAAGTAATCATTAGGGGTTAAAAGTATTGGGTTTTAATTAAAAAATTAAAAATGAAAAAAAAATAGAGGAATTAATATAAAAATTAAAAAATATATTTATTTTTTTAGTGATAATAATGTGTTAATTATTTTTAGAAACAGACAAGGTAGGCATAATACATGAAGCATGACTTTTCTGTAAATTATTTTTGTTTGATGTGTATATTTGGATGATATTGGATGCCCCACTACATTGCATGATGATCAATCAAGACAGAAAAGTAGTAAAACCGAAAGTGGGAGGGACATGGTTTGAAAATAAGCCCATGCTACAGAAAATGTAAATAAAGAAACCAACATCAAGTTAGCTACTTGTGAGAATGACTTCAAATTGGAATCTCCGTGAGATCAGCACACAGTTCAATCTCAATAGTGAAGGAAGAAAATGCCTGGAGGCTTCTTATATTTTAAGTATTTTAATTATATATGCAATTATTAATACAATGAGGGGTTAGCTAACTACTGAGGTCACATAAAGTATTCTAATGATTATTTCTTCACTGGTCATTGTAATGACGTTGTGAAAATTTATATAAATACAGTGAAAGCCCTTCTTCACTGGTCATTGTAATGGCTTTTTTAGGCACTGAAATCAACTTTCCCACAAGGGGAAAAAGGTGCATTCAAAAGAACACATTTATATAACCCATTTGAACTTTTAATTAAAATAGATAGAACTTCTATATCCTGATGGTGAATATATCAAAATAAACTCTTTAAATCATTTTAACAAGTTCTATGATTAAATTATGACATAAATTTATAAACAGTAAATATTTAGTTAATCTGCTAACTTATTCACAATCAAAATGTCGATCCATTTTTAAGCCTTTCTAGGTTTATACTTAATTGCATGTTAAAAAACAAAAGGTTATGTGTGCACTAGCATTATGCAACAAATAAAACATACATATATAATATGAAAATCATTTTGTTATAGATGAAGACTTTGCTACATAAAGCAATGAGAAATTGGCTCACCAGGGCTACTCCATCTCTTGTGGCAAGTGCAAGGATATCTGCACAAGACACGACACCACTGCAAGCAGATTCAACGTTTGTTTTAATGGTATCAATAACATCGAAGCCCCTAGCTGAATTTTGGTTCGGTGCTGCATTTTTCTCGCCAGTGAAGGTAGCAGTATCGTCCAATAAGATTGATCCATCGCAGCCCTGCAAACAAAGAAACAAAATTATCATTTTTAATTATTTCTAATTCAAATTTTCATTTAACAAGTCATGTATGCTAAGCTTTTATTTTAATTATTTTGTCTAAGACCACATTTATATATCCTCACTAAAAAATAACTTCAGTCACACATCACAGCAAGTACTACGACTTAAATAGAATCCAACCCAAAAGGGTAAGGACAAAATTTATATGATATTTTTTAAATGTTATTATATTGGAAACTATACCTAAATTTTATTCAAAGACTAATTTAAGTATATCATTTTACATCTTGTTTACTTAATGTAAAATATATAAGGGTCACATAACTCTAAATTAACATTTATAAAATAATACATTAAAAATAAAGGTTTCCTTTTAAATGTAATAAAAAGCTTTGAAATGTGAAAGAAAGAAAAAGTCTCTTGAGATAAGATAAAATGTAAGCTTAGCTTCAGTATAAAAAAATCTGTAAGCTATCACAGAGATAAAGAGGTAGCTAGAGGTTTTACATTAACAAAGCAATCATGGAAGAACAAACGAAGTATAGAGGCTCCAAGCCGGGCTTCTCTACTAATAGCTTGCCTCATTGCATTGCGCACTATGGTTTGAAGGTTAGGGCAAGTTTTGTCATAGAAGTTGGGAGAAAGTTGTGCATTGCTAGAATAGGCTAGGAGATAAAGAATAGATGCCATAACCAAGAAATGGTTAAGGGAAGCCATGTCTATAGCTAGTTTTGAGGCACAAGTAGCTAAGACTTGTGTTTATATGATGAGTGGATGAGTGAGTTGGGAATAAGTTGCTTTTAGAAGAACTAAACATGCATGATATTTATAGAGGATAGTGGCGAAGGTGCATGCATGCTTGTGCATGCAGACAGAGAAAAAAGCAATGACAATGATTTGGAAAAGTAAGAAATTAAGAAACAATAAAAAATTATTTTTGCTCCAATTTTCAAACTTGTCTGCTCCTAATAACGCGCTTTACTTTTTATTTTTGCGGAGAAGATATGTGCTATGGGAAGAAAATTTGCAAAATAAAGACAAAAATATTAAGAGCAGTTGACTTGCTCCCAATTATAAAAGCATGCAAAACACAGAGGAGAAAAAAGCATGGTTCGAAGGTAAAAAGATAAGAAAGAATAGAATATTAGAGTTAGATGAAAATATGGTAGGACTATTGTATAATAATTTTTTAATATTATTTTATATTTAATATAAAAAAATTTAAATTAAGTACATTATGTTATTCTGTTTTCTTTATTTTTAATTTGAATTCTTAAAATAAAATCTACACTAAAAAATAAGATAAAATAAATCTATTAGATAAACTTATTGTATTATATTAGTTAAATAAACATTAAAAATAAGATAAAATATATAAATTAATATATTTTATTCTTTTATTCTGTTTAGCAAGTGAAGTCTAGAAAAAAGTATATTTTAAAAAATTAATAGAGATGTGGCTAAAAAAATAAAATTATCATAATAAAAAAACTATAATTTATATATTGTTCTCAATAAATGTTACTATTAAAATAAATGTGATAAACTATTAAGAAAAATAATTCTCTAAATATTTTATTTTTTAATTAATAAACCCTCATTTATAATAATATAGAATGATGATTATTATTATGGATAGTAGTAGTAGGAACAGAAGGTGTAGTATATTCTGTTTCATAGACACTGAGATAATTAAAAATTTAAAAAGTATTTAATATTTATTTTGAATCAAACCCATTTGACAGAAATTGCTGACTTTTAATCATTAGCATGGCGGTGGTCAGTTTGACTTGCTTTTACATGTCTATGCAAGTTGCATGCTAACGGGGATGTGACTCTGTCTATGACAACTTGTACCCTGTTTTTGCTTTTACTTAAGAATGTATATGCATTAACTATAATTTCTATGTTTAATTTACGTTTACAAACTTTTTTTTAATGAGTTTTCAAATATAAAGATTTGCTTGAATACTGATAAACACTAAGGAAGACAAGTAAACTTTCTCTTAGCAAAAAACACTACTAAACAAAAGGGTTTTTCCTTGACGAATGGTTAAAGAATAAATTTTTTACATGTATTTAATAGTTTAAAATAATTTTTAAATATTAATACAACATAATTTTATTAATACAGAGAGAGTGATAAGTATTATAACGAGCATGTGCTGTTTGGGTTTAACTTGATTAGATTGAATTGGCTTAGTCAAACACATATTTGCCTTAAAAAGTTTATTGCGTCCAATTTTCTCTCATCACTTAATTGATGAGATTACACAATCCAAATCCGTTGAACTTAGTCCTTGCCCGACAAACTTATGGATGGAAATTCAATTATGTGAGTTTTTAATTCTTTTTATTTTCAAATAATTGTCATGACAAAAATTATTAAATACTTTTTGATTTTTTAAATAATATGTTATAAATCTTGTTTTGATGAATGATGATATATTATCAATCATTGAATGAAATTATTAAAAATTGCAAATTGATAAAGAAATGAAATATTAATCAACATTGACATAGCTATCTGCTTGATAAAGAAATTGGAAGCAGCATCTTAGTGGTTGTTAATAAAGAAATGGATAAGGATATGTCATGGTCGTGGCTCCCAAGCATGCTCTTCTCTTGTTGATAATGAAATTATTAAAATAGCAATTTATCTTTGAAAACTTGGTTTTATGATAAAAAGACAGAGGATCGTTGAAATCAGACAACTCTGGATATTACTAGTTGGAGATTCAGCATGTGATCATGATCAATAGAAACGTAGGCAATTTATAGCAACATCTTTTTTCGTAAAAATTTGTGGAAGGTTAATTTCCATTCTAAGAAAACATTTAATAATAAAAATCAATGTCATGAACGAAGAAATATAGTTCCAAGGACAGTTTTTTTATATAGATAACCAAATTTTTAAACTTATCTTTCTGGGCGTTGAGTGTTTAAGTATACTTTTCTTATTTGTGACCACTTTGATTTTACAAACGAATCAAATCAGTATAATGCCTTTCTAGAGTTCTTCAATCTCAAATTATTTGTGAAAAATTACATTATATTAACGTTTGTATGAAGTTGTTAAAGTGATCTAAATTTCTATGACGTGTCATGACAATGACAAAATCATGGAGATAATAAAAAAATGTTATATATAAACGAAACAAAAATCTTCATCGTTAACTTTGTTCTTGTAATTATAAATTTTGTCGAACGAAAATCAAAATAGTAATTGAACATTATAAACATGCACCAATGACATAATATAGCATATTAATAATACGATATGTTTTACAATATGTATTCATTGTCTATACTAATGATATTATATGTTAACGATAATATATATTGATACTTATACGATGCAACTTTTGTTAGATAAAATTTATATTTACAATAACGAACAACATTTTTTTCTGTTAATATATGTTTTCTTTTAAGAATCATATTCGAATTTTTCAGGGCCTAAATGTGATAAAGTAACAGTTGAAACATTTAAGATTATCGTACATTTTCATGAGATATCACCGATCATATATATAACCAAACATTATAGTTAATTACTTAGTACGAAGGTATAATAGTCTCCTTCGGCTTCTTATTGTGTCAGGAACTTGTAACGTTGATGTTGACTAACAGCACCATCCTTGCAGAGAAAAATATGCGCCGACAAAGAAATTAGAGGGAATAATCGAAAAGGGGTCGCTATGATGCCAAAATTGGGTAAGGTAGCGTTGTTGAATTGGTTTCTTTACTAATTGGACCTGGCTTGAGTTGCAACCCAACGATTATCAACTCACTTTTGTAGTCGTAATTCCTAAGCATGTCCGAAAAGGATATTAATTAAACATACACTCAAACTACATAAATAAATTAGTTGTTTTTTGTATTTATATATATGCATCTCAAAATCTACAAATTCTAATCTTAAATATCAATCAATAATTACATGTTTATAAGTAATCTCAACGTTACACAATTTTCCACACTTTAAATGTTAGAATTATTCTATGAACGAATTACGAGGTGCAACAATGAACTTATTCTACCCACAAAACAATTAAGCCCCAGGTACCTGTTCAATTTTAGAATAAGTAAAATAGTTTCAATAAAATTCAGTTTCAATCATTAAATATAATTAATTCATGCATAAATTGATCTGAACGACATAATTTTATTGAAACATGTAATTTTTATTAAAAATATGAAAACTAATTTTCTAACTACAAAACAAACTAGCCCTAAATATCCCCCACCAGGGCTTTGGATAATTTAAAGTGCACGATATTTGGACCAAAAAAAGGGCTCGATACAATGAAACTTCAAAAAATATTGTAAATTCACTTCGAAGATCAAAAAATAACTTAATCGGTACTGTAAAGAATTGAATAAAATAAAATGTCATTGTTATATAAATCGGTTTGCAGCTGATCATTAAAGCATAGTTTAAAGCTATGGGAAAACCCACTAAATCCAGCTCTCAAAGGGTTAGCCAGTATTAATTTAAAAGAATAAATTTAAGAAGCCATATTTTCAGTGTTGCAATGAGGACCATGATACACGAATAGGCGACCAGAAAATTCATCAAACTGACAAAAATATGAAAATGTTCACTTATTGCCACATATATCACTAAACAAGACTAACATAAACAATGGTAATGAACAAAAACCTACGACAACATATGTTCATCAAAACTTGGATTCACGTTGAAAGCCCACAACTGCCACCTATCCAAAAGATTCATAACACATGCATCTTCTTGTAATTATCTGCTGCTTTGGATAACGATTGTATTGATACAGGTAATCCTGGGCCCATCTGCATCGTCACGATAGCACTAAATAACTTGAAACATGCACACAAGAATACATGAGACGAAGTGCATCATCACTGCAATTCATGACAGTAGCTAATTACGCCTTTCTTCGCTTCTTCCTTTCTATAATTCACTCTCTTTTATTTCACATTGCTCTCTCTTCACGCCCAACTTCATTTTCCTATCTAAATCACTAATGGTCTTGTTACTCTCACCTTTTATCTACCCTACACCAACAAGTGCAATCATTGAAGTGAACCTGTATGCTAGGGAAATAAATTTTTTGTACCAAAAATTTGTACACTCTACTTAGCGCATGAGTTGGATATCACATAGATAAGTAGCTACTTCATTATTTTTCACCATTCAGCTTTTTGTTGTTACCCTTATTTTCCATACAGCTAACATTCTTAATAATCTAAAACAAAATTACACTGAAGTTCAATTGGTTAATCACACCTCCCTACATTTTCACAATAAATTCTCAGGCCTCACTCGTTTTAATGGAAATACTTCTTAAACTCAATTGCTGTACCATGTATGAGCTCTAATCATTATGTTATCCCCACAATTCAATTTTTAACCCAAAATTATTTTAATTTCAATGGTATTTCTGATTGCATTGCTTCTCTAAATTGGTCTAACTGCCTCTGAGCAACTTCTTTCATCCTACCTATCCTATTATCCATCCTACACAGAATGGAAATAAAATAATATTAACAAGGAATAAGTAGTTAGACTTTGGCCATAAAAGATTGTAGTGAGGAGTTAATTATTTTTGTTCATATATATGGTCCCAAAAATGCCAGAGATACTTGGTGCACAAGGTGGCTACAAGCAAAACACATAATCCAAGTTATGTTTATTAACAGATTAACAAAATGCCAAAACAGTGTGAAGAATAATGCAATTCCTTCACAAATAATTATTCTCCACAGGTCATCTCCAAGTTAGACTTCTTTCAAATAATTCCCCCCTTTCTATCAGTCATAATGGAGAATATTGATGGTTTAAACTTGTCCCCCCACCCAAAAAGAAACCCTCTCCATAAATAAAATCCCAGTCTCAGACTAATTATTACCAGCAGACTGTTTACTTTCCATCATTTCAAAATTGATTACCATCTTTCTGTTTTCACAAAGGAGGGATATAAGGGAGGGGGTATTATATGTACACCCAAGGTTTATTTCTGTATCATAAATATGAAATGCAAGAATGAAATGGTAACTTTCAAACTTGAATACATAAAATAAACATTAAAGTATGAAACATAAGAACTTACCGTGCTGCTTATATGGACAGACAGCACATACCCAGCATATTTGGAAGCTGAATAGCAAATAAGAGCATTGTAAGATTATAGAAATAACTTTAGCACATAAAATTTGTGATCTGACATCAAGTTAAAGTAGAATTGAGGCCCCAAAATCACAACTTTAAAGCCTTTACCATAAATAGGATTGAATTTGACAAAAAACAAGTTTAATATGATACCAGACAAACTGGAATCAAGAAGGCGCGTAAGTGTTAAGATCAAATCATCTCATTTGTATTTTTCAGCCCTGGAGAAATTTGACTGATTTGTATTTCCTAGTATTTAATTGCATATGGGCCTGGATTTATGACACCTAGGAGTTATTGGTCTTGTTTCTGTGTCTAAGCTTCCAAGATTTAGCAGCGGTATATTTTAGTTTTAATCCTTATAAATATTAGACTCTCTATACCTAATTCTTGCAGTATAAGTTATAGGTGGTCTATTTAAACAGTTGAAATGTTAACTCTCTAATAGATTATCAGACTTGTGAATTGTGTTAGTAATCAAATAGTAGATTCTTTTCTTTTTCTCTATCTACCATTTTTAAAATTTTATTTTCCCAAATCAGATTTCTTTGGGACAGTAAAAATTCACCCGATAAATTCTTCCATCAATTTGTCCCAAACACAAACTCCAATTTTTCAGCTACTGCTCACAGTAACCAAACAGCCATAAATTTAAAACCCTTCCATTGTCTGCAAATTTACCTCATGCACTTAATGAACCATCAACCATCTTACCATTCCATGTCTAATAATGTTAAATCCTAAACCATTCTTAGTCCTGCTTATGGTAGAATCAATCAAGGTCCTAGAAAGAAACCACATGGACTATGAAAAATAATTTTGTTCACTAACTAATCAAATTTTATTATACTTAATGAAGAATTTGTTTTGTGTATTTCATAACATGAGTTACAACTTAAATATTCAGTTACCAATATTATTCTAAGGATTTTTCATGCTTTGAGGTAAATCCCAAAGTTCTATGCCAGGAGATTACCCAGCTCATTTTGCATTTGCACTTCATTCTTCATCACATTTATCACTTGTATCAAACACAAAACAGTTTTTTTTTTTTAACGGTGTGTTTTACTATGCCTCTAGTCAAAACTCAAAGTTGTGTGTGTTAAATACTATCACTTATATAGGTAACATCTATGTTCCATGGAAAATCAAGTCAACACTTACATCATAGTAACAGGGTAAAATCAAACTGTATGCATAATATTTCGTCATTACCATTCTCATAATTGTTGGATATCTGTAGCATGGAACTTTAATTGTTGAATTCTGAAAGATAAAATATGGCAATGCTGACAGTGACAGAAAATAAAAGCCCCCAATCAAAGTCTTGGTATGTTTGTTCCTGGCTTGGGAGTGTTAGAAGGTTTAGACTCAAGTTTCAAGCATGCTTAGATTTTGCAAGCCAGATTGGGGCACATGCTGATCAAAGACTCAGGAACATTTGTACAAGGGATACATGTCTAACACTGATTTTCATTTTGGGGGTTTTGGGCAGGGGGTAGCAGTTGTGATCTGACATTTCATCTTTGTTTTTCCTCAAAACAGAGAGAGAGAGAGAGAGAGAAGGAAAGGTAAGGACATGCGTGTTACATACTCTTCTTTAAGCCAGCGGGCTTTGCAAGCAATACAGCATTCATAAATGCACCAAGATTCTCTCGTAAAGCATCTTCTTTGAAGCTTACCTGTGGATATTATTGAAAGCACAAGACATCTCATGTAATGCAACAGACCATTTACTTTTGCAATGAAGTCTAGAAACAGTTAGGCAAGAACACCACAGTACCTTTCCAACTCCCACGTGCAAAATTGATTTACTTTCCATTTTAAACTCAACACGGCCTTGTCTTAGCTCTTTCAACTGCCCAGCAATATCACTAGTAAGAGTACCTAGCTGTAAAACATATTAATATGACCAAACAAGAATTAAATACAATCCACTTATGCCCATCATTTCAAAAAGAACATCAACAAATATTGATATACTAACTTTCTTATCTGGCATCAGTCTGCGCTTTCTAAGATATTGTGCTATCTGCATAACAGTTCATGTAAGCTTTAGAAGATGAAACTATAATTGAGATTATTTTACAAGCACAAGACCATTTAAATTCAAAATACCTTCCCAAGATGAGGTGCCATTCCAGGAGTTGAGAAGCACTTGTCAACTTTGAGCTTATTTTTACCACCTTTTAAGTGTATACAAGTTCTATTAGATGTAGATAACATAGTTTAGAAATTTTATATTCTTGCATGAAACAGAAAATTTATAATTGCTAAGGCGCCAAAGACATGTCTAGAATATCTTCCACACTGCTGAGTGACACACAAAGTGTCTTTTAACATAAGCATATGATGAACAAAACTAATGTCACATGTTTACCAAAATTAGGCAGGTTCACAAACAGGACAGGATAAGCTAGCATATACTATGAAGTGAGCATGCACATAGAGATGCATCTGAAAAAAATACGAGTGCAAACAGTGAACCAACAAGAGACAACATGTGCCTACCCATTTGCTTTCCACAAATTTAGTAAGGGAAAAAACTATCAAAATGATGAACAGATTTTCTTGAAGAAAGAGATCAGTTCATTACTAGCAATCTCCTCAATAAGCTCTTTACCGCCAACTATATCAGCTCCTGCAGCTTTGGCTTCCTCTGCCTCAGCCCCTTCTGCAAAAACAGCCACACTGACGGCCTGGAAGATATGACTAATTAGATGACAAACCTACCATTATGTCAATTGCTTAACATTCATAAGTTACCTTGGGAGCACCATGAGGCAGAATTACAGTGCCACGAACTGCCTGCCAGGGTTGATATCATTATCTTCTAAAGTAAAGGATTAACAAAATAGCATAGAATGCTTTTATCCAGGAAAAAAGGGCATATACCAGTGATGAGATGTAATAAAGTATAACCACAAGAATTTACAGAAAACAGAATTATGAAAATTTTGTAGATAATTTCCGATAGTTTAAAGATATTTTCCAGGATAACTCATTACTTCATTCAACATAATGATAATAAATTACGTCATACAATTTTTAGGGCATTTCAAAAAGTTGTGATACTTAAATATATTACTATATGAATTTAATTAAAATACACTGACAGTGCAAAAAACAATTCACTTTGTCATCCGATCATAGATTACCATTTACTATATAATTAAGAATCATTGACTTCAATAATAACCACTTTAAAAGTCATACCTACAACGATTTCTAATTGGTTGACAATGTAAAATTTTTTACACTAACAATGTATCAATATTAAACCATTGTTATATAGTTATAAAAAAAACATGTCCCCAGCGAAGCTAACTATTCAGCAATTTCTAGAAAGAAGGTCCATATTTGCTGCATTTATCAAACAATAGGTCCCCTTTATTCTAACCATCAATTCAAATCATATAGGATATGTTAAGGACCAGAATCTATGTTCAGGTAATTGAAGAAAAAGAAAAGGATATTTTATTGATTATGATAGGAATCAGGATTACAAGAACCCCCCAGAGCCAAAGCTCCTCTCAGAGAATGTTATTCTCCTCTCCTAAGTCTAGCTGAAAAACTCCCCCTCCATTCCTCAAACTAACATTTAAATAAAGAACAATAAAACAAACCGAATCTAATAACAGAATATCCTAACTGACTTATTCAAATTCAAAACAACATTCTAATAACAGAATAATAATAAAACAAAATAATAACAGACTTCCTAATTATTGATTATTGGCTTTCTTCCTACGAGAGTAAACCCGCCACACAGTGGGCCTTGTAGGGCTTGTATTCCAAAGGCCTTCATTGCTGTTTTGGGGTCCCATCAATACCACCCCCTAAACTTCCACTCTTGTCCTCAAGAGTGAATGACGAAATGACTTTTGATGACAGTCACGTTATAGGCGCCTCACTTTCCTCTTCTTCTGCTAGCAGAGTCGCGACAACACAACCCTTTCCTTCATTTAAGAGGATTACTCTCAGCAATTTTTCGGGGCATTGATGGCGAGGGCCGATTTTCTCTCCACAGCGGAAACAAAGCCCTTTGTTTTTACGATCCATCAACTCCTCCAAAGGACGGTGTCTTACACCACGAGATCGCCCCCCGTTTGTTTGGGAAATGCGCATGAAATTTCCTTTTGAATTTGGATCTCCCGAGGAACCCAAGGGCCTCGTCATTGAATTTCTTGCCCGCAGACTCTCTCCTACCTTGAGATTGTTGCGGACGAAGGGTGTGATACTTCGATCCCTATTAAATGGTCGATTCCCCCAGGGAGTAGGTGCATAATAGCCCTTATTCTTTGCTTTCGACGCTTCTAACCTTCCATCAGCGACCAGATCTTCCTCCACCCAGCGGGCAATGCGTATCACGGCTGTCCAGGAGGTTGGGGACAGCAACCGCACCTTTCTCCGGATTTCTGGCCGAAGACCATTCATAAAGAAGCCCAAAAAATGAGCACCCGATAATGGGGGCGACACCTGCGACGCAAGGATTTCGAAGGTTTCTATGTATTCCTCAACCGACCCGGTTTGCTTAACCGCAGCCAACTCTTCAATGGGATTGTCAAGCCTCCCGACCCCAAACCTTGTTACCATGGACCTCTTCAAGCGCTCCCACATTGCATTGTCTTCTTCATCACGCCATAGATTAAACCAATGGATAGTATTACCACCCATGCTCAACTTTGAGAGGCAGATTTTCATCTCTTCTGAAGTACCATGGGCATCGAAATAAGTTTCAGCCCTGCAAATCCACCCAACAGGGTCAACCCCGTCAAATTGAGGCAATTCTACCTTCTTGATTGAAGCTCGGTAATCGTCCCCATCATTGGGTGCAGTTCTGGGAGGATGCAAATTCAGATTCGGACCCTCTTCGCTTCTGGTTTGAAATAAACTTTGTATGTCCTCCAAGAGCTTCGCATCTCTTTCTTTCATCTCTTCTCTCATCAGTGCTGACAGTCAGCAAAGGCTGTCTCCATGCTCTGAATTCTTGCCTCTAATGCCTCCATTCTCTCCACTGATCTCGTGTGCATGGCAAGGTGATCCGGCAGGTCAGACCAATTGTTAGGGACCAGAATCTATGTTCCGGTAATTGAAGAAAAAGAAAAGGATATTTTATTGATTATGATAAGAATCAGGATTACAAGAATCCCCTAGAGCCAAAGCTCCTTTCAGAGAATGTTATTCTCCTCTCCTAAGTCTAGCTGAAAAACTCCCCCTCCATTCCTCAAACTAACATTTAAATAAAAAACAATAAAACAAACCGAATCTAATAACAAAATATCCTAACTAACTTATTCAAATTCAAAACTTAATCTAATACCAGAATATTCTAACTGACTTATTCAAATTCAAAACAGCATTCTAATAACAGAATAATAATAAAACAAAATAATAACAGACTTCCTAATTATTGATTATTGGCTTTCTTCCTACGAGAGTAAACCCGCCACATAGTGGGCCTTGTAGGGCTTGTATTCCAAAGGCCTTCATTGCTGTTTTGGGGTCCCATCAATATTAACAATGTATCAATATTAAACCATTGTTATATAGTTATAAAAAAAACATGTCCCCAGCGAAGCTAACTATTCAGCAATTTCTAGAAAGAACATAGAAAGGTCCATATTTGCTGAATTTATCAAACAATAGGTCCCCTTTATTCTAACCATCAATTCAAATCATATAGGATAGGTGACTTTAAGTCCTTGTAGACATGGGAAAATCTTCTAGCACATGGCAGCTAGATAGATCCAAGAGAACAATTTGTTTAGTCACCTGAAATAACTAGGATATTATTCATCAAAAAACATATGCCTCCCAAGTTCTAAGACTAACAGTATCATATATGCAACTTCTTGAACAAGACAAACCTTCAGAGTTTATGTCAACATGTCAAATCTACATATATTCAAAGAATCACTCAAGCACACAAACATATCCAAGACAGGGAAAAGTGTGTGTGTGCGGGTTGGGGGGGGAGAATATTGATATATACCAGTTCTGTTCGCTTTGAATCAATACCCAATCGTACATGTGCTTCAACAGTTTCATCAAACTTTGCCTTGGCATTGACCTGAACAATTTGTAATAAATAACAGTCACAGATGGAACATTTAAGGTAAAAAGTGAAGATCATTACTGAGGATGTGTAGTACCCCTAATCCAATCAATGGCATCAAAAGTTAGATATAAGTAAATGTATTTAGCTATCCTAACAATCCATTAATTTAGTACTATTTATTACAGAGAAAATGGTATACAGGTTGATGAGAGTGTATATGCAAACAGAGTTATTCAAATAAAAAAAATTGAAATTCAAAACTCAACAGGGGGATGCTGCTACAGAATACTTCTATAGCACATATACATACTGGATGTAAAAACAATTACAGTTATAAGTAAATATAAACAGAATCAGACATGGAAAAACAACTGTTATTAAAATCTCATTACAATTTCTATACTCTCTAAATTAGTCTCCCTAACAAGAAAAAAAGTGGCAAAAGGAAACAGCTATATTTCCATCTATGTATCTAACAGGTGCACCATAACTTTTAGAAATTTATTGCAATAGGTACTCAATTTTATTTTCCAGGAGCCATGTATGTATGTATTACATGCCTAGTTACAGACTTGTAGTAATTCAGTTTCAGTCCCCTAAAATATATAATTTAAGTGTACATTGCTGTATATATAACAACAAGGTGTTGTAACTTACAGACAGCAAAAAAGACCAACTACAACTAGGGTTTAATAACTTTAACACAGTATCATAGAAGGCAATTTATATAAATTTTTTTATGAGACACAAGTTACAAGTTCTTTCACAAAAGCAACAGCTTAGAAGTTCCATAAAAGTCACTACGGCGGTCACAAATATCCCAATAATTTATAAAAAAATTTCATGTCTTTCATTGGGGAATCCAAGACTCCTTTCGCGTATCCTTTCTCATACAGTCACTTATTTCTGATAGGCAATAACCCGGTTATGGCATTACCCAAAGTTTTAATAAAACTGCTACGCAGTAGACACATGCAGTCTCCAAATTAAGCAAGCACAAAATAGTCCATATACACCCACAAATGATTATGGCTTTATAATTACACTTAATAAAATAAAATAAAATCCATCATTATACAGCCGTTACTCTTGTTGTCTTGCTTCATTATCACCAATGACCAAACACTAAATTTGGCCACTGAACTAACAACTCCATTCTAGTGAATAAAAATGAGCATCACAAGTCAAAACCACCACTGAATTAAGCAAATCCAAAAACAAATATAAATTCAAATTACTACCTAATAATCATTGTGAAACAAAGAAGCTCTGTATAATTTGAAAAATCGTTTTACCTTAACTTGGCGAATGGCTTCGGTCAAATCAAGTAGCGGTGGTTTCTCATTTTTTTTGGGCTTAATCAGCATCGGAAAAGGGACCTTCATCTTCTCCTCTTCTGCGGCTTTCACCATCCTCATCCTCAACTGATCTTCCGCCTCGATCCTCCGCCTCTCCTTATCCATTTCCTCATCCGCCGCCGGGACCTTGTCGTCGGGAAGCGGCGCTACGCGCACCGGATACGACACCGGCGTGATCGACCCCGCGTCCTTCACGTACCTAACATCTTCGCGCGTCCACGTCGGCCGCGATTCCTGGCTATCGGCTCGCCGAGGTGGCGGCGGCGGCGGTTGGCGGAGGGATTGTGGTTCGGAGGGTTCGGTGGATGGGGATGGGTCTTTGGGTTTGACGGGGTAGGAAACGGGTTGGATTGAAATGGATTCGAAGGGTGTTTTTGTAGAGTTTGAGTTTGATTCAGAAGAAGAGAGAAATCTGTGAGAGGTGAGAAAGAGGGATTGGGAAGAGTGTTTGGTGAGGCAGTGGCGGCGAGCTTGAGAGAGGAGAAGCTTCAGTGCCGCCATTGTTGTGTGTGTGAGAGAGAGAGTGAGTGAGGGGTTTTGATGGGTTTGGAATTGGAAGCTACGTTGGTTCGGTTTTTCGAAAACCCGGTCTAGCAAATATGAAGTTTTGTCCGGTCCGGTTATCAGTTTGGTACAAACATAATATAAAAATTTATGAACAAAATATTGAGCATGTAAATCAGAAAACTGAGAGGTTGCTTGTTTCTCATTTTTAAAAGCTTTTTTAAAAAAAAATTAGTTTTTAAAAAGAAAAAACTCTTTTAAAAATTAGAAACAAATATGTTCTGAGTATTTTTAACTTACGATTTCTCTTAATATGTGCCTTAAATTCATACAATTAAAATTTAATCATTTTTTATTAAAAATTATAAGCTATAAAATGATATAATATTTTATGTATAGATTTTTTTTATGTTTTTCAACACACATTAAACTTAACCAACGATTTATGTATATTTCATTAAGAGAAATTTGTAGGTTTCAACAAAATTAAGACAATAGTTACAAAAGTTGTAAAAAATTTAGAATTAAATTCATATGGTTATGAAGAAAGTTAGGAACGTTTAACAAAAGGTTTAAATATAAGGATTGTTGAAGAAGTGACATTTAAAAAGATGAGGGGTGTGGAACATCATTCAATTTTGTTTATTAAAGATTCCTAGATTTTTCTTATGACAAAAAAGATTGTTGATTTAAACCCTTGCAGATGTATTAATTATGGCAATGAAAAAGACCAACAAAGAAAACATTTTCTTACTTTTACAAAATTTAAGATAATACTTACTGACTACGGTAGAGAATAAGGAAACATTTAGAATTTGTAAGAAATTTATAAAAAAAAAGTATTTATAACTCTCATAAATTTATTTTATAATTTTTAATTAAATTTATTATTGATTCTATGACATAAATTTTTCTGTAATAAGATTTATTCAATAAACACTTATTAAATTATTTACCTAAATGCACAATAACATGAACCAAAAGAAAGAATGTTAAGATAATGAAACATAAAGGTCACATTATTAAAAGAACAAACAATTTTAAAAGAAAGATATTCCTATTATAAATTGCGATTAATACTCACACGTTACATGATGAAAGTGGTAGAAAGATGAAGTTAAGAACACTAAAATTTTATTAGATATAAATTGTCGGATAGATTATTCAATCTATACGTTCATACACATACTAATTCATTCTCTATTCCATTCAGTCTTTATCCTAAATTAGTCCACGTATCAACCACACCATCTCCTATGTTGTGTAACAACGAGAAAACAAGAAGCAAGTGATCGACATTGTTCAGACACTAGTTCAGAGTATATCGAACACCGACACGCTGGCCCCTTTCCAACATCGCTCCATACTTCCCTTGAAGGACAGTTCATCGAAATTATTTAACTGTGATTTATATCTTTAAAAAGTTAATGTATAGACCAAAAACAAAGGTTAATGTTGACTGTATAAGAAAATTACTATTTTCTCTCTATTTTCCTTTTGGAAAGAAAGAAAATACAATTTTTAATTGTCTATATAACAGTTTAAATACAGCATGCAGGATTTAGAAAGACCAAATTCAATTTAATTTCTATCTCCTACTTTTCTTTTTTATATCGATGAAAGAATTAAATGTAACTCGAGTTTCCAAGCAGTAAATCAAGCATGTCATCGGGAGTAAGAAGAGTCGTTCCACCAACAAGCAACTCTATATCAGGTCTTCCGCTTTCAGCCAACGCCTCATGAGCTTCACGCACCTACGTGACAGAAAAGTGAAAAATTGTGTCATGGTTCCATGCTAATACAGGATCAGCTTTTAATTCAACACAGAGGGTCATGTGTAAAGAAAAAAGACAACCAATGTGTCATCTTTTAGAAAATATTTATCAAGTTTATAAAATTTTCATGGAAATACCACGTCCATCTTGTTATTCACTGACACGGGGAATAAAAAGGGAGACAAAAGGTATTCAAGAATTTCACCTCAAATCCATTAATGCCCCCAATAACAAACACCAATATGACATTTTGATCGGAAAGACTTGGTTTGGCCTGCAACATTTGTATTGACAAGAAAGATAAAGCAAAGAAGGAAAAAATAAAAGAATGGTTAGTATATTTGAATTGATTGGACTACTAAAGCAAATTCCAGCATAGGTTAAGAAACCATAATCACCTGACCGAGGCCAAATCTTCCAAACCCACTCTTAAACAGGCGCCCCACAGTGGAAGAATGATATTCTAACCCAGGCACATCGTACTTGCTCAACACCCTTGTTAGTAGCCTATAAAGTAATCCTTTTCTATCTTCATCAAAATTGCCTTCCGCGGTCAATGATCCGTCCCTCAATGGTATATTCTTTCTTTTCAGATCAGATAACTTATGAAGAAATTTGAAAAAGTTATCCACCCTATCGCGCAACTCCAGTTTCACTTGCATGTCACCATACACTTGTTCATTTTTGTTGTAGTCGTCCCCATCTTCATCACCCCATTTACCCCATTGATCATCATCAAAATCATCAATCTCTAGTTTTGAAGATTCTTCAACGGTTTTCTCAGATTTTAACTTGCTTACATTAGTTTCAAGTTCTTCCTTTAGTCCATCTAGGAACTTGAGATTTGCTACTGAAGGATTTTCAAGAAAAGCATCTACAACAGCTTCTTTCAACAAATGTTCCTCTTGCCAAGAAAATGGCCCATCAGAACCAGATGTTGGAAAATTCTCACCAGCCAATATATAACCAACGATCATTAACAGCAAAGCATCTTGCAAAGCAAGCAAACCCTTTGAGATCTCCCTTTTACCTGAATTTACATGTGATCCCAACAGAGCACTCTTATTGATCAGATCACCAATTTGAACAGCAAGACTTTGACTTGTTTCTCCAGAACTTACACTAAGAATTTTCTCTGCACTGCTAAATGCATCCCATTTGGCATAATTTGATTCCTCAAGGGCTAATAATGTGGCCGAAGCTAATTGGATAATTCCTTTGTTCCTTAGCAAACATGATTGGCTCTTGCACAATGCTTTGATCATAGCGTGCAACTCTGGTTTGGTAACAACACCAGGACGAGACTTCATATTCACAGTAACATTTTCCTTGCGTAAACTTTCTTGTAGCCATTTCTTTACAAGTAAGGCCCCATCTTTTGTTCTTCTATCTAGTATAGCCTCCAAGAATGGCATTCCACGAAAATTTTCAGAGGAAACAAAGGACCCAGTAGGTATCTCTACATCAGAGTGATTAGGCTTGCCATGAATTTTCTGACTAAGATTAATCAAGCCAGCAATTTGAGAATCAGAATTTCCAGAATTCCACCCACACAAAAAAGCTTCAACACTTTCTAAAAGCCGAAAGTTGTCTATTTGCCAATCTTCTTCATTGAGGATCTTTGCAAGTGGTATCTGAACATCTAAGGAAGCACGTTGCAGGTAGGAAGAACCAAGTTTGAGTTGGCTTCCTGAACCTTTGCCTTGGGGATTGGAAGCTGTTCTATTTCTACGGGGCAAAGAAGAAAACATGCGGTCAACAAGAGAATCCCCATGACAGCAAGGAGTGAGAAGATCAAGTGTACGATCAATGAGTAGCAACCCTGCTGATCGTTTACGGCGTCCTACGTCATAAAGACTTGACATATCTGTCAAAATTTTTCCCACAGTTTTTGATATATCACCAAGGGAGAATATTTCCATTTTCAAGTCCATCTAAATCATAAACCAAAGAATTAATGATCAACATAACACATTAATGGACAAACAACAAACAAAACAAAAGGATACTGGCAGTCTGGCACTAGTGGAAAATCAGCAATACTGTTAATAAAACAACAAAAGCCTTTTCCCCTTTAAGTGGGGTTGGCTACATGAATCAAACCACAACGTTGCATTCTATTAAATACCAAATTTTTTAAAAGGACATTTAGAGCAATGTCTATTCTAATGGCAGACACTCTTAAGAGTAAAGTTTCATTCAAGTAGTCTTTTGCAAAAGGGAATTGTGGGTCCTAGTAAAACAGTGTGATGCTGGCATGAAGCAGTTCTTTCACAGATCTATTAAGATTGAACCCAACTTAAAGTAGAATTTTATGCAGTACACCACACAAGAATCCTGAGAAATATATATTAAAAAAATCCAGATATCAAGTCACTAGAATCATTCACACGTTTCAGCAAAAGAATGCATGTCCCTTGTTACCTTGGCTGCCAAGTGGTATAGAAAGTGTGCCGTAAGAGTAGCCCCAGGAGGCACCTCATCAGCATCAGACAGCACCCCAGTACTCAAGGGAGGCAAACCAGGACTAATGGAATCTTCATGCTCAGCTGATAAGTATGCTTCAGCCACCAACCCTTCTGAAGGTAGTACAAATGCTCTTGGTGAAATGGGACATAAAATCATGGGAAAATGATGAACAGAAACAACCAATTTCAGGACTGCATCGTCAACATAGTCCGATGGAACGTGCTCATAAAAATCTCTGCCACTTGAACTAGCTTCAAGATTAGGAACATCTTGTCCACTAGAAGGAAATTGTGATCGTCCTCCATCTTCAAAGTTATGTTTTGCGTGTCCAGGATTAGTCCCTGATTTCTTAACTAGTTCTTCGTAATCTTGAACCAGTAAGGATTCATATTCATGATATGCATCTGGTCCCAGAGGTGAATCGGGAAATGCTGAGTGAGCTGTCTGCATTTTAACAGTATTAGAAAATTCAAAACAAAAGAATAAAAAGAGAAGAAAGTGATAAGTCTGTAATTAGGCCCTCTTATACATCCATATATTCATATTTGACCTTTATTTTATTTGAGTTTTACACTAATTTATTTATTAATTATGCAGTTTAGTATAAAGATGCCGCAAGTATACTTTAAGTGTGTTTTGGGCCTAAATTAATAGAAAATTAGAGTTTCGCAGCAGTCAGCACGTCCAAACTCTTTCAACAAGCACGAGAGTGCTTCGAGCCCATGCACGATCGTGCTTAAGACCTTGCACGACCGTACTCATCTGCGAGAAGTCCAATTATCAAGAGTCTTTAGGGTTTTCAAATTCTATTAAACGGAAATCTCAGACATCATAAAAAAGAACCGTTTTTACATCTAATCTTTGGCTTTCGAATACACTTCTCATCTCGTCTCTCTCGGGATCCTTGGCATATGTTTGGCGAGACTTGGAGTTTTAAACGATCGTACTTGAAAACCGAAAACACATCTCATACCCTAGTTTGTTATTTCTTTTGATTATGGCTTTATTTATGATTGTTTTAATTCTTTTCCTTAGCATGAGTAACTAAGTCCATAGCTAGAATTATGAGAACTATTATTCATGAATTTATGAAATTTTGATATTTGAATCTAAATTTAATTTCTGCTTTGTAATTAGATTTTATCCTATTGCGCTTTTTTCTTAATTCTAATTAATTATATCGTCAGGCGACTATACCTCAGTTAATTAATAGATTTATAGGGTAAAACGAGACAAAGGATTAGATGGACCAAACCAATCTTTCTCTTCTAATCGTTATTAAATTAACAAGTTCATAAGTTCCTTAAACTTTCTTAAATTGTTGTCTTGCATGACCATTAGAAATGTTAATTTGGATAAAAGAATATTAATATTGCATAACCATTAGATATTAATAGTATTCGTATGAATGATTAGTAATCATAAGAAAATCGGATTTAGAATTAAACAGAAAAATAACATAAAGGATTGAATGAAAAAACTCATATGCCCTAGGTTCTTCTCCAATAAGTTTAACCAAGACGTGTATTGTATTTCTTACTCTTAGTTATATAATTGATTTTATAAATTCTTATTTTTAATTAATCTCGTATATTTGAAACTTAAACAATTGAATTAGTAAATTTTTAATAATTAAAAATCAATCATTATAGGACGATATTTTAGAAACTTAATTTAAAAACCCTTTATTACTTCTCAGTAGGTATACTTACCCTCCGAACAGAAAGCTAGTAGAAAATAGGTATCGGAACAAAATAACGGTAAAACTACTACCACAATGGGTGAAATAATGTCACTGTCACCCTTATGTTGATTATTGGTGATAAATATTGAGTTCATGTCTTTACTCTAGCAAAAGTAGTTCACGCCATAACTGAAATTATTATTGCTAATTAAATTTGCTACTATCTCATATGCTTATGACCTTATTGATTTATTCCTATAACATTTTATATACCTAAAAGAACTAGACAAAGCCCAAACTATTTTTCAATGGATAATAAATTTTGTCTCTATTTCTACTATAACAATATTTCTTTTTTTTAAACAGCTTGGAAGCAACTTTACTTCAGGCCACCACTAATACTTTGATTCTATTATTGGGGTTGCAACTTGCCAACTATTGATGTAACAATATGATTTGCATGCTAGCAAACAAATGATGGCTATGGTGCAACCATAACTCATTCTTGAAAAATTGGTAGCTCATTTTATTATTGCAACAGACAGAAAGAAGAGGAGTAATTATCGTAAAGGCTAAGTTAATGATGTCATTGTCTAAAACTGTGGCCCAGTTTACAAAAAAAAATAAAAATAAAAATAATTGATACTGGTATGACAAGCTTAAAGCAAAAATAAATAAATAAATTGAGATGATCAAGCTCCATTCCTAATTTGCAAATGAACTAACCTCTTTAAGAGAAAAAACTTTCCTTTCATCCAAGTCAAATTGTTACAAAAAAATATAGTAAGGCTGTAAGTAGATAGCAGCCAAACTTACAAAAAATGACACATTCAAACCCATAGGTGAAACCACTTCTTTTTTTTCAATAGAAGATAGGTAAAGCATCATTAAATATATTAAACATGGAATAATCATACGTAATATGTAATTACATTAAATATATGTAACAGGCAGGGAAATAAAATAAACGAGGAAAGAGATGTAATTACAAATAAGTACCTCTGAGATAGACGTAAATACAGTGCAATGATGAATAACTTGATGTGTGCTCAAGCAACGTAATATATACCGATGTGCATCACTAAGTAGACGTGAAGTGAAAACCACAAGTTTCCTTGCAGGGACAGAATGTGAGTTCCAATCAACCACCTAGACAAGGAGCCATTAAAAAAAATGGATCATGATACATGTGGCTTACCTAAAAGTGTTCATAGACACTGTTATAGTACAAACACAGTGGGAACATACAGAAATCTGAGCCAGCAGATAAAGAGCATATATACACCTGATTATATACAGATAAATTCACTACGGAAATGGATGGAAATGATAGAGAAAAAATTCTATAACATCATTATATAAAACTTTCAACTTTTGTGTGTTCAAACAATATGTATGTGAATTTCGAGAGATAAAAATAAAATTAAAAAATTAACGTCTAAAGAATGGGATCCCAAGGAGAAATGTAAACTACAACCATCCATATTTTACCATGAAGAGTTCACATCTTTTATTGTGATAAAAAGCTAAATGCATCCCAGACTCCATTCAGCAAGCATATATCACACTAGCTCCATTCACTCACGGAATGAAAACACTACAGCTGCAACATGTGAATATATTTTAGGTATAATTTTGAAAAGTCTAAAAGACTTACATTTCATGTTAAATGAAGGGATTATATTATTTTTATATAAAAGAAGATAATATTTAGTAAAAGAAAGTAGAGAAGGTAATCCGGGACAGTATTGGGAATCAAAATAGCTCAAAGCCTTAAACATGCAACAGACAAATCCAATCTCTTTGTATATCACAAATAGAGAGACCCTCAAAGCAACAGGGCAACAAGCACAAAGACACACATTTGAATATACAGATATTCCTCTCCAAACAAGTATACCATAGCAAGTGAGCTTCCAAAGTGATGCTTCTTCCGGATACCAAATTATCAAGACTCAACCCACCCGTCAACCGGAGCTTTACAAAATACAAAATATCTCCCAACTGATGAAATGATCTCTTCTAATTTGCTTGGCCATGCAAGACCACAGAAAATACCTCAAAATTTCCCCTATCTAGTGTGTCACTACCACAGGTATCAAAGAAAGGGAAAGATAATGAAGGGGGAAAGTGGACAAGAAAGTCTGAATAAGAGTAATCCAACCTATCAAACAGAATAAGAACCCTACTTATTATCCGAGCACTTGGAGACATTCAGACCATTGGATCACAAAAGGACTTGGCCCATGGAATGTAGGAATACAATATTGATAATAGGCTATTAACTATTAACATGTTCCTTATAACAAGGAAAAGAGGCAGGGATGATATTAAACTTCAAGTTGAGAAAACCTCAGAAGACTTTACTAGCCAACTCAACAGTTATCTAATGATTACATAAAGGAATTCAGAATTATTAATTTAATAATATTTTCAGTTCTAAACATAAAAAGTTCACACCAGAGTCTTAAACCTCAAAAATATTTATAATTATTCCTAGGTGAATTTCAAATATCCATCATCAGACTACATTCAAACTTGACTGAAGCTGATGCATGTCCTCCCTCTACTCATCGATATATGTACCAATTAATAGCCCTACAACTTTGGCTAGAGGAAGTATCTATGAAATGAAAATCCAACCCTCCATCACCATCAAATATTCATTCCATTTTGTAGCATGTGATATAATTTTTTTTCAAAAACCAGAAAATAGTAATATCCTCAAATTTTTTAACGAGCAAATGTAGCCACTCAATGAGATGATAATCAAATCTTGGTAGCTTATTGAAAGCACAGATATACAACTTGGACAAATGTAGCCACAATTTACCACGTCAAGTGCACACATGTTTTCCAAACTGCAAATAGCTCGTGCCCCGAGATCTAGAAGTACAGGATATGCCCCAATAAACTGGAAACTCTCAGTAGATCCAGCATCTAAATAAACAATAGCACCTTCAATATCCTCTGATATCTGAAAAAGACGCAACATGACTAACATTCATGAAACAATTAAACGAAAGGACACATAGTTACAGTTATAACAAGTATAAGTAAGTAGGTGACATCTGCAGAAGAAAATTCAAGTTCATAGGTGCAGCATAAGATGCCAGACTCAAGAGACATGCAATCACTCCCATTGTTGAATTTAGCTTAGTGAAACAGAAATAATTCTCGTAAGAACGATACACACATCAAAGCCTCTATTTCTATGTTCCTTCGATATACTTATATCCAATTGATTCTTAATTTTGTAAAATTAAGAATATTAAAATTCTAATCACTTCAGAGCGCTATGGAGGCATTCCGTGAGAGTAAAAACAGACATAAAACTAAACTTAATTGAACATTCAACTTCAGAAGACTTGTGCTACCTGTCTAATGGAATCGATGCAAGATTTGATAACATCAACAGTGGCCATTTCTTTGTTTCCTTTTCCGCTTCAGCGGAAGGCAACGAACCACGTGACTTCCGTCGAACGCAAATCCAGAATCCCAAACGAAACGCACGAGCGATCGAACGTGAATTTCACTAAGCTTTCATTCTTTTCAAACAAATCGCGCACGCCATCGAGTTTGGAGGTTTAGAGAAAACACGATTTGCTAATAGAAATTGCGATTAGTGGCGGATCTTACTGCTTCCTCGTTCTTCTTCCCCTCCTCCACCACAGTTCACCCACTCTGGTTTTTTTCTTTTTTATTTTTTACTTCTGTTTTTTTTTTTTAATCATTTTGTGATTAGGTACTTTTATTATTGTAATTTAAAATATTATTTTTTTGTGATTGTAAATATATGTTTTAGTTTTCAAGATTAAAATGCATGTTGGATCTATATATTTTTAAAATTATATTTTAATTTTATTAAATATTTTGTTATATTCTAATTTTCAGCGTTTTAATTTAACATCGCTAAAAAAATATTTTAAATTAATCTTTTAGTGTTATAATGGTAGCAACTTAAATGTTAGTAGAGGACACATTAATTTGCAAGTTTGATATATAAATAAATAAATATAACTTGCACAGGTAAAATGGGCTTTGTATTAAGCTCGTGATATTATAATATAATTTTTTTTTATCTTATTTTTAGTGTTAATTTATTTAACTAACATAATGTAATAATGTTATTCTATGAGTTTATCATATTTATCTTTCTAATGAAATTCTATCTTAGGTAAAAATTTATATAAAAATAAATAAAATAAAATAATATTATTTATTTTGTTATCCTTATACAAATCAAATATAAGATAAAAAAAAAATGGCTGTGTTATGTATTACTTCATATTTCTCAGTAAAAAAAAACTTTTTACAGTCAAAACATATTGTAATTCGTGAGAGTGCTAAAGTAATGTGAATGTGTATTACTCATATTGCCTAGTCAACGTCATTTCGTAAAATAAATTATATATCACATACTATTAATTTGTTGGTCTATACATTGACCTAAGCATTAAAATGTCTTTTATGTATATATCTACTCATTTTTAACTTCAAACTCTTTGTATTGCAACAAATTCATCACCAGCTCACTGACTTTGAGCCTTAAAGAGACATGAGATGAAGTAGAATGATTAACTTCTATAACAATTAATTTAAAAAATATGTGTTTGTTGTATTCTAATTAGTTAATGTTAACAAAATTTTTATACCAGGAGTTATTAAGATTGGACTCTAAAAAAACATAACACTCAAAATATTAATTTCCATGCAATAGACACTAATCACAAATTTATCACCACATAATACAGACTAATTACTAATCATTCACACTTTGATCATTAATGACTAAAAACTTTAGAAAAAGCATTTATATCTTAATCTTGACATAGAAAAATTATTAAGAATAATATATATTTAGTACAAAGCTTTTTTTCGCATATTAATCAGTGTTAATATAATCTTGTTGCTACTAAGAAAAAATAAAATAACATAAAAATCACGAATGAGAAAAAAGCTTAATAATATGATCATTTTTTAAATATGACATTTTTATCACGAAAGTTCCTGAATATGGATATGTAATCAATATTACATATATATGGCATTTAAAAAATCACATGTAGTGATTTTTAAAGAATGAAAATTTGTTTAACGTGAAAAACGTCACTCACGACTTTTAAGATAAAAAATAATAATTTTTTTGCGTAGTTAAAACTCGCTGTTAGCGACTTTAAATCAGAAAAGTGCTTTTATATATTCAAATATTGCCACTTGCAATTTTAAAAAAAATCTTCATTAAGAAGTTTTAAAAGATTTGTCTATATATAACTCATTTACATTTTTAGCAAATTACATCTTAAAAATCTTTTATTCTACATTTCTGAATTCTCCTTTTTCATATTTTATAGTTGAAGAAAAAATGAGTACAAATACAATAGTCTACTTTAATAGTGAGATTATTTCAAATACAAATGAAGGTATGAAATTTATGTGTGAGAAGCCAACTTACATTTATCTTCTTAACAGTATATCATTTGAAACACTTAAATATTGGCTTTGTCAATATATTGAAATAGAGACTCCAAAAACAGTGGAGAGAATAATCTACAGGTGTCCAATCTTTATTTTTGGAGGTTTCATGCGATACTAAGTGATGGAAATAAGCAATGATGATAATATTCAACAAATATTTCAGATTTATTAAGAGCGTCATGACCAAAATTCTTCAATTGAGTTGTATGTTATTTTTAAATAAATTACGATTGGTGCATATGTCAGTGTTGTTCCTAACAGAGATGTTGAATGGGAACAAAATATTGTCGAAAGCGACGATAACAACTTTAAAGGAGATTATGAAAGTGGTGAGGATAGTGATGATGATAGTTTGGATGACGATGCAGATGATAAGCACTCTCATTTATCAAACTCAGTGATTGACCAACATATGTCTGGGGTTTAATCATTCATACGTACTTTAGATCTTAATGCTATGCAAGTTCTAGAATTTCCAGAGTATGCTAACTTAGATATGTTGACATGTTTTATTGTATTTACAGTAATAAATTTATCTTTAGTTGTGTGAATGATATTTAGTTTGTTTTTTTGTTTTATAGGTCATTGTTACGTAGACGGAGAATTGTATGTTAGAATGCAATTTAATAACAAAGAAGCTGTTGTACGAAAAATTAAGAGTTATAGTATATCAAAAGGAGTAGACTACGAAATTTTTGAGTCTAAATCAAATACGTTTTATTGTAAATGTGTCAGCTATGGTAGAGATTGTGAGTGGCTTGTTCGAGCTAGTTTGAGGAAAAACAAGTATTTTTGGAAAATTAGAAAGCATAACGGGCCACATAGTTGTACTCGGGCAAGGATTTCACAAGATTATAGAAAGTTAGATGCAGAGACAATTACAAAATGTATTAAGCAATGATTGAATATGACCCTTCTTTTAAGATAAAATTGGTGATTGAATCAGAGGATGATGGAATCCTTTGTTGTTATCTGAGTGGAGACATGGAATTTTTCTCTACTGTTATTGTTGAGATTGTGGTTGCTCCATTTGCAGGGACAACCAAAACCAATTCATTGCATAGATTGTGTACCAACTCCAATACTCATTTGAAGGGTTATAGTTGTCAATTGACATTCCTTCTAATGTATGTTGATGTCGATTTTCCCATATTGTCACCCAATCATCATGTATTAATCTCCAATTCTTTGGTTCTCTTAAACCACACAAGTCTTTGTTGTGGACTCCCTCAAGACTTTGGGGCGGAAGAGAAATAGGTTGAGCAAATCCATATTGACGCATTACATGGTCAATTGCATGCCACTCTACAACCTCAAAGCATATCAATGGGCTTACAGTTGACCACAATAGACGTTCGTCCCTCACGTCATCTGAAATAACTGCGTCAATAACTTTATCTTCATATGGTCGCTATAAAAACTACATTAACACAAAATATATTATATATACCTTAGTAATGTGAAAGAGGTACAAAATTATTTAACAACAATTAACATATATTAACCGATACCTCACAAAGTCCCATTTTATCTAATGACACTCTAACATTTCCAAGGTCTCTATATGGAGTGTTGGTTGAATATCGAATGTGTCACCATCTAAGTGCAAGTGAAAATATTATTGGTTCACCAGGTATTGGAGCAAACCACGGGAGCCAGTGCCATGCCCATACCTGTAGCAGTAGTAGGCATCCACAAATTTCTTTAGCATCTTGTCATGAACCGCGATCTAGACCTCTATACAAAAAGGTAAGACATGTTGAACCCCAACTATATATTCCAATTTCATCAACATTCACCAACAACTGTAAGATTTTCTTATGGATTACTGAATTACTTTTATTCAGCATTAGAACATGTCTTAATAAAGAAAGTATATATCCACCAACATGTTGTGCTATCCTATGGTCAGAATTAGTAGGAAACCAAACAAAATGTTGCGTGATCCACTTCAATCTTATTTTTGAACCTTCAACATCGTGAGATCCAGGCTGACTACATAGTAACTATTTACACATATCCTGCAATGCTATAGTATTTGGATTAGTAGAACCACTAACAGGTAGACCATTGATTCGCAGTTCAAGCAACATAGCAACATCTTTTAATGTTCCTATGCATTCTCCACAAAGAAGATGAAATGTATGTGTTTCTAGTCTCCAACGTTCAATAAGTGCATTTACAAGCCCACCATTTATATGCATTTGACATATTTGTGCAACACGATAAAGTTTAGTATTCTGTAAAATGTTATGTATCTCAGGTCTAGGCGATGATATAGCTAAGTAACAAGGTCGTAATAGTCTCATTGCCTGACATAAAAAAATAATTAATCATTAAATACATTATTTAAATTATCATATTTTAAAATATTATTTAATCATATTAGATTTTTAATCACTAAATACTAATATTTAATAACTAACCATTATTAGAAAATTATATTTTTAATAACATAAATCATAAAAATTACTTAGATTTTGAGCTCGTACTAATTATGAGACGTGCTTCTGTGAATCCATAGTTGTATCACGAATCATATTAAAGAAATTTGTTAATCTACAATATTTTTGAAAAAATTTCAACTACATATTTTTTTGAATTTTTCTATTTTTTTCTCTTTTTTTCCCTTTCATTTTCACTCTTCTCTTCTTCGTCTTCAGTTCCCTCTTCTCTCTTCCACCTTAGTTTCTCTCTTTTACGTTCTCTTTGTGCATGAATTTATGATTGAAAGGGTCATTATATAGCTCCAGGAACGAGTTTCTCACTTTGAAAAAATTCACTCATATTCTAGTGTAGCTGATAGCAATAAAGATTCTTTCAAAAATCGCCATTAGCGATTTTTTACTCTACAAAATTTCTGTTCAGTATTCATGTTTTACTTTTTCTGACAAATGGCCTGACTGAACATGTAAATATGTCAAAACTTGTCACTGACGATTTTTCGTTAAGGCCACGTTCTTGATGCAAATATGTCAAAACTCACTATTGGTGGTTTTTCATCTAGGCCACGTTCTCATCAAAGTTTTAAGTTTACTGTTCATGACATATAGCTTATTTAAATATTGTTAAGTCTCCAAAAATTGCCACCTGTGAATTTTAAAAAACCATCCTTCTATTAAATTGCCACAAATAACATATTAACGTAATTATGACTTTTATATCCCATATTTAAATTAATAAACTCCAATAATACTCACTAGTTTGTTGTTGTGCACAGTATTCAAGTATTAGGTATTATTTACATCAGTGTCACCCTCGTTATGTAAACTATTATATTATCTCACTACTTTAATTTTTTTTATATTAATATAATATAATATAAATTAAATGGAAGAAAATAAAAACATCTTTCACAGAATATTCCACTATTCGGTAAATATATACGAGACATGTTTGTTGAAAGAGTTATAATTTGGAAAAGAATTGGATATAATATTGAGTATTTTTATGTTATTTTAAATTAAAATTAAAATTTATCTTTATAACTTACGCAATATTAATCGATATTGGAAATTGCTACGTATTAATTATATGACATTTCAATTTTAATTAAAATTAATATCAAAAGCACCAAAGTTTTGTTATTATAAATTTATTCTCTAATGTGAACTCGAAAATATAATATTCTCATATTTGTTTCGAGTTTTAAAATTTTGTTCTTTGGTATATTGTTTATTTTGCAAAAAAAATTCTTATTTACTTACTTTTTATTCTATTAGTATTAGTTAGGAAAATTACATTTCCATAAAACTAAAATAAGAGTTCATTTTTTTAATCACAAAATATAATGTTTATATCTTAAAATAAACGCTACCTTGAGATTAGTTATGGATAAATACCAAGGCAAGAGCCTTTCTTGAAGTGTTTTCTCTGTATACATGAATTGTGAAATCAAAACCAAGATCACACCACATGCTCAAAAAGAATTCAAAGCTCCTTAAACTGACATGCATCACCATATATGGAATTTATTGTTTTTTAACTTTTTTTTAATATATTATCTTACATTGTTTGTCATACTTTTTTATTTTTTTTATCTCTCTTTTCTTTTCACCCCTTACACTTAAAAAATAGAATGTAAGAAAGTAACTCTATTCTTTATAAAATTCCAACAACACATTCTTTTGAATTATAATTAGTTGATTTTTTAAAAAAGGTAAAAGAACTTACCTTATACATTATTTACTTTTTATAATTATTTTAACCTTTTGAATTAAAGATAAACAACTAAAAACAATAAATGTTTAACAAATCTATTAGAAAAGAATGTATCAAAGCATCAATTCCTCTTCTTAAAGACCAGCACATTTTGGGTGGAGACATGGTGGGTCAAACGCACCCACGACAACACTTTCATAAAGCAGCAATAGTTACATAATATATTCATCTAGTTCACACATCCCTTTCTATATTCTCATTGAGTTTAATAAATCAATTAAAAATGTTACTTCAATTCCCTTTTCTTAAAAATAAGCATATTTTGGGTAGACACTGTGAATGGTGGGTCAACCCATCCATGACAATCTTACCAATTATCTATCTCTCTCTCTGAGTCTCTATATTCTCATCGTTCTTATCTCCACACACATAAGAACTGAAATGTCGAGCACTACGAACGAGACCACATGGTGGGAACTATTGGGCAGCAAAAACTGGGAGGGTCTAGTGAACCCTCTAAACCTTCAACTCCGAACCCTAATCCTCCGTTGCGGGGACTTCATCCAAGCCACATACGACGCCTTCAACAATGACCAAAACTCCCTCTACTGTGGCTCAAGCCGCTACGGCAAAACGTCTTTCTTCCAGAAGGTTCTTCTCCAAAACCCCACTCACTACGACGTCGTTTCGTTCCTCTACGCCACCGCCAAAGTCTCTGTCCCCGAAGCGTTTCTTCTCCACTCGCTCTCGCGCGAGTCGTGGGACCGCGAATCCAACTGGATCGGTTACATAGCGGTCACCTCCGATGAACAAAGCAAAAGCTTGGGTCGGCGTGAGATTTACGTGGTGTGGCGCGGTACCACCAGAAACATGGAGTGGATCGACGTGTTCGGTGCTGCTCCTGAGTCCGCAACTCGGTTGTTGAGTTCTACCAGCCTCTCCCAGTTGAAGCATGGGAAGAACCACGGTCAGTTCTACAAAATCTTCAATAAAGATGGTATATGATTTTATTTTATTTTAATTCGTTATACCAAAAATGAAGAAAAATCACTTCAATGAGGTATTCTTTTTTCTATCTTATTTACTCATTTTTAAAAGAAAATTATTTATTTAAAATTTGAGACTATTAATTATTATTTTTTATTTTTTAAAATACTTTCATTACACGCTTATTGTAAATAAGAGATAAATAATAATGAAGGATATATTAATTAACTAAGAAAATAACAATAAATTTGATTTAGATAAAAGGTATTGATTTAAAAATAAAAATAAAAATTAGGCTATCGTCCAAATGAAAAAAATGAAAAGAATATATCATGATTGTAATTTTAAAAAAATAAATAGGCAATTTTTTTCTAAAGAATAAAGTGTCCCTTGTGTTTTTAAACCTTTACTTATAATTTTATATCGTCTATCCTTTCTTTTTGTTTCAAAAAGAAAACAACATGCAGTTTAAAAAACTCCTTTTCTTTTGAAAAGTAATATTCCCGAATTTTGTAAAAAAGGAAATTGTTAGTGTGGATTTTAAGTTGGGAATAAAGAAGGGGACACAAAGAACAGAGTAACTTATGTCCCTATCCTAGCCCTAGTTTGTATCACTAACCATAGATTAAATTGCTAAAAGTAAAGTATGAATAGTTTTGTATCACTCTCCACACTTGCAGTGAATTTCACGTTAAATTTTATTAAGTTCTAAAGATCAAATTTTTAAAATATAAAATTAAATTTATATATAAGAAAATTTTATTAAAACAAATAATATTAAATGTGGTAATTTTCGTGAGTGGGAGATAATTATGGTTTAGAAAAAAAATATTGAAAGATTAAATATATTAATATCATAAATATTACAGATTTTAATAAAAAAAATATCATTATTAATTTTTAATTATGTTCCTTTCAACGTATATAAAAAACACCATTTGTTATTTTACATCTCTGGTTAAATAATACAGGTAGCAGCAGCAGCAGCGACGAGGAAGATGATGAGAAAACACCAAAAGTAATGAAGGGTTGGCTCACGATCTACACGTCGGAAGACCCAAAATCACCCTTCAACAAAACAAGTGCGAGAACGCAGTTTCTAAACAAGGTCAAACATTTGTTAGAACTTTACAAGGACGAGTCCCCAAGTGTGCTCTTCATGGGTCACAGTCTGGGTGCAAGCTTATCCATTCTAAGCGCATTCGACTTGGTAGAAAACGGGGTGACAAACGTTCCCGTTACAGCGTTCGTGTTCGGGTCACCCCAAGTTGGTAACAAGGCTTTCAACGAGAGGTTCAAAAAGTTCCCTAACTTGAAGGTGTTGCATGTGAGGAACGTGATTGATCTCATTCCACACTACCCGGGGAAGTTGTTGGGGTATGAGAACACGGGTGTGGAGTTGGTGATTGATACGAGGAAGTCCACCAGTTTGAAGGAGTCGAAGAATCCGAGTGATTGGCATAACTTGCAAGCTATGTTGCATGTTGTGGCTGGGTGGAATGGGGTTGATGAGGTGTTTGAGATGAAGGTTAAGAGGAGTTTGGCTTTGGTGAATAAGTCGTGTGATTTTCTGAAGGATGAGTATCATGTTCCTGCCTCTTGGTGGGTTGAGAAGAATAAGGGTATGGTCTGTAAGGACGACGGAGACTGGGGTTTGGATGCTCCTGATGAGGAGGATCTGCCTGTGCCTGAAACTTGATTTCCATCTCTTGTATATTTACCGGTTAAACTTGTTTTTCATCACTAAAATTTTACATTAATGTGATATTATATGTAAAGAGAGGTTGTATTAATTAATATACCTCTCGCTTGACACACCATTCTCCTTTTTGACAAGGTACCAAGCTGCGACGTCCCTTTGTTCTTGTTTGTATATATCTCTTTTATATGACATGTTTAGTTACTATCCTGGATCTTTTCTTTTTTGAATGATAATGTTTTGACTCTTATCCGCTCCCTTACCCTTCTTTCTCTCACGTATATGTTTTGTGAAAGTCATTGTCGAAAGGATAATGTTGTTTGAGGAAGATAGGGACAAATTAACGTTGGAAAAGTAAACAAAGTGGTCTGTTAGTTTTTTATTTTAAAATTTGCATTATGCATCACATTCTATATAATGAGAAATCATTATATAGAATGCTATTTAAAAGAATAATGTTTTCTTAACACTTCTTAAGATATGTATACTTAAAGAAAGAAGAGGAAAATAAAACGAGAATGAAAGGAAAAAGCTAAATGTAAAATTTAAGTGTAAAAGAACAATTACTTTTAAGGAGGTGAGGTTGATATTTTTAAAAAAGAAAAAGGTAAGATTGACGATACTTTTATTCTGCAAGATGCAAATCACAGCATTTTATTTATTTTAAAATGTAATGCTTCCATCACCACGACACCACACATAGAAACACATCTCAAATCAAAAGTACGGTGATAAATCAGAATATACTGAAATGAAGTATAATTAAACTATTTTTTAGCCTGTAAAGATGTATATAATATAACTTAAATATAATGCTTTTTTAAAAATAAAAATTATAGAATTTTATGTAATATAATGCATCGATACTATTAAATACTATATTTTTAATAACAAATTATCATTTATTAAATTTTTTAATTATGTATAACTTTGTATAGGTTAAAAAAATAACAATTAAATAATAAAAGCTTTATATAGATAGATAGTTAAAAAAAATGTATATTACCTAAGACTTTAACTATTATAAGTTATATTGAGTTTCTACTAATTTCATTTAATCTAGTTTAATAGAAGCAAAATGTCCTAACCACTTAGACCAATAATACTCAATATTATAAAATTTTTAAATGATTTAACTAAAAAGTAAATCAAGATGTAATTTAGAGTAAACAAGTTTATGAATTAATTTTCAATTTTTAAAACTTATCACATATGAATTTTAAAATACTAAATTAATGCAAAATATTAAATTAATATATTTTTTATAAGTTCAAAAGGTAACTTGAATACATAAATTAATTTGAAGATAATTCATAGATAGAACAATGAAAAACATATAGTTCAGGCTTATCCATGACATGTAGAGCAAAATAAATAAGGATCATGATCCTCTAAATTTGTAATTTAAAAAAATCCATAAAACATTTTTTAAAAAAATAATTAAAATGCTTCTTAATTTCCTACTATAGAATTTGTAACAAATAGATGAAAAATACACCCAAAAATTTTCTTTTTGTCTTAGTTTTACAAAAACAAAAGCAGTTTTAAAAAATCAGTAATCAAACATATCTACAATTATTTAGAATATGTTTTAATATACAGCTAATTTAGCACTAATTTAATACGTTATTTATAAATGATAACTTAATATATATTATTAATGGAACTTAAAAAAATGAGAACATAGTTTATAAGAGTCATAAGTTGTCTATAAAATCTTTCACTCAATCCTCCATAAATAACTCCAAAGTACGATGATAAGGCATAAGCACATTCACTTCTACCAATGACACCCCACAATTGCACAACCGCTGGTAAAAGTAGAATTTATGCTGAAAATGCAACTTTATTTATTCCAACAGGTGAAAGCCACAAGTCCTCACAACCATTTATCTGTCTTACATATACACAGTTAGCGTGCAAACACAATCACTCCAACAGTGACATGCAAACCAAACAGCATACACAGCCATGACATTAGGTTCCTTATTTCTTGCCACGCAGTTTAGCTCCAAGGGCTCTCTCCAACTTGCCAATTATCTGCTGGTTTGGAATGGCCTTCCCTGATTCATACTCCTGAATCACTTGAGGCTTCTCATTGATAATCTGCAATTAACAATATACGTCATTGATAATTGATAGTACCTAATTATTATTAATCATGAACATGAAGAGACTGATAATATATTCTTGGCAAATGTTAATTAGTATCCTTAATTTATTGGTTAAGGAATTAAAAAAATTCTTGGAAAATATACTAATACATTTCTCCCATGATGTTCCATGCATACTGTAACATTTTTTAATAAAAGCTTTCGATTTATTAATTTCTTAACTAATGTCTTAAGGGCATTAGCGAACAAGATCTTGTATTTATTTTATTTTATTTTCCTGCCGAGGGGAGAGAAATACTTGAGCTAGCTGAGCCTGAGTAAGCTTCTTGTCCATCCTAGCTTGCATTATAGCCTTCTTGAGTTCAGTTGGTACACGATCATCTGCACACACAAGTTCAATCATATCATATGCGAATCAAGGTAGGAAAAGATGCCAATGCCATTAAAGAATATTGATGTTTAAGGATACAAACAATATCTTCAAGGTGGTAGAGAAAAAATGCATCAGATGCTTTAATTTTGGTTCAAGAAATCTAAAACAGGAATAACAATGCTGCTGCTGGCTATAATTTTAATGTTTATTAAGCAGAATATGATATCATAAGAATCCAAAATATGCACAATCAATAAACAAATAATAACCATGAAAGCATAAGGTTTAACCATGTTCTACGCTCGGGAAGCCAGGGGAAAATTTGTATTGAAAACCTAAAGTTTAATGATCAGGTGAATTAAATGAGGATATTGTTTACATAAACCCAAGTGTAACATTATGTTGAGGATAAAATAATGTCTCTAGCGAAAATGGGTGGTGGGAAAAAGCAGAAAATCCATCAGAGAAGAAAGAGAAAAAAAAGAGCAAGACAAAAGCTCGCAGAGGAAGTTTCAAAGGAGAAGTCTGCTATTTTAAGTTTAATGTAGGATAAAATGTCCATTTCCACTATGAGGGCACGATAGCACCACTATTGCGCTCTAATCACTACTATGAGATGAACTTTTAAGTGTTGCTAATGGATCCATTTGCTTGAGCTGAAATTCAACATTTTATTAGAAGAACGGGAATAGCAACTAGCAGGAATTTCTTCTGATCATTTAGAGGCTCCTTTACCATGTCATGAACCAATTATCCCAAAATCTTAAGCTAGTAGGTGAAGATGCATGAATGATTTAAAATAACATCTCCAACAACTAACAGTTTAAAACCACCAAACATTACGTTATGGCACCCCAAAAGTTGGCAGTGCTAAACACATTTCTAATGATGAGACAGCCCAACCTTCAGCTGATCAGCTCAATTCATAATTTAATATGCTTCAACCTAACTACTATTTACATAAACCGCAGAACCCCCATAGTATTGTAAGAGTCAAAAGACAACACATAAAAACTACCAAACAGAACATGCTTCAGGCAAAATTTTGTAGTTGAAAAAATCTAAAGCTGGACAAAGAGATCATTTCAGATAATGTCCCCTAACTGCAAAAACCCCTTATGGAGGACACTTTCACCTCTCAATTCTTCCCATAAAACTGTTCATTCAAAAGTAATTGCACTGAGGTTCTTTTAATGATAGAAAACGTATTAAAAAATAAAAAACTTAAGTATCTACATATATATATGTAATACTCACGAGCTAGATTCTCTGTGTCATCATCCAACCTCTTAGTGTTCAATGAGGTGCTGCTAGAGGCTGCTTTGTTTGTCCCAGCATTATCTGTATATAACAACGATTGAACAATCACTATTCAAACTACGCAAATAAGAAAACTCCTAAAGAAAAAAGAAAATAGAAAAAAACAAACAAACAAACAAACAACCAAGACACAACCACAACCATTCTGTCACAAATTAGCTTGTTTTTAAGTACCCCCAAACTAAATAATTATCAAAATTAATTTTTTTTTCCTAACCCTTTAAAAAGATTTAATTTTGCAAATTAAATCTGCTGCCTCTACACCCAATCATCAAAGCGCAGCTGCAACAATCACAAGAGAAGACGTTCAGACCCGAGATTTTAAAAATTAATAAATTCAATTCATTAAAAGCAAATTTAATTGGGAAAACAATTAAATTGCATTTAATTTAAAAACAATAAAAAAGATTTCATTTGGGTTAAGGGAACAAACATTTCTTAACGGTTTCGATATCGGCGCCAGCTCGGCGCGCGGCGTTGACGGCTTTCTCGTCCTTTTTGGCAGCGGCGGTGGGAGCTTTCTTGCGGAGGACGACGGGTTCCCAATCTTGAGAAATAGGGGTCCCACCTGACATCTCTATCTCTTTCTATGTGTCTGTTTAGGGTTCTTTGTTTTCGTTTGCAAAGACGAAGATGGTAATGAAAATCGAAACGTTACTCCCTCAGAAACTGTTTCTTTTTATAAAAAGGAAAAAGAAAAATCCTTCAATCTCTGATTCCATCCAACTCATTTTACTTGTAATTTGCAGTTTTTGAACAGAAATTGATAAATATAATAAATTTCCAACTAATACATTCTTTGACATTTCTTATATATTTTTTGTTATTCTTTTAAACGATTTTATAACATCATTTCTTATTAATGGATTTAATCACTTAATTGTAATACGTTTTTATTGAAAAATGAAATATATATTACATTAGAAAAAATAGAGGATACACGTGGTTTAGCTAAAAATAATAAAAACATACAGTTTTTTTTATTTTATAAAACAATGTTAGATTTAATTATAATTTTATTTATTTATAATTTTAATATTTTTAGTTTTAAAATTGTTTAAATTAAAAATGGTACGGATGCATCTGTTTTCTCTTCCACTATCTTTTTTTTTTCCCCTTTTTGGTTCAGCTATTCTCTTTTGTTAAAATCAGATCTTGTTTTGTGCTCGTGGTGGACCAGGCTCAGTTTTTGTTGGCCCAATAATTTTATGAATTGGGTTTATTAAGTTTCAAAAACAAAACTATTGATCCAAAAAAATTGGGAAGTATTCTGGAAAAGAAGAAAAATATTAACAATAAATTTTTTTTAATAAATTAATTGAATCCTTAAAGTAAAAAGCATGGAGAAATGGCAGTAATATACTCTTTAAATATATTTTTTAATATTAGTTAAAATTTATTAAAATAATAAAAAAATACGTGAATTATTCTCTTATTATAATACATTTTACTATTTACTTTACATTTTAAAATAAAATTTAACTAATTTTAAAATATATTAAAAAATATGTCACTAATTCTCCTACAAAAGATAACGTCATGTTTGTCCATTCGTTAATCTGTTGGGATATCTATTAAGTGTAACGTACAGTTAATCGATAAAAATATAAAATAGCTTTCTTACTGAATACAAAAACCGATGTTGTATTTATTTTTTGAAAAATGCCAGCTGAACTTATAAAATTGAGTTTAAACAGTTCAAAATATTAAATTTTTATTAAAAATATTATTTTAAAATTATTAAAATTAATCTAGATACTAAAATTAACAATTTTTTATTTTGATTTGTTTCACTATAATTGGCATGTTAGGGGGAAAAATAATAGAATTTTTTATTTTTTTTTTATCTTTTCTTGATAAGATTGTCCACCACGTAGCCCACGTCATTGGTCAGCGGTATCATATGATATTTAATGTTCCCATGAGCAACTTTGTCAAGTTGCTTAGTGTATTAGAAATTCGAATAATAATAATAATTTTTCACTTTAGATTGAAGTGTACAACGATTAGATATTAAAGAACAAACTACTAAGTTGGTCTTTAGATTATAACTTATCAACTTAATTTTAGATTAATTTAATTTTAGTTAAAATTTAATGTGAAATCATTTATGTTTAATATGTTCTTATATGAAAAATAATCGATAATTTTGTTATTTAAATGTTTGTATATTTAAAATAATACATATTTTTTCCTAAGCCGCATGTAATGTTCATTAGATACAAAAATTTACATGTTTATTAAAAATAAGAATTAAATTGTATTTTTAATTTTAGTTTAAAAAGGACTAAAATATATGTACTTTTTTATTGCATATAATCATACTTGAGTTAAATAAAATAATCACAGGTAATAATTTTTTCAAAAAATGTTTAATAAAAAATTTAAATTCAAAATTACACGCTAAAACAAAATAAGTTAACCCTATTTTTCTATGAATTTTAAAAGATTATATCATCTATAATGGCAATGTTGAGTTGAATATAACTACTATTAAAGAAAAACAATATGTTTAAAATAATTTTAATTTAAAAGTTATTTTAAAATAGGTATCATGGTGTACACAATTTATTTTTAACTCAAAACAATCGACCACCTAGTCAATTATTGGAATAAAATTTTGTTTGAAAAACAAAACTTATGATATTAAGTCAATTATGCATTATATAATGGAAATAAGGCTGAATTGGGGGTGAATAGGCAGGCAGCACAATAATGTCCATCAACAAAATTGAAAAGTGAAGAAATACTGAGTTTATTATTAATTTAATCAAGTAAGTTATTCTAAAACATTGGCTGAAACCAAATAACCATGTAAAATTTAAAATTTTAAAAGCTATGTGACTTTAGTTTGTAGTTAAAATATGTGGATCTCTGTTACTTTATATTTAAAAAATTAATACTTAAAAATTATAACTGTTGACATTTGATTTGCATTTTATCATATAACATATATAATTTCATTTATTATCTGTTTTTATACTTTTAGTAAAACAAATGTAATACTTTTTAAAGTCCATTAAATTGGAATAATGACATGGGAGACCTGGTTGGAGGAACATTAAAGCGAGACTATTGACATGGATAATATTTTTTAATTTATTTTTAAATACAATATATCTAATTTACTAAATAAAAACAACTGTAAAAAAAATAAATATTATAAAAATATGAATATGAAGACACCTCAAGCAACAAGACCACTGTAATAAATCAAAATTAAATTCATGAAAATAATTACAATAGTTGGTAGTTTTTATCTATAGGGTGAAATGATATTAGTTGTTAAATTTAGTAAAACAACACTTCTAATAAATTGTATTAAAAAATTATCAATCCAATCATTAATGTTATCACACACACATATTCTATATTTACTTACATACTTAATAACATACTATACAGATAAAATACAATGATAAAGTGTTAATTAGTGTTGAAATTATATAACATTATTTTAGAACTATTTTACATTTTAAGACGTTTACATTCAATAATTAAATCAATGAATTTTTGATGAAAAATAATGGAAAAAGTAAAGATAAATTTTAGACTAATCCTCCCCCCCCCTCCTTTCCCCCCCTTTTTACTTAAATTAAAGTCACAATTCACAAGCAAACAAGTTAAAAGAATACAATTTACTTAATTATTCTTTAGCATTGACTTAAACTCAATACATAGTCAAACCTCATGTGGACCAACCGATTTTAACAGCTGTGAAAATTATATGATTAAAAAAAAGCAGGTAGGGAACAGCTGGAGTTCAAACGGCTCAAAAAACCATACAAAAGGCAAAGGAACAATTTAATTTTTTTAAATTGTTTATTTAAAAAAAAAAACAGTGATGACGTGTCCAAGATCTTCGTTGGTCCTTCTTCTTTTCTCCTTCTACCCTTCGTTCCTTCTGTTCCTCTCCTCACAGCGATCCCTCTCTTCTTCCATCTATGCACACTCATTCTTCTTCCTTCATCCAATCCTCCATGTTTCACAAACTTCTCTTTCTTCAATGATGGGTCTCTCAGGTACCCTCTTCTGCATCTTTCACTTCCCTTTTTTGGGTCCCTTCTATTGGAATCTAATAGCCCCATTTGAGATTTTGATCCAAACACTCTTTTTTATGTGTTTGCACGCTTTTTTAGTTCACCCCTTTTGCTGGGTCACTTGCTATTTTTCGTTTTGTTAACTCTTTTGTGGTTTAATTAGTTAACAGTGGTTGTGATGTTTATGACATGAATAAATTATTAAAAAAATGGGTACTTTGTTCTTTAAATATCACATTCGATTCTGTAACTTATGGTTTTTTGAGTGGAATTGGTGAAGGAATTGAGTGACTTGGTGTTTTATCAGTGGAAATCTTGTGGGTTTTAGTTAATTTTAGTCTAGAAGTGAATTGTTTTCGTTGTATGGATGTAATGATAGAAACTATACAGTAAAATGCTCATGGTGTTGCTAATGTTTATGTTGATGTTAGTTAGTGATTAGTCGTTGCACTTGCTGTGAAATCAGTATCTGAAGTAGAGGTCATTAATTTTTGGCTCTGCTATTGCTTTTTCCTTGTTCTATAGATCCATTAATTTGAGTAGTTGCGAAGGAAAAGATTACGACCATGCAGATTCATTACCATTGGTTTGATTCCGAGGCTAAATACGGTTGTTATCTAATTGTATATCCAGTCCCGATTGCAATCGATAAGCCACTTACAAGGTGTTATCTGCTTGCTGAACTTGGGGGTTTGGTCTGAGTGAATAGATTAGTTGGTCACGAGTTTACAAGATGCCATATTATATACAGAGACTTTATAGGCTATGCAACGCATCATTTTCACCTGATGGACCTGTGTCAGAAGAAGCCATTGAGAGAGTTCGTGAGAAGTTAGGTATATTTCTTATTTTGCTTATAAATTCATTTTTATCGTTAAGTCCATAGGATGCTTGATGCCTAATGATAAATGAAAATTTTGAAGGCATATGAGAATAAATAGTGCGTGATAAATGATTGTTCCATACATACTATGTCAAAATAACTTCAAGCCTTCTTTCTTTCTCTCCCTTTTTTCCCTTCTGATCACTTATATCTATGCTTTTGTCAAAACCAGTTATTTGTCTTTTTGAAGGAGTCACAGGCTCAAGTTTAAATTTTGAGGAACAGTAGAGTAAGCCTGCTTCTAATCTTCTTTATTCTTCCTCTTTTTAAGGGCAGATCATGTGTCATAGATTTCTCTTTAAAATTTAAGATGAAATTAAGGCCTGAAGATTTTGTGGTAAACCTCATTTTTATTGGTCATTTATAACTTTACTTAGTGATTTTCTGTTAGAACAGATCATCCTATTGAAATATATTCTTATGCTGGTTAACTTTTTACCCATAATTTTTTTTTACTTTGCATAAAATTTGTTTTACTAGTTTAGATAATGGACTGTACAGATGTGGACCGATTTTTTAGGTGAGAAAAGAAGGATTTGTTATAAGGTGTAAATTTAGATTGTTATTTTCAAGCTGTTCTATTTTATCTTCTTGATATGTGCCAGCGTTCATTATAGTGAATGATAAATTCTCACGCCATACTTTTGATACCTCTATGATTTTCTGTCTTAGATGACTTTGATTCTACCACTCAATAGTTTTCATGTCTGACTAATATTTTCATAATAACCTGACATAATGTCTCCACAGACAGAATCAGGCCATCGGATGTAGGTCTTGAACAAGAGGCACAAGTGGTTCGAAATTGGTCTGGTCCAATGCTTGAACGTAATGGGAACCATCAATCTTTGCCACCTATCAAATATTTGCATTTGCATGAATGTGACTCGTTCTCTGTAAGTAAAGCCTCAAACTCCAGATCAGGTTTATTCAGTCAGCATTTAAAAAATTTTGGGCCTTCAGTTGGCTATAGCAACTGAAGTTTGATTTAGTTTATCTTTTGCAGATAGGAATTTTTTGCATGCCCCCGTCATCTATCATTCCTCTCCATAATCATCCTGGAATGACAGTGTTGAGCAAGCTCTTATATGGTTCAATGTATGTGAAATCCTACGATTGGATTGATGCACCTGGCTCCACTGGACCATCTGAAGGTCTGTTTTCTGTGACTTCATACATTTTAATGTTAAACCATTTTTTAGTCCTCTGTACCTATGTGGTAATGTGGTGTGCACTTTCTTGCCTTGCCTTTCTGGAGAACACTAACACCATCCTTATTGAGGTAAGGTAGGGCAAGATGGCAGTATTATACTAGGCATCACCAAAAAATAGTCTGTTCCCATATCCAACAAATAGGATAAAACCAGGGCTTCAGAAATCAATACATGGCATATAACCCTTGTTGATGGATATTATGTTGTATCATTAAAAGCTACCAAAAATGTGTTGTGACATGTGAAAGAGATAAAATTTTCATACTGGAAATTACAGGTGAAATTAGATATAAAGGGTTTTTTCTTAGTTTGTCACCAATTCTCATGATCTTTTACTTTCTAGCAAAAGTGCTTGACTCTATTAGGATTTTGGAATTGCTTGATAGAATACTTTGGATTTATATAATGGTATACAATATTCAAATCCATAAATTGTATCTTTGAAAAAAAAAATCTCGGAGATGTATCCATGAATTAAGAATATTATCTATACTAATACTAATACTAATAATATAGTAATCAACACTCCACCTCTAGCTTGTGTATGTATGTGATATATATCATAGGTAACTTATCCTTGAAGCCTAAAAATATTTGGTGACTATTTTTGTTAGTTGATCAGTGGAATTCATAGATGTAGTAGTGAATTGTCTAGACATAGTCTCGCACAAAGTGATGAACCACAGTATGAATTCTCAGAGAGGCGCCCACATGTAGTGCCTGACTGTGGCTCAACCATATTGCCTCTTTTGGAGGATACACATGGGAAGTCTTAAAAAAATCAGTTGTCATTTCTATCACATGTATATGTACTTCCATTCACTCAAAATATTTAGCAGTTAGCACAACATTGCTAGTCTTTAGTCGCTTGAACCTCCCTGCTTTGGTTCTTCCTGGAGATTGATGTAATGAGAAATCTGTAACCCTCACTTTTGGCCATTTGGTAAAGAGATTTTGAGTATGGAAGGATAGCATGGATAGTAATGAACTAAACTAATTATTTTTATGATGTCATTGTTTGCCATATATTTCTGCCACTAAACTAAACCAAAAAATGGTAGTCTGAAAGCTTAATTTTAGTATGACCATTTTAATGACATTGTTTGATGTGATTGCTTCAGCAGTTCAGCCAATTTTTTGGTTTTGAGTTCATTATTCAATAATCCTGACAATGTAATTTGTTTTCCCTCTATGTGCATTTCATAGGAAAATATTATCTTATAATATCTTAGATTATCCTGCAGGATTAGTTTCCTTATTTCCTTGTTATCTCTTAGGATTAGTTGCCATATTCTCTTATCATGATTTGTTTCTCTAATTAGTTAAGATTATGATTAGTATAAATACAGGTTAGTACTCTTACTCTCACGGACATATCAAACATGTCAATACATTGTAATACATCTCAGTTAACAACAATTCAATGTTTTCCTTTTTTTTAGCCTCTCTTCCTCCCTTTATCCTTAAAACCCCATAATTTCAACACCTTTTGTCAATATGGAAAAAAACTATTTTTGCTGTCTAGAGGAGAAGCTAATTCTTCCCAACTTCTACATTTAACAAATACAATTGTCCAATTTGTCTGGGAGATCATTCAAAGGTTGTTGCATTTTTCTTCTCTCAATTTCTTTAATTTGAAAATTTGCTTCAGTCTCTCTGCTTACGGGAATAAGGTTGTAAGCATCTGTCCATCCTTGGGCCCCACAATGTTGAGAAAAGTGTGCCCTAAGCCATCATTTTTGTATTATGCAAGTTAGTGATAGAACTGGACCAGAAAATGGGATAAAAGTATAGTCTTTATTGCAAAACAATCAATCTCGGCCTTTCTATCAATGTGACACAAAGCAGATATCAAGTTGAACAACACAACAGAGAATTCTCTCCCTTACCCATGTATTTGGGAGACCCGAACTCTCTTCCCAATTCTCCACTTTGCAGTATCTTTAGCAGTGTATTACCTGTATAACTATCCCAGTGCTGAATGACCATAACCATATTATAGAATTCCTAATATGTTATGACCACTATGATTACTGTGACAGCCAATGTGATGGGCAAGGGTAATTCTTCCACAGTCCCCCCACAACGCTACTACCCCCATTCATTCTTGTGACTATCTATCTATATGACCTCCTCTTTAACATTATTATCTATCTATATGACCTCCTCTTTAACATTACTCTTACCATAATATTTCGGTTTCTATAGCCACAACGATATCAACTGAACTAAGGCATGGTCATTTCAAATTCAGTTACACTAAATATGCAACATTGCAAATGCAAAGTGAAACTTCTCTTTAACTCTGGCCCGGAATAGACCAGGTAGGATTATGCTGTGCACATATGTGAACATGATCCAGATAAAATCGAACTGATTAGGATGTGTTTGGATACACAACTTACTAAGCACGCTTGTTCAATAAGTTCTTTTTAAATGGTGGCTTATGCCATATATTTAACCAAACTTATTGGAATAAGCTGAAAAGTGCTTATGAGAGTAACAAGCTATTTTCATTAGTTTACTGATATAGTGGTGTGATATATATAACAAGGAACTCCATGGCCTGCAGGGTGGTAAGCTGTCTTTGTTTTTTCTTTAATAAAATTTCCTTCATTTTGAACTTTCTATATCTCTTCCCATCATTTGTGAATTGGTAAAGATCAATAACATTCTCTTTATTCTCCTGACACTAAAATTCGTGAACTTGTTTGTGATTGACAGCTAGACCTGCAAAACTCGTCAAAGATACTGAGATGACAGCGCCGAGTCCCACAACAATTCTTTATCCTACCAGTGGAGGAAACATCCATTGTTTTAGAGCTATAACTCCTTGTGCAATCTTTGACATATTGTCTCCCCCTTACTCTTCAGAGAATGGAAGACACTGCACTTACTTCCGGCGATCCCCACGGAAAGATCTTCCAGGTAATCTGATTTATTTTCATCGTGCATTCTTATCAAACTTGTGAAATTCTGTTCTGTTAACCATAGCATACCGTTGTCAACGATGAATTCGGTTGCAGTTAATGTTCAGTTGAACGGCGTAACGGTTTCAGAAGTGACTTGGTTGGAAGAGTTTCAACCTCCTGATGACTTTGTGATGCGGAGAGGGCTGTACAGAGGTCCAGTTATTAGAACTACTTGAAAATTTTCTTGTTTGCTGTGTTTTACACCCAAAAGAAATTGGCTTCTTATCTTTAGGTTATAACAAAGGGGACCATGAAATGTGCAATAATTATATTCTTTGGCTATGTTGGTTAGGCATTGGAGTATGTACATAATAATGCACTAATGTAATCTATTTACAGATCTCAGCTTAATCCAGTAGAATAGTTACTACTTGTCACTGCCCATATCTATACTTCTTTTCATGGAGAATAAGAAGGTAGGGTACTAGTTACATTATGCCATTTTCAGACTACACATGTTTATCACATAACTTTCATCATTAAATTTATTGAAATGAGTTTAATAATTAACTGATTTTTGGAATCAAAGAAAATTTATCCTCTCAGCAATTACCCTTTCCTCTGCAACTCGACTTTTTCCAAACAAAATTAAGGATGCTTTGTTACTTACCGGTTTTCTATGTTTGCGAATTTAAATGACGTGGATGAGTCCATTATTGTTCACATGAAGATATAACTGTTCACAAATTACTCTTCATTTTTATTTGGAAGACACTAAAAATTAGAAAGCAAATGCAAAGATAAAAAAAGATAAAATAGGGTTTTTAATCATTGTAAAATGAACAAAACAAGGTTTAATCATATATAGATTAAAGGCATATTTAAGAAAATAAAAACTTAAAGGAGCAAGCATGTAACGTTGAAGAAACAAGGGGTGTTGTGTGTTTTATAAATAAAACAGAATTGGAAGAAAACTTAAAAAAGTGATACAGCTTGGTTTCACTCAAAGTAGACCCACTCAGTTGATTATTCTCTCTTTCGTTTTATCTCTGGCCATAGTTCAACAAAGTGTTCCATATTTACCTTGATTAGCGAAAGTTCTATAAAAAGCATTATTTGAATATGCTCTTTCTTCTATGGCGTGGATTGTCATTCAGTATACTCTGTTACGCACCCATCTATGGTGATTACGCTGAAACCCACAGTTACTGACATAATGTGAATAATAAATGTATCACTGTTTGGGTAGGTAACATTAGAAAGAGCATAATTGTTAAAAAAGAATTGCTAACTAAGAACCCGGTTAAATATTTAGATGTGATTTTAGTAAAATTTACATATTTTTTTAATAATTTTTAATAAATTTTATTATTAATAAAAAATATACTACTAATCCCATTCCTCTTTAAAGCTTGTATGCTTTGACTTTGGAAGTGCTATGTTAGGAAATTGGGTGGAGACTATAAATAAATTGCATTTCATCAATCACTAGATGAGATCTCACCTTCGTAAGCAGTCAAACAAATCAATTCAAATCCTACGTTTTCTTCGTCCTTCAATTTTCTAACTATTATAATAATGAATATTCCCATAAATTAATTTCACCTGTTCTTAGCCCTTTTTTTAAATTATCGTCTTCAAGGAAAGAGAAGGAAAAAAAAAATACTATATGCAAATAGGTTGTAGCGTGAATATAGACTAGATGGACAAGAATGGGAATTCGACCACAACCTCATCAAATTATTGTTTATTGTTTATTTATGTTACAAAGAAATAATTTTGTTATATTTTATATATCTTTTAAATTTTTTTATTTTATAATTAAATATTAAATAAAAATTATATATATTTGTTATTTTGAAAATATGAAACATATTTAATAATTGATTTATTTAATGATTAAAAAATTATAAGCATCAACAAAGGATAAGAAATCATAGTGAAAAGCTGTCTAGTGTCTACGTCAAGGAAGCATCTGAATTTTGTAAAATATCTTTCAAAAACAGTGTGTATATGATATTCATTTGTCTGCGTCATATGAAAGAGGTGTCACCCTGCATTCAACAATACGTTTTTAGTCCATATGTTAAAGTTTCATCTCATCGCTTCACTTCTCTTTCTGTATTGTTTTGAAAAAATTACATGAAAATTGCAAATTGTATAGTTTTGTGGTTTGTTGATGTTTAAGAATCATGAGTACTAAAACGTCCAATATATGATGTGCATCAAGTAAAAGGTTCCTGCATCTGAACTCTTCTATTAATATAAACATTGACAACTAAATTCAATTATTTAGCCATGAAAATTGGACTCCATACATATTGGAATCGATTCCTTCTGGTTAGAGTCTATAAAGGCTCCGACAAGTACTATTGTCATCCTAATACGATACTTATCATTATTATAATGTATTACTACCAAATCTCACATTAACATATATTTTCATTATTATCATGCGAAGTTGGTCTGTCTTACCAGTTACCAGCCATAAATGCATGTGTATGAAAAATAAAGGAGAAGAAGAAGAGAGACAGCACCAACCTGCAGGAATGCAAAAGATGTAACGGAGCCCATTTAGCTAAGATCATAGGCTTTTAATAATTGAACACGTAAAATAAAGGGAAGAGGGACTTTTCTTCTTGTAGTGTGCTTTATTCATTCATTCATACAGATATTTACATTTTTCTTATGCATCTTTCATGGTCACGTCAACCTGGCTTTGGTTTCTGCAACCTCTCCTTCACATGATATCACACCAAGTGGCCCCTAAAATAAATGCTCCAAACACTCCCTCAACATTAAATTAATCACAGGTAACGTACACTTGTAATTTTCTTTTATAAAGTTTCTTTCTTTATTATGTTTGTTTATCCAGAATCCACTTTTAAATTCAGTTTCAGAAACAATGATAAGTCTTAGACATGTTTTTGACTTTTCAAATATCTTATATTTTAATTTCTATAAAATTATTTTTATTTAACTTTTATATTTAAAAAGTGATTCATTTTGGTTCTCAATTACTTTTAAATGTTGACGTAATTAACTTAGATGGTATCAAATGTTTTTTCTGATTTTTTAATAAAAATTACTACTTTTTATTTAAAATATATGAAAAACTATTTTAAAATACATTAATTGTTAAATTGTTTTTATATTCTTATTTATTGTAATAAAATACTAAGTATATTCATTTATTTAATGTACAAGTTATTAATTTGATTATTTATTATTCTAAGTATTTTTATTTTAAAATATATTATAAATTTATAACATATTATTTTTTATTAATTTTAATAAATTAATGAATTATTTTTAGAAAAATATTACTTTTTTTTATAAATTTATATTTGTAAAAAATATTAAAAATATAAAAACTATAATAAAAATAATTTTTTAAAAAAAGTAAAAAAAATAAAATATATATTTAATCTTAATAATAAATATAAAACAACGAAGGAAGAGAAAAAAAAATGATATATATTACTAAAATAAACTTTAATTCAAACTTCAATCCTGAAATTAGAAAAACATGAATAATTTTTATATTTTTTTAAATGATATATACAAAAATACAGTATTTTAAAAAATTATAAAAATATAAGTTTAAAAATCATTAATAATGATTTTTCTGTAAATATATAAATTTAGAGATAAAAAAATAAAAAAGTTATAAAATCTCTTAAAAATATTTAAAAATTAAAACTGATAATTTTTAAAATAATAATAAAAAATTAAAAATTCTTATTAGCAATTTTTGAAAATTTCTCTTGTTACTGTAATTTTACCAAAAAAAATAAAATTCATTTTTTAATTTCATAACAAAAAAAACCACGAGAAAAACGCAGAAAAACACTTATAATATTAATCAAAGTTAGCATATTTGCACTTGACAAGTAGCAGCACCAGCTGGGAAGCTTGCTCTGTTGCCAACCAAGCAGCAATAAACACAAGAGTACAAGAAGGTTTATTATTCTCATTTACCCTCCCAATCACGAAGCTTCCTCTGCTTCTATCTTCTCGAGAGAGAGTTACTTTCAGAGTTCCATCACCTACTTTCTACACCAACAAAGTAAATTCATTTCAGGCTCTTCTCCTCTTTTCTCAGGTCCCTTTTTCACACCCCTTCTTTCTCTCTCTCTCTGTGCGTGTGTGTGTGTGTGTCGGTGTTTCTTGGGTTTGGTAAATGTCGATGAATGGTACAGTGTGGTTTGTCTGTTTGGTCGGAAAAAAGTTAAAAAAAATGTTTCTTTTATGTTCAATTATGGTTCTGTTCATTGGCTCTTGTTTACAAAGTGGCTTTGAAAAAAAAAAAGAGTTGCATAGGTCTAACTAATGAAATAGGAATCTGCATTTTCCCCTGATGGGTGTGTTTTCTTCTTCAGGTTTGATTGATTTTATCCTTTTCCTCCTCCCTGATGAGATGGATAGAAGGAATCTGGTTTATGTCAGAATTCAGATACATCAGTAGATGGTGATTCTCGATTGGAATGGTTATCTTTGTGAAGCTTAGAACTAAAAGTTGTTTCCATCTTGCAGAAGATAGTATCCATTATCCAATGCTATGATATGCCAATAATGCTTTGTTGGGTAGTCTACCTTGAAAGCTATATCATGATTTAGACGTGGGCTCAATCTTCTTACTGAATCAGTTTTCAGTCAAAATTCAATCACTATTATATCATGGGTCGTCCATACTCGAATAGAAATTGTGAATCATGTAGAGTTGATTTTGTTTTCTGTTGTTCTATACCATATGTTTCAATGCAAATTGATTATCTCCTTTCACTAAGTCACTTTCATATTAATTAAATGCAAAAAAGTCAGTTTGTTTTCTTCCTCAAGTTTGAGTTTCAATTTGATTTGACTTTGGGGTTTTGCAGAAACCAATTACATGATACTAAAAACTCTAATGGAAGAAAAGCAATTAGATTTTAATCAGCCTCTTTTATCAGTAAGGCGATTCTCATCAACAGTGGCCTCTGAAAATGACAATAAAAGGAAACCTGATAAATCATCAGCCAAACTACCTCCTCTTCCTGTTTATAGATCAGAGTTAAAGTCAGGTCCAGTGGCTAATCCTGGAACTGTTCCTTTTGTGTGGGAGAGGAGTCCTGGAAGACCTAAGAATCAAAGCAAATTACAAACACAGGTTGTTGAACACCCTTCCATTACTCCAAAGCTTCCACCAGGGAGGGTTTTAAAAGTTGAACAGCAAGATTATGATAAAGTTATTCAATCTAGAACAGGAAGCAGTGTTTCAAACTCTCATGGTGTTGCATCTTTAGATAATAAAGTGACAAAACATGAAAGCCTGAAAGAAGTAATTGAGGAAAAGGAAAGTTGTGGTTCAGATGATGGGGATGAGACCTATGTAGATGCTCTTGACACTCTTTCTAGAACTGAGTCATTCTTCATGAGCTGCAGTGTGAGTGGTTTAAGTGGATGGGATGATCAAGAGGTCAAACCATCTGGAAATTTTTCAACCGATCAACAAGCTCGTGATTTCATGATTGGCAGGTTCTTGCCTGCAGCAAAGGCAATGGCTTCTGAAACACCTCAAATTCAACACAACTCTAGGAAGCCACTTGTTACAAGAGAACAACCAAAACAGGTGAGGAAAGTTGTAAATGGAGCAAAGTCCCGTCCCGTTAATCAGAAATGGCAAAAGGTTATGCCTCATTATGCTCGAGATATTGGTAGGGAAGAAAGTGAAGATGAGAGTGATGATAATGAAGGATATGAAAACTACGCTCCCAAAGTTTGTGGGCTTTTCCCTCGCTTCTGCCTTTTGAATCCAATGCCAGGATTAAGAATGGAGGATAGAATTCTAAGTTCTGCAGTTCATGGAAGACAGGGTAAATCAATTGCTTCTCACAGAAGAACTGCAAAAGAGGTATTAATTTGTCCTACTCCTACCTACTTTTCTTTTGTTTTTGCTATTATTTCACATTAGGCTCTATTATCATTTTGATTTCCATTTTTCTTCTGCAGCATGGTAGAACTGCTAATTATGGGAAAAAATCAGTACACTCCCAATCTGGCTTTACGGAAGAGAGAGATTTTCTGGGTACTGTTGAAAAATCTAACCATGGTATTGATTCTCATCGCATAGGTTGCAGCAAATCATTAGCCTGTGAGAGCACTCAATTTGAATCAAGCTGTGAAAGCCCTGTTGTTGAGAAAACTCTATATGTTGATTCTGTGCATAAGGTCAAAACTTCAAGTTCATGTTCTTCAGATACCAATCACAGAGGTGATGATTTTGAGACTTTTAGAAAAGACCCCAGTATTGATAAAAATCTCTCTATAGATTCTTCAATTGAAGATAGAAAACATTTGGGTATTGCGGATGAGAAGGTGGTGTTACAACCTAAAAGTTCAGTGTCTCTTGACTCATCTCTTTGGGTTTGTTCTGATAATTCAAATCATAATATCCAAATGGAAATGCATTCCAACAAAATATGCTCAGAAAAGCAAGTGTTGACAAAGCCTGATTACCAAGGAAATAACTTCGATCAAAATTTGGTTGCAGTTTTAAGTCCAGAAATGGTTGAACACCAGAAAATAGAGTCAGAAAGCAAAGTTTCTATCAGTATGAAAGGTTCTGATAGCCTAATTCAGAATCCTGTTTCATGGAGAAACTTGAAATTCGATTCAAAGGGCCAGAAAGCAACCAAATTGGTTAATCAAGACTGCACTCATGGCTCTAGTGAGGATCCTACTACTTTGGGTAGCTCAAAGGTGGTTGGTGACATGAAGATTGTCTCAGAAAGCCAATCACTTTCAAAGTTGAGCCACCACGAGACATCGGATACAAGCTTATTGAAGCTACCTCTTGCCCTTCCTTTACCAAAAGCTCCTTCAGAATCTTGGCTTAAGCGTACTTTACCCACAGTTTCCTCAAGGAACATGTTGTCACGGTCTAATCATGCTGTTCATCTTCATGCACCAACTCAATCTCCCAACACAGCATTATTGGATCCTAAGTGGGAAAGAGTCGTTAAATCTTCTAATGTTAATCATGGGCATCTGCAGTTTGCTCAGGTAATTTAGTAAATTCTGTGGACCATTTTGTATAACTATAACATGGTATCTTCAAGCTTATATTCTTCAAATTTTTCAGGAACTACTTCCACCTATTCCAGAAGCCTAAATTTTCTGGGGACCAGGCCTTTGATAATTTGATTTTCTTGCTATAATGTGCAACATTTTCTTAATGTAATTATTTGTTCTCATTATTCTCCTCCTACAGTGTGATCTCTTTTTTGCTTCTATATACTAGAGGTGGTATACAAATCAAAGTGTAAATCAAAGTTGCCTTTCTATCCTGTAAATGTAATAAGTTGTTTAAATAAAAACTGTCCTTGTAAATCCCATAATCTTTAAGGTGTTATGTTTTGTAATAATCAGGGCAAAGGCCTTTTGTCCAGGAGATATTGTTTATTCAGAAAATGCTGCAAAGAATAATTTATGATTATTAGTGTGGTGGTCCCGGTGTTCAATTTTGTTCAACTGTGGAGAATATTGTTCTTAAATCTTATTATTGATGCGTGATGAAAATCAAATATTAGACAGTGATCACTCATTGCTATTTAATGCCCCAAGTTATTATTGTGTCAATTGGTTCTGAAATTTGATTATGAGTGGCTATTGGCTAATCTAGCATGAACCTTATGCACAGCTTGAAAGTGCTTCATGGGGTGAAGGGACTTGCTCCATCAATTTTTTATATGCCACCAGAATTTTTATTCGACAATGAATTCCAACTAGGATTCACATCCTAAAGTCTCTCACTACTCTATTGGCTTGGATACATAAAAAAACAAAAGGCAAAAGGACAAGTTTATAAATCCAATCAACGACATCAAGCATACAGAGCTTTGTATGATCAAATCCATGTCGAGAATTAGGATGACATTAAGATTTGGGCGTCAAACACTTAGAATCAATATTAGAATAGCATTACTTAGAACTCGAATTGAACTAATAAAAATATTTTTACTATTTGCACTAATAAACACTTGGATATGTTAGAGGCATAATTTAAGGATTATACCGATGAAAAGAATAAGAATACATAGAATTAGAGTATCTTTTTGACATTTGATATGTATTAAAATAATAAATTAGATATATTGGTTATTTTGTTCTGTCTTTTTAACTCACACGTCTTTGAAGATAAAGTTTATACTAGAGTCGGATTGAACAAGTTTATAGGATAGACTTATTATGTCATTCATTGGTTAAATAAAGAATAAAAATAAGATTAGATAGGAAAAGTTACTCCATTATATTTTCTTATTTTGTTCACCAAATGAGCTAAAGTCCAAAGCGTAAAATTGGATGTTGTTTATAATCATAGAGTAGAAAATTAATGATGAAAATTTTAATTGTGTTACACATGAACATGTATTTTACTACAATTTTTAAGTATGGCTTTTACTCAACTATTGTAACTATACTTTATCTTTTAAAGTTACACTTGCTCACTTTAAAATAATTATATTTGCTTAATTTTAAAAATAGTATAAAATGATATGGAGATATAAAAAGTAAATCAAATTAAATACAATTGAAGAACCACGATTTTTTAAAAAAAAATTTCCAGTAATATAAACCAAAATCAACATTTTGGAGAAAAAATTACCATGTACCAAAATTAGAGAAAAATTATCCTCTCGGTTGCAACTGAGATTAGTACATTTACATTTAAAAAAATCTTGAAAAGAAAAAAAAATCCTTTTGACGTAGTTTCTTAGCGTGATAGCAGTGTCATTGCCAAAAAAAATAAAAAATTAGACTATCCTAGTAGTCTAATAACCCTGTTGGGTGCATGCACCTTTACTTTTTTAGTCAGTTCTTGTACAGAATAACCATCTATTCATAGCAGGTGAATAAACGATGCAATTGGTTTATTCAAGCTAGGACTAGTATGCCTACTCTAGATGATGGGGGTATAAAGTATTAAATATTTTCTCTAGACGATTTAATTTATAAAATAACGAAAAACGTAATAAAAATATGCTAGTTTAAATTTTATAACATACTCTGATTTCTTTCTTGTCTTTTTCTTCTTTTATAGTTTTTTCTCCAAAACCTATCTTTATTGTGGGTCATACCTTAACTTTTAAAAAATCAAATAAACAACTATTTGCACCTTTACTTGTAAGTAATTAAATGAGTTTTTAATTGTATCATTTAGTTAGCATTGTGATGTCGGTCATATTCTAATACCAAGTTAAAAGTTTACTTTATAAAATTACTAATAAATACCACAGCACATCCACGCAGGGAAAAATCTCAAATTCATGTGACTATAACTAACTTGCTCCTATACTAATTCTCCACGTGCGTTGCAGCTTGTTCAAGGATTTGAACTCGTTGGAGTCTATTGACCTCTCAGGGTCCACCTTGATTGTACCAACTTGTACCAAAATAGTATTCATATGGTGTTTGTCTTTGCTTATGCTTGTCATTTAGTGATTATGTTTTTGAATTCTCAAGATCAATAAATTGAATCTACATGTTTTTGAATCATGTCATACATGCAGTACAAAGGAATCATCGAAAGTACTGTCGGCCATAGATTCTTGATTGGCAAACATTTTGCAAAATTAAAATATCATTTTTTTTTATATCTTTCAATAGTAATAATAACTAGTTGATTGTAATTAAAGATTGTTACGAAATAATATGATATTTTTAAAGTTTAATGAAATTTTAATATCTCTTAATTAAATAAAAGGTGAATTAGACTTTGCATAGTAAGTTAAATAAAAGGTGTAAGAATAGGGTTAAAAGGGTTGAAAAGGAGAAGAGGCAAGAGTTTTGATTTCACGCGGAGGCAAGGGTAATAGCTAGCTGGCGGAGGGAGAGAGGTCCCCAGATTCGTCTGACCTCTCGCCCTCGCACGTGACCTCTCAACTCTTTCTCTCTCTTCCAATTCCAAACCCAAAGCAAAGCCCATCGCTTTCTCCCTCCATCAATGCCCGTAAGTCCTAAACCCAAAACCATCAAATCCTTCACTCTTTGGTTTCATTTCATTTCATTTCCTCGTTTCCATCATCGTCACGCTTTCTTTCTGTCCTTTTCTCCTCACCCTTATTACCGTGCGTGCGTGCGTGCGTTTAATGCCTCTATAAAAGGTTGAGGCAGATTGAGATTCAAATGCTATTGGACGACACGCCAATTTGCGCTCAAATGCTTCGATCTCTTGCTGGTACTAACCGTTCCTCTCTCTATTTTGTCTCTTTTCGCTTCTTTCTTCTTCGTCAACGTCTTCTTCCATTCTTCTCTTCTTATTGGCGGCAATTTGAATTCCGTTATCTTTGTTTCGTCTTTTTGCTGCAGCGTTCTCACCTTAAACCTTCTTCCTCCTCTCTCTCCCGCTTCGCATTGGATGTTTGTTCATTGACGGTGCTTTCTATGGTATCATCTATTCTTATTTTTTCTTTCTTTTGCTTCTCGCGGATTTATATTTTAGAGTTTAGAGTGAATGGAGTTGAGTTTCAATGTAATATAAATAAGTTCGAATGCGGTTCTAGTGTTTCTCCTTTTCTCTGTTATCTTCTTCTTGTGCGATTCTTAGCTTTGGAAATTAGATTTACTGGATTCATGGCGTTTGGAATTAGATCATTGATGCTTGCTTTGAGGTTTTCGATGTTGCTGCTATATCGTAAGCTGTTTCTGAGTTGTTTGTCGAAGTAGTAACACGTTTCATTTATTGCTGGGCGGATGCGATGCGTGGCGGATTTGATATATTGTTTTTGGATTTTGTTGTTCTTGGTGGTGTTGGTTAAATTATAGAAATACATTAATGGATAAATTGGTAAGAGAAGATTATTTGAATTGAAATCTGGAGCTCTTCATTTCCTTTTGCGCTGGAAACAAGTGTAGAAGAGAGGTAAGGAAAGTAAAGTTGACTGTGAATGTGAAAAGAGAAGAGAGTAGAACTGGAGACTTCAGTGGGGATAGTTGTTTATATGGAAAGTTATGGATGGAAATTAAATAATAATAATAATCAAGATGAAGATGCTTGAAAGAAGAGACTAATCATTGGTATACCAAATCAACAGAATTAGTACAAGTAGAATGTAATGAACAAGATAACTAGTAGTTGTAAATACTGATGGTTGGTAATCGTGACTTTATTTGATATTTATGCCTGAGTGTTTGATCTTAAGATAAAGTGTTCCTTCTTGCTTTAATGAATTGTACTGTACTGATTTTACACCACAATATAATATGCCTATACCTTGCTATTTGGCTTATGCAGGTTGTGTAACCTCCAGATTAAAGCAGTTGGAGCTGCAAAAGTATGTGTATCAATGACTGGTGGTTTTAGAACTACTTTTAGCTTTGATACATCTCTTACGGGCTAAGAAGTGTTGCGAAATGGTTATACATTCCCATTTGATGAAAATATGGAAGAGTCACGAGAAGATGTTGGGACAGCACAGCAAAGGCCATCCAACATGTCATGGTGGCCTTCAGAGTTTGTTGAAAAATTTAGATCCGTTTCTCTGGGATCTCAAGATGAGACCTTAAATAATAAAGAATCACCTAGCCATTCTAACCAAAATGCTATGTCACCTCAGAATGCATCACAAATTCTCTGGCGCACTGGAATGCTTTCAGAACCAATACCAAATGGTTTTTATTCAGTCATACCGGTGAGGATTGATTCATATGGCGACCTTCATATTCAGTATATATAATTGCTCTTGTTAGAATTGCTAGTAATTTCTTGTTGTGCATACTTGTTGCTGAAAAGTAAAATTTAACTTAGAAATAGTTGCCAAAGTGTGTAAGAATTCTTATTTCCATCTCCCTTGTTTCATATTTCAAAATGTGCTCCTGAAGTTTGCTTGAGCATTTGATATTTGTTCTTTACAGAACTGTTATTGTGTTAGTTTGTGCTTCTTCTTTTTTTGTAGTTTAAAATAATGAGTTCCTTGCTTAACACATTTTGATTGATCATCTTATTATGGCATGGGCTGGAGTGTAGTTGTTTTTTAAATTTGACCTGCTCATTGTATTGGAGATATTAATTCAGAATGATTAAGGTCAAACAAATTGATAGACAGAGTTACATTTCATTAGTTGAGAATAATTCAGTTGATCTGTAACTTCACATGGGCAGAAAACCTCCAATGAAATTGTATCTTCATGTTTTGGGATGATATTATATTCTGTTCTGTATTGTCTTCTTCATCCTCTCTCTTAATAAATAAATTTAAATAAAAAATGGAAAAGAAGACCCCTCTGGAAAGCAGCTTTTTCAGGGGAAATCAGGATTCTACAAACTACAGACATTGAGCATAACTGCTCAAATTATATTAACTTAGTGGAAGGTCATTTGCAGCTACTTGTTAAGAGTGGTGTAGCCTACATGTACTGGTGCTTGAAGTGATTAGTGGGGATGGAATAGCAATGTGCATGAGAAGGCTAAAGTTGTTGTTTCTTAATGGCAC